GTTTTGTGGATCATCAGCTGCAGCAGTAGCGTCTTAGTGGTCACAGTATTCTCATTATTAACAAAATTATCATCATAACTGTCATCATCATTTATCACCTTCAGTCATTTAAGTAACAAAGTCATTTGGCTTAGCAGTATTCTATACCAATACTTCTGCCGTGGCTGATCATTATTTTAATGGAGCTGGCTCACGCGAAATTGATTTCTCTAAGACGATGGTACTTTTGCAAGCCTACTGGCTATCAACAAAGATTCGTTCATGAAGCCATCCATATTTACAGACATAATTTCAACAAACAAGATGGTTATAAGCTCAGCAATCATTTGAAAGACGTCATCAACCACTTTGGGTCATGACTTGATTTGTGTTTTCTTGTCAACCTCCACCGTCAGCAGTGTGGGTGTGTGGAGTGAGGTGCAATGCTTTGATTGGTGTAGACCTACAGCCTGTTTCGAAGCTTTCTTCTACATTAACATTAGCTGCCCCGCCCATCTCTAAACCTTTTTAACAGCTTGCCCTCAGAGGCTAACCTCCCTGTTCCTGATGACGACCGCTTGTGTTGCGATGGAAACGTCGTGATATTTTTTATCACTTTATTTTTTATTATCATTTTTTCAATCTACGTGACTTTACCGAAAGAACCATAGAATATAGTATTCTATACTGTACCTTGGTTGAGCGAGGAGACACTCATAATAATCTTACAATTATTTTGATATAGTGTCGTTCATACAAATTACACCTCACAATTGCCGTGGATCCACAGAAAATCTGGAATGCTGCCAAGCTGTGAGCAAGCGCCGAAAATGATCTTGCATTTCTCTATATATTTAAATTGTTTCAGCTCATTAATGAGTGTTTATATATGTGGGAGCAAACCGGAACACCTGGTGGAAACCTACTATTACGAGGGTTTTCTTACGCGTGGACTTATGTATCTCAAACAAAACAAATTTCAGTCTACATTTGCTGTACTGCATTCTTCTGGCAAGCCAGAGTATTGCACCTTGATGCCCACATGAAGGGAAGTTTAGCAACATTTGACCATGTTTTGATCCACCAACCCTCGCCTTTTATTGAGCACAACAAATTTTTATAAATTTCTGGGGTGAAAATAATTTATTTTCTACTTTTGAGTGCAAATAAACGTGTTTGCATTGAAAAACTTGCTTTTTACCGAATTTATTTTACCGTGAAAACTATATTTAGGGTCTATTTTATTTTACCAGGTAAGGCCCACGAGAGCTATATAGCTATATTCTTGGTTCTTTCGGTAAAGTCACGTTGAAGGGAAACAATAAAATAACAATAAAATAATAATATATATTTTATTGTTTCCCTTCAACGTGACTTTACAGAAAGAACCAAGAATATGAATCACTGCAGTCACGAAAGCTTTAAATCAAAAGCTATATAGCTGTTTTTAAGAAGCGACCTGGCCACAAATGAGAGGCCAATTAAGTCGTTTATCATGTGGAAATTTATAGCAGCCAAATACTCGAAGGACATGTTTCTAAATGTGGAGTGAAAAACCCACACAATCACGGGGAGAAAACGCAAACTCCAAATATACAGGCGTGAGGGTCAGCATCAAATCGGCAACCTCCTGCATACAAGAGATGTTAACTGTTAAGAACAGCATCACTATAACCCTTAACGCCGATTAACAAATCACCCGGACTTGGAATGCGCGCCTTTCATTGGTCAGAGGCTCCCCAACATCCGCTGTAATTGTACAAGATGTTCCCCGAATAGCTGCGCATGACCATCCGTGATTTAAGAGGGGGGGGGGTAAAATGTAGGAGTATTAATTATTAAAATTAAGCAAAATAACACGAATAGGACCAGGATCGGCAGGACCTGGACCGTTTCTTTTAATGAAACCTTGCATTGTTACCCAAAACGAGTCTGTGTAGAAAATTTCGGCTCGTTAGGCTTCGTAAATCCGAATATATTAAGCGTCAAAGATTTGAAAGAATATAAACAGACGAGGCAAGTCCAATAAAAGTGTGTAAAAAAACATGTATAATGTAAATACATAGGTTTGATGAAACAAAGTAGTTGTACCTATGTGCCCGTGCTTAATTTGTGTTTCGATGATTTACCTTTTAAAAGAATTGGCCATGTCTTGCACCCCCAGAAAGGGCATCTCACACCCCAATGGGGTGCGTGAACCCCGGGTTAAGAGCTACTGGTCTAAGTAAAGCAAGAAAGAGAGAACTGCAGTTGAGTTTCACTGGATTAAACAAGCCAGATGTATAACCAATGCAATATAAGACAAGCTTAACATTTGCGAATAACGTTTCTGAGAGTTACGACAAGATTTGGATCAATGCCCATTCATCAATACGAAACGCACATTTGAAGCAATTGGCGGGACCCCGGGGTCCCATCACTGCCCCGGGGTGGGAAAAACCGCGTAGCGACACGAGTCTTGTCTTACCGACAACAAAACTAGTGTCAATCGATTGGCCTCGTCGAGAGCTACTCGCACTAAGTTTCGTAAAAAGTTGAAAAATTACATAAACACGTTAAATTCACTGCGGGGGCGGGCTCGCCTTGGCAGAGAAGCTGAGGGTCGACGGCTGAACGGAGGGCGTTGCCGCCGCGCGCGACTGCGGCGGACGCCCGGGTTTGCGTTTGGCCGGTGGGGTAGCGCCCATCGTGTTGATCGCCGCCTGCTGGCGCTTGTTGGCGCGAGTTTGGGTGGGCGGCGCGTTGCTGTCGGGATCACGAGTGGGCGGACTGAAAAATAATAATTATTGACCTGATTTTTGCGGGACCCCAGGGTCCCGCCAAATGATTCATTTAATCAAATTTCCCTATTAGTTAATGCTGCACCACGGTTTTAATTTGCAGTAAAAGGGGGTCCACATGAGTCGGCTTGGTAAGAGAACTTTATTGCTCCAACAACACTAACAGGAACAACTGTAGGGCACGAACACGGTTGTTGACGACCAGCCTTTCCTTCCCTAGAGACCCCCGAGTTTGACTTCCACCCCCTTATGCAGGATAACCTCTCTCCAATTCTCCTCTTTCCCATCAATCTACTGTATATATTTTGGTGGTATTCCTCCAACCCCCTATCCCCCTTTTTGCACTTTCAATGCAAACACCCTTCGTTGGTCCATTGTCCTTTGCGTGACCGCGAAGCATTGTCCTTACTGTGTACCCTGATGCACTCTACTGATTTGTTATTACATGTTAATGTTTTCGTTGGGGAGCACCTGAATTCCATGTATGTAAATCAGATCTGCAAATATAAGACTGACTTACACGGAAATGTTTTCCACTTCGTGAACCAGGTCACCATTGCAAATTAGTCTTCTTGCATGAATGATTCTTCAATCATGAAATAATGAAAAGAGAGAAGGTGTTTGTAGACATTGCATATTTAATATGTGACTTGATGATGTTTATACTGTCTTTTCACAGCCTCGACTGAACAAACTACAACAGAGATATCCATTACACCGCAGACAACCAAACCAACCACAACATTGGATACTACCACACAATCAACTTCCCAATCCACCACAATTACACCGACAACAACGGAGACAACCACCGTACAATTGACAACAACCACACGGCAGACAACCACACCAACTACAACATTGGATACTACCACACAATCAACTTCCCAATCCACCACAAATACACCGACAACAGATACAACCACCGTACATTTGACAACAACCACACCGCAGACAACCACACCAACCACAACAGTGCAAACTACCACACAATCAACTTCCCAATCCACCACAAATACACCGACAACAACGGAGACAACCACCGTACAATTGACAACAACCACACCACAGACAACCACACCAACCACAACATTGGATACTACCACACAATCAACTACCCAATCCACCACAAATACACCGACAACAACGGAGACAACCACCGTACAATTGACAACAACCACACCGCAGACAACCACACCAACTACAACATTGGATACTACCACACAATCAACTTCCCAATCCACTACAAATACACCGACAACAACGGAGACAACCACCGTACAATTGACAACAACCACACCGCAGACAACCACACCAACCACAACATTGGATACTACCACACAATCAACTTCCCAATCCACCACAAATACACCGACAACAGATCCAACCACCGTACATTTGACAACAACCACACCGCAGACAACCACACCAACCACAACAGTGCAAACTACCACACAATCAACTTCCCAATCCACCACAAATACACCGACAACAACGGAGACAACCATCGTACAATTGACAACAACCACACCACAGACAACCACACCAACCACAACATTGGATACTACCACACAATCAACTACCCAATCCACCACAAATACACCGACAACAACGGAGACAACCACCGTACAATTGACAACAACCACACCGCAGACAACCACACCAACCACAACATTGGATACTACCACACAATCAACTACCCAATCCACCACAAATACACCGACAACAACGGAGACAACCACCGTACAATTGACAACAACCACACCGCAGACAACCACATCAACCACAACATTGGAAACTACCACACAATCAACTTCCCAATCCACCACAAATACACCGACAACAACGGAGACAACCACCGTACAATTGACAACAACCACACCACAGACAACCACACCAACCACAACATTGGATACTACCACACAATCAACTTCCCAATCCACCACAATTACACCGACAACAACGGAGACAACCACCGTACAATTGACAACAACCACACCGCAGACAACCACACCAACCACAACAGTACAAACTTCCATGCAATCAACTTCCCAATCCACCACAAATACACCGACAACAGAGACAACCACCGTACAATTGACAACAACCACACCGCAGACAACCACACCAACCACAACATTGGATACTACCACACAATCAACTTCCCAATCCACCACAAATACACCGACAACAACGGAGATAACCACCGTACAATTGACAACAACCACACCACAGACAACCACACCAACCACAACATTGGATACTACCACACAATCAACTACCCAATCCACCACAAATACACCGACAACAACGGAGACAGCCACCGTACAATTGACAACAACCAAACCGCAGACAACCACACCAACCACAACATTGGAAACTACCACACAATCAACTACCCAATCCACCACAAATACACCGACAACAACGGAGACAACCACCGTACAATTGACAACAACCACACCGCAGACAACCACACCAACCACAACATTGGATACTACCACACAATCAACTACCCAATCCACCACAAATACACCGACAACAACGGAGACAACCACCGTACAATTGACAACAACCACACCGCAGACAACCACACCAACCACAACATTGGAAACTACCACACAATCAACTTCCCAATCCACCACAAATACACCGACAACAACGGAGACAACCACCGTACAATTGACAACCACACCACAGACAACCACACCAACCACAACATTGGATACTACCACACAATCAACTACCCAATCCACCACAAATACACCAACAACAACGGAGACAACCACCGTACAATTGACAACAACCACACCGCAGACAACCACACCAACCACAACATTGGATACTACCACACAATCAACTACCCAATCCACCACAAATACACCGACAACAACGGAGACAACCACCGTACAATTGACAACAACCACACCGCAGACAACCACACCAACCACAACATTGGATACTACCACACAATCAACTACCCAATCCACCATAAATACACCGACAATAACGGAGACAACCACCGTACAATTGACAACAACCACACCGCAGACAACCACACCAACCACAACATTGGAAATTACCACACAATCAACTTCCCAATCCACCACAAATACACCGACAACAACGGAGACAACCACCGTACAATTGACAACAACCACACCGCAGACAACCACACCAACCACAACATTGGAAACTACCACACAATCAACTTCCCAATCCACCACAAATACACCGACAACAACGGAGACAACCACCGTACAATTGACAACAACCACACCACAGACAACCACACCAACCACAACATTGCAAACTACCACACAATCAACTTCCCAATCCACCACAAATACACCGACAACGGAGACAACCACCGTACAATTGACAACAACCACACCACAGACAACCACACCAAGTACAACACTGGATACTACCACGCAATCAACTTCCCAATCCACCACAAATACACCGACAACAACGGAGACAACCACAGTACAATTGACAACAACCGCACCGCAGACAACCACACCAACCACAACATTGGATACTACCACACAATCAACTTCCCAATCCACCACAAATACACCGACAACAACGGAGACAACCACCATACAATTGACAACAACCACACCACAGACAACCACACCAACTACAACATTGCAAACTACCACGCAATCAACTTCCCAATCCACCACAAATACACCGACAACAACGGAGACAACAACTGTACAATTGACAACAACCGCACCGCAGACAACCACACCAACCACAACATTGGAAACTACCACACAATCAACTTCCCAATCCACCACAAATACACCGACAACAGAGACAACAACTGTACAATTGACAACAACCACACCGCAGACAACCACACCAACTACAACATTGGATACTACCACACAATCAACTTCCCAATCCACCACAAATACACCGACAACAGATACAACCACCATACATTTGACAACAACCACACCGCAGACAACCACACCAACCACAACAGTGCAAACTTCCATGCAATCAACTTCCCAATCCACCACAAATACACTGACAACAACAGAGACAACCACCGTACAATTGACAACAACCACACCGCAGACAACCACACCAACCACAACATTGGATACTACCACACAATCAACTTCCCAATCCACCACAAATACACCGACAACAACGGAGACAACCACCATACAATTGACAACAACCACACCACAGACAACCACACCAACCACAACATTGGATACTACCACACAATCACCTACCCAATCCACCACAAATACACCGACAACAACGGAGACAACCACCGTACAATTGACAACAACCACACCGCAGACAACCACACCAACCACAACATTGGATACTACCACACAATCAACTACCCAATCCACCACAAATACACCGACAACAACGGAGACAACCACCGTACAATTGACAACAACCACACCGCAGACAACCACACCAACCACAACATTGGAAACTACCACACAATCAACTTCCCAATCCACCACAAATACACCGACAACAACGGAGACAACCACCGTACAATTGACAACAACCACACCACAGACAACCACACCAACCACAACATTGGAAACTACCACACAATCAACTTCCCAATCCACCACAAATACACCGACAACAACGGAGACAACCACCGTACAATTGACAACAACCACACCACAGACAACCACACCAACCACAACATTGCAAACTACCACACAATCAACTTCCCAATCCACCACAAATACACCGACAACAACGGAGACAACCACCATACAATTGACAACAACCACACCGCAGACAACCACATCAACCACAACATTGGAAACTACCACACAATCAACTTCCCAATCCACCACAAATACACCGACAACAACGGAGACAACCACCGTACAATTGACAACAACCACACCACAGACAACCACACCAACCACAACATTGGAAACTACCACACAATCAACTTCCCAATCCACCACAAATACACCGACAACAACGGAGACAACCACCGTACAATTGACAACAACCACACCACAGACAACCACACCAACCACAACATTGGAAACTACCACACAATCAACTTCCCAATCCACCACAAATACACCGACAACAACGGAGACAACCACCGTACAATTGACAACAACCACACCACAGACAACCACACCAACAACAACATTGCAAACTACCACGCAATCAACTTCCCAATCCACCACAAATACACCGACAACAACGGAGACAACCACCGTACAATTGACAACAACCACACCACAGACAACCACACCAAGTACAACACTGGATACTACCACACAATCAACTTCACAATCCACCACAAATACACCGACAACAACGGAGACAACCACCATACAATTGACAACAACCACACCACAGACAACCACACCAACCACAACATTGCAAACTACCACGCAATCAACTTCCCAATCCATCACAAATACACCGACAACGGAGACAACCACCGTACAATTGACAACAACCACACCGCAGACAACCACACCAACTACAACATTAGATACTACCACACAATCAACTTCCCAATCCACCACAAATACACCGACAACAACGGAGACAACCACCGAACAATTGATAACAACCACACCGCAGACAACCACACCAAGCACAACATTGGATACTACCACACAATCAACTTCACAATCCACCACAAATACACCGACAACAGATACAACTACCGTACATTTGACAACAACCACACTGCAGACAACCACACCAACCACAACACAGGAAACTACCACACAATCAACTACCCAATCCACCACAAATACACCGACAACAGAGACAACTGTACAATTGACAACAACCACACCGCTGACAACCACACCAACCACAACATTGGATACTACCACACAATCAACTTCGCAATCCACCACAAATACACCGACAACAGAGACAACAACTGTACAATTGACAACAACCACACTGCAGACAACCACACCCACTACAACATTGGAAACTACCACACAATCAACTTTCCAATCCACCACAAATACACCGACAACAATGGAGACAACCACCGTAAAATTGACAACAACCACACCGCAGACAACCACACCAACTACAACATTGGATACTACCACACAATCAACTTCCCAATCAACCACAAATACACCGACAACAACGGAGACAACCACCATACAATTGACAACAACCACACCACAGACAACCACACCAACCACAACATTGCAAACTACCACGCAATCAACTTCCCAATCCACCACAAATACACCGACAACAACGGAGACAACCACCGAACAATTGACAACAACCACACCGCAGACAACTACACCAAGCACAACATTGGATACTACCACACAATCAACTTCAGAAACAACCACAAATACACCGACAACAGAGACAACCACCGTACATTTGACAACAACCACACCGCAGACAACCACACCAAGCACAACACAGGAAACTACCACACAATCAACTTCCCAATCCACCACAAATACACCGACAACAACGGAGACAACCACCGTACAATTGACAACAACCACACCGCAGACAACCACACCAACCACAACATTGGATACTACCACACAATCAACTTCACAATCCACCACAAATACACCGACAACAGATACAACTACCGTACATTTGACAACAACCACACTGCAGACAACCACACCAACCACAACACAGGAAACTACCACACAATCAACTACCCAATCCACCACAAATACACCGACAACAACGGAGACAACCACCGTACAATTGACAAGAACCACACCGCTGACAACCACACCAACCACAACATTGCAAACTACCACACAATCAACTTCCCAATCCACCACAAATACACCGACAACAATGGAGACAACCACCGTACAATTGACAACAACCACACCGCAGACAACCACACCAACTGCAACATTGGATACTACCACACAATCAACTTCCCAATCCACTACAAATACACCGACAACAACGGAGACAACCACCGTACAATTGACAACAAACACACCGCAGACAACCACACCAACTACAACATTGGATACTACCACACAATCAACTTCCCAATCCACCACAAATACACCGACAACAGACACAACCACCGTACATTTGACAACAACCACACCGCAGACAACCACACCCACCACAACATTGGAAACTACCACAAAATCAACTTCCCAATCCACAACAAATGCACCGACAACAACGGAGACAACCACCGCAAAATTGACAACAACCACACCGCAGACAACCACACCAACTACAACATTGGATACTACCACACAATCAACTTCCCAATCCACCACAAATACACCGACAACAACGGAGACAACCACCATACAATTGACAACAACCACACCACAGACAACCACACCAACCACAACATTGCAAACTACCACGCAATCAACTTCCCAATCCACCACAAATACACCGACAACAACGGAGACAACCACCGAACAACTGACAACAACCACACCGCAGACAAACACACCAACTACAACATTGGATACTACCACACAATCAACTTCCCAATCCACTACAAATACACCGACAACAACGGAGACAACCACCGTACAATTGACAACAACCACACCGCAGACAACCACACCAACTACAACACTGGATACTACCACGCAATCAACTTCCCAATCCACCACAAATACACCGACAACAACGGAGACAACCACCGAACAACTGACAACAACCACACCGCAGACAAACACACCAACTACAACATTGGATACTACCACACAATCAACTTCCCAATCCACTACAAATACACCGACAACAACGGAGACAACCACCGTACAATTGACAACAACCACACCGCAGACAACCACACCAACTACAACATTGGATACTACCACACAATCAACTTCCCAATCCACCACAAATACACCGACAACAGATACAACCACCGTACATTTGACAACCACACTGCAGACAACCACACCCACCACAACATTGGAAACTACCACACAATCAACTTCCCCATCCACCACAAATACACCGACAACAATGGAGACAACCACCATACAATTAACAACAACCACACCACAGACAACCACACCAACCACAACATTGGAAACTACCACACAATCAACTTCACAATCCACCACAAATACACCGACAACAACAGAGACAACCACCGAACAATTAACAACAACCACACCGCAGACAACCACAACATTGGATACTACCACTCAATCATCTTCACAAACAACCACAAATACACCAACAACAGAGGCAACCACTGTACAATCGACAACAACCACACCGCAGACAACCACACCAACCACAACACTGGATACTACCACCCTACCAACTTCACAAACAACGACAAATACACCGACAACAACAGAGACAACCACCGTACATTTGACAACAACCACACAGCAGACAACCACACCAACCACAACACAGGAAACTACCACACAATCAACTTCCCAATCCACCACAAATACACCGACAACAGAGACAACAACTGTACACTTGACAACAACCACACCGCTGACAACCACACCAACCACAACATTGGATACTACCACACAATCAACTACCCAATCCACCACAAATACACCGACAACAACGGAGACAACCACCGTACATTTGACAACAACCACACCACAGACAACCACACCCACCACAACATTGGATACTACCACCAAATCAACTTCTCAATCCACCACAAATACACCGACAACAGAGACAACCACTGTACAATTGACAACTACCACACTGCAGGCAACCACAACACATCAAGCCACCACACTATCGACTTCAACAGAACAATCTACCAGAATCACAGACGCAATCACCCAAGACCCTACCACAACTTCACAATCCACCACAAATACACCAACAACAGATACAACCACCGTACATTTGACAACAACCACACCGCAGACAACCACACCCACCACAACATTGGAAACTACCACACAATCAACTTACCAATCCACAACAAATACACCGACAACAACGGAGACAACCACCGTACAATTGACAACAACCACACCGCAGACAACCACACCAACTACAGCATTGGATACTACCACACAATCAACTTCCCAATCCACCACAAATACACCGACAACAGATACAACCACCGTACATTTGACAACAACCACACCGCAGACAAGCACACCCACCACAACATTGGAAACTACCACGCAATCAACTTCCCAATCCACCACAAATACACCGACAACAACGGAGACAACCACCGAACAACTGACAACAACCACACCGCAGACAACCACACCAACTACATTGGATACTACCACACAATCAACTTCCCAATCCACCACAAATACACCGACAACAGATACAACCACCGTACATTTGACAACAACCACACCGCAGACAACCACACCCACCACAACATTGGAAACTACCACGCAATCAACTTCCCAATCCACCACAAATACACCGACAACAGAGACAACCACCGTACATTTGACAACAACCACACCGCAGACAACCACACCAAGCACAACACAGGAAACTACCACACAATCGACTTCACAATCCACAAATACACCGACAACAACGGAGACAACCACCGTACAATTGACAACAACCAAACCGCAGACAACCACACCAACTACAACATTGGATACTACCACACAATCAACTTCACAATCCACTACAAATACACCAACAACAGATACAACCACCGTACATTTGACAACAACCACACCGAAGACAACCACACCCACCACAACATTGGAAACTACCACACAATCAACTTCCCAATCCACCACAAATACACCGACAACAACGGAGACAACCACCATACAATTAACAACAACCACACCACAGACAACCACACCAACCACAACATTGCAAACTACCACACAATCAACTTCCCAATCCACCACAAATACACCGACAACAACGGAGACAACCACCGAACAATTAACAACAACCACACCGCAGACAACCACACCAACCACAACATTGGATACTACCACACAATCAACTTCACAAACAACCACAAATACACCAACAACAGAGGCAACCACTGTACAATCGACAACAACCACACCGCAGACAACCACACCAACCACAACACTGGATACTACCACCCTACCAACTTCACAAACAACGACAAATACACCGACAATAACAGAGACAACCACCGTACATTTGACAACAACCACACAGCAGACAACCACACCAACCACAACATTGGATACTACCACACAATCAACTTCACAATCCACCACAAATACACCGACAACAGATACAACCACCGTACATTTGACAACAACCACACTGCAGACAACCACACCAACCACAACATTAGATACTACCACACAATCAACTTCCCAATCCAGCACAAATACACCGACAACAACGGAGACAACCACCATACAATTGACAACAACCACACCACAGACAACCACACCAACCACAACATTGCAAACTACCACGCAATCAACTTCCCAATCCACCACAAATACACCGACAACAACGGAGACAACCACCGAACAATTGACAACAACCACACCGCAGACAACCACACCAAGCACAACCTTGGATATTACCACACAATCAACTTCACAAACAACCACAAATACACCGACAACAGAGACAACCACCATACATTTTACAACCACACCGCAGACAACCACACCAAGCACAACACAGGAAACTACCACGCAATCAACTTCCCAATCCACCACAAATACACCAACAACAACGGAGACAACCACCGTACATTTGACAACAACCACACTGCAGACAACCACACCAACCACAACACAGGAAACTACCACACAATCAACTTCCCAATCCACGACAAATACACCGACAACAGAGACAACAACTGTACAATTGACAACAACCACACCGCTGACAACCACACCAACCACAACATTGGATACTACCACACAATCAACTTCACAATCCACCACAAATAAACCGACAACAACGGAGACAACCACCGTACAATTGACAACAACCACACCACATACAACCACACCAACCACAACATTGCAAACTACCACACAATCAACTTCCCAATCCACCACAAATACACCGACAACAACGGAGACAACCACCGTACATTTGACAACAACCACACCACAGACAACCACACCCACCACAACATTGGATACTACCACCAAATCAACTTCTCAATCCACCACAAATACACCGACAACAGAGACAACCACTGTACAATTGACAACTACCACACTGCAGGCAACCACAACACATCAAGCCACCACACTATCGACTTCAACAGAACAATCTACCAGAATCACAGACGCAATCACCCAAGACCCTACCACAACTTCACAATCCACCACAAATACACCAACAACAGATACAACCACCGTACATTTGACAACAACCACACCGCAGACAACCACACCAAGCACAACACAGGAAACTACGACCAAATCAACTTTCCAATCCACCACAAATACACTGACAACAGAGACAACCACTGTACAATTGACAACTACCACACTGCAGGCAACCACAACACATCAAGCCACCACACTATCGACTTCAACAGAACAATCTACCAGAATCACAGACGCAATCACCCAAGACCCTACCACAACTTCACAATCCACCACAAATACACCGACAACAGATACAACCACCGTACATTTGACAACAACCACACCACAGACAACCACACCAACTACAACATTGGAAACTACCACACAATCAACTTCCCAATCCACCACAAATACACCGACAATAACGGATACAACCACCGTACAATTGACAACCACACCGCAGACAACCACACCCACCACAACATTGCAAACTACCACACAATCAACTTCACAATCCATTGCAAACTACCACACAATCAACTTCACAATCCACCACAAATACACCGACAACGGAGACAACCACCGTACAATTGACAACAACCACACCACAGACACCCACACCAACCACAACATTGCAAACTACCACACAATCAACTTCCCAATCCACCACAAATACACCGACAACAACGGAGAGAACCACCGTACAATTTACAACAACCACTCCGCAAACAACCACACCAACTACAACATTGGATACTACCACACAATCAACTTCCCAATCCACCACAAATACACCGACAACAGATACAACCACCGTACATTTGACAACAACCACACCGCAGACAACCACACCAACCACAACATTGCAAACTACCACGCAATCAACTTCCCAATCCACCACAAATACACCGACAACAACAGATGTAACGACTGTACATTTGACAACCACACATCAGGCAACCACACCAACAATCGTGTCGCAATCAGTATCAACAACCACAACAGCATCTTCATCCACAACATCTCTCCCCACCACACTTGCATCACCAACAACATTGACAACAGTCACAACAGCATCACCATCAACCGCAACAATATCTCCAACCACAACAGTGTCACAAACAACATATACCTCAACTACAACCACTCTTCCAACAACAGCTTCAACAACATCTTCAACAACAACATCTTCAACATCGCCAAGCACAACAGCATCGCCCTCTACAACATCTACAGGTTAGTTACGTTATGTAAACATGACTTGGCCTCGGTCTGTCTGAGGCAAGGACCTATGGCCGGTTGGTGGTCTCAATGTGAACACCAATTATTGTGCTGCATACATTATCGTGTGAATTGTATATTATTGCATAATAACATTAATATCCCATAGGTAATTTTAAATGTGGCTAACCCTCTAGAGATAATGTGAGAGCTCGCCTATATCTACGTTCATTCCACAAGGTTCTGATAAAACAATTGGGAAATCCATTGGCGATATGAAATATATATTAAGTGCTTAAAATGTATATATTACTAAGTCATATATCCATACAACTTCTACAATGAACAATACAGCACCATATAAAACTATGTTTAGTTACCCATAATGTATGTTGTTTATTTACATGCAACTTTCCAGTACCAGGTTTGCCAAGAAATCTAACTCTTGCCAGTGGAGGAGTAACAAACACATCTCTGCAAGTCATTTGGCTGAGTGCTCTGGGAGATGTTGAACGATACACGGCATTAATCTCTCCTGGAGATTCACCCTCCATTGCTATTAGCCCGAATGGTTCACTCAATGCCAAGTTTGCTGGGCTGAGACCCGGAGTCCTATACATCATCACTGTGAAAGCCATTGGCAAAGGAAATCTCTCTGGTGAAGGAGTGTCTGTGACTGCGAGGACAGGTATTTACACTCCAACTACATTGAAGCCATTTTAGCCGATTTGAGGGGCATTTATTTAATGTCAATATTGTACACATACAATATGTATTATGTTGAACTTCCGTGATAATCAGTGGTGTGGGGGAAGGACAATAAACTAAATACAAAAAGCAGTTCCAAAGAAATTAGTTTTTTAATCTAGATTTAAAAGTGCACAGCTGCAGTGGCTTCCTAATATCGGAAGAGCATTCCAGACAGCCGCAGAAGCGCATCTGAAAGCGCGCAATGCAGTGATCGTCTTTGTTCGATGGTTAGACTATATAACTACTAGTGGTTGTTCGGGGGTGCCTATGGCGCCCCTCACAACCATTTACGGCCTTCGGACAGGAGTGTCACGAAAAAAAATTGCACACGAACGACGTATTCACGCAAGCACCCGATGCTCCGTTTCGAAGTTTTAAAATGAAACATATTTTGATATTGTATTTCTTCATTAAAGGCTTATATCATTTTACATCCGGAATATTTAATTGAAAACGACATTTCGTATGAATTTCCTCTCGTCGTTAAGTAGATGGCCTTGCTGGGGGTTTGGTTCGATGCGGACTTTCACCCGCCCCTCTACAGCCCCGCCAAGCATTGGTTGACTGCTTGGTCCTGGTCACGTGATGCACTTCAACCAATCCGTGCCGCGTTAGTCACAGGATGACAATCACAGACCTGGGTGTTTATATATTAGGATTGTATAGTATGATACTTAACTATTGTATAGTTTTTGCAAAAAAAAGTATTCTATGCTTGCAGAAAAATATTTGAAAAATCAATGTACTGTGTATGAATTTTTTGTAACTAATGCAGTAAATCACGTACATGATGATCATCCTTCATATATAATACCATAAATGTTAAATGCTGTATTTCAATCATTATTTGTACAATATTGCTTCTCAAATCCCAACACTCACTACATCTGAAAGAAGTAAAGGCGATGAAAGAATTTGCTTCTTTACATAGCTCCAAAAATGTTTGTGAACGTGTTTAATAAAGGAAGTACTTCCTGCATTAACGATATTAGATTTTCTAACATAGGCATTACAAATACAAAATTACAAGAAACGATTTCACTTGCAGAGTGCCACAAGTTATACTCATAACGTCAGGAAAAATGCACGTATACGTGTCCAAAACTAAATAAAATTATTGGAGAGACAATTTAAAAGCAAATTCGTAAGTTACTCGTCATTTACAGAGTTGAATTTATTGTTTTCTATGAGGCAATCTTATGGGCGTCACCAAAGTGTATAAGTGGGGACTGAATACACAACGAATGTGAGCTTTCCAGAAGTAGACCTGCCAAGCAATGAGCATTAGGTTACTATTCTTCTGAGTCTCAATAATGACAAACTTGGTCTACCGTTCTGTCTGTTGATTAGACAAATTAGCTCAACTTAATACATTGCAGTTCTTCAGGAACTGGCGGGTTTGTATAATGCTTAAGGCCCGAAAACATTTTGTATGCACAGTGCACGTTGTTTGTGCTGTTTTGTGTTGTATATACCCAGGGTAACCATTACAGGTGGATCAGGATTAAAATGATGAATGAAAGACATCAGAACAGAATAGAGCAATTCTTGTTAATTTTAACTTGATAAATGGAGATACAGATGTATAACTAAAAAAAGCGTTCCATATGTTTATCTGCTATCTTTGATGTATGGACCCGTACGCATAGGGATATGTTCACAGACTGAAACTGTCACGGGAGGCACATTTGGGTGAGGGAACAAACACAAACCCGTTTAACACGTAGACTTTCGCCACCAATATTATACATAAAAAAGGTTTTTGTGTTAGATCACGTAAATATCAATGGGGTTTACTCTCCAACACACCGATGTGCTGAAGTGTAACTAATTGCCACGTTTCTTTTTACATGACAAACCTTACTAATTGGCTGTGTCGGGTTATGTCGGACTTAACGACACATTTATATTTACGCGATCTAACCAAAAAAAAACCTCTTAAAGGAAAACACAAACCAGAGACAGCAGATTAAATGAAGATAAACTCCTTAAAAAAATTTAAACAACGGTTTTATTAACAACTTCGTTTAACTCATGGTCGAGAAGTACATTAGTGGCGCCTGAGACACACGGCACCTGCTTTTTGTGCGAGCCGATTCCACAGTTTAGGGACCGCGGCGTTTTTTGACCTTCACAAAAATACAATGAATTTGCCGTCCATACAAAAAATGTAATTGCTTGAAAGGAGGCAATTAATTGATTAATTGATGCCGATTTTCACACAGGCATGCATTGTCACCGGATCTGAGTAGGTGTGCAAAATTTGGAAATGATTGTACAACAGGAAGTAGACTAACATTTGATTACAATATTTGACCACGACAAACACAAGTGAAGTTAAATAAAACCGTTGAATAAAAGTGAGCATGCATGGCCGATTAACAAAACTGGTGACGGAGCGCCAGCCAAAAGAGAGCAATGCACAACACGAGGAAAAACCAGTGGAGATGGAGTGATGAAATTATCCCATGACCACGAGTGCTTATTCATTTACTGTATGAGGGTATATCATCTATTGTGATCTTTCCCCCCTGCTAAAGTTAGTACATTTTAACACGTGTTGGCGCGTGTTAAAAACAACCACAACGCGCAACAGCAACAAATTGATGCAGCAACATTCCCGTTTTTTATGTATAGCTTCTACCAACGTGCACAACCGATTAGCATGGTTGGCTTCGTAGGGTGCGAAAGAAGTTCAACATACATCGGGACGTGTTTCTTATTATCAAACCGGATGCTGGTTTGAAGGGCACACAAATGTTTTAATTTCCTGTCCATAGTTAACGTCATACTAAATCGTTTTGTACTTATCAGTTCCAGGGAATGCAAGGAATTTGACCTTTACAAGTCAAGGAGTGACCAACAAGTCCTTGGAAATTGTCTGGACGAGCGCTCAGGGCGACGTGGCACAATATTCGGTGCTCATCTCTCCGGCAAACGTTTCTGCCCTTTCCATCAGTCCAAATGGGTTACTCATCGCCAAGTTTGATAATTTGAGAGCAGGTGTCCTCTATGTCATCAACGTGAAAACCATTGATCATGGGAATAACTCCAATGATGGGGTATCTGTGACGCAAAGAACAGGTAACTTATCTCTGTAGCCTTTTGGTAGTTACTGAGGTTGCTTTCACAATGCTTACGTGAGAGCCAAATACAGATACAGCAATTCGTTGGCACATAAAGCACAGCAGAAATCCAATAATTCGTGTTGATTTGAGAGGCTATGTCACAAATCATGTAATCAGCAGCACACCGTGCAGGTTTGACCAAACAATCCGTGCAATATTCTTGGTTCTTTCGGTAAAGTCACCACGTAGAAGGGAAACAATAAAATAATAAAAAATATAAAACAAAATTCTCACGTTTCGACTACAACACAAGCAATCATCATTGCAGTCGAAACGTCGTGAGAATTTGATTGTTTTATTTTTATTATTTTATTGTTTCCCTTCTACGTAACTTTACCGAAAGAACCAAGAATATGAAAAGAACCAAGAATATGAATCCCTGCAGTCACGAAAGCTTTAAATCTAAATTTAGATGTACACTTTCATTAACATTTAGCGTGTCCTGTTATCAACATTACAGTCACGTATATAGTCAGATATCATCAGTTGGGTATCTATAAATGGATGACCATGTGTTAATTAAAGTATAATTCATATTATCTTATTAACCACAAGCTGTAGGATTTATGGACACCTATTATCCATGGCCCTATGGTTTCCTATTGTAAAATGTATACGTTAAGTAAATGTGGTTAATCGCAAACACAAAATTCAATCTCCCCACATCACTGCAGATAAAGAAGGATTTACTGTGTGCAGCTGTTTATATTTTTTTAGATATCCAATGTGAGCTGAGATAGTTATAAAAATGTATATACAATTGCATTAATTTGTCCTTTTAATTTCGCTTCTCGTTCACTTTATAGACTTTGACGAATGCAGCGATGGGACCAGCAAATGCGCTCAGGTGTGCAATGAGCTGAACCTCTTTGAGAACAGCCAGGGATACAACTGCAGCTGCATCGGTGGCTTCAAGATGCAGCAAGATGGCATTAGTTGTCAGCGTGAGTGCACTTAATTGAGACACGCATCTTCTGGTGTAATCGGTACCCTATTTCCCACTTGCCTTGTGTATTTTTTACCGTATTTATTCTTGTTGGTGCTACCACAATGAGTACACTATACTATATGTTAAACATGTACTACGCACATCAAACTGTAATGTTTTACATTTCTGTAGGATTGTATTGCCTGTAACTTACAAATCGCATAAAAGCAAAGCTAAATATTCTACGTGACAGTATTAAACATTTTAATGTAGTCTTCTTCCGCTCCAAGAAATGTTAATGTAGAAAAATACAGTAAAATGAAACATTTATATATGTTTTGGAATTTAAAGTAATGATGGTCTGTGTGTATACATACAATGTGTAGAGTGGTGATTGGTTACAATAGTGGCAAATGTCGATTTAAATTCCTGGCAACGTCGATTTAAATTCCTGGCAATGCACGTCTACGGCTGCCGATATCCAAATTTGACCCAAGCCTCCTCAAAGGTATCCTTGAAAATAAATATTTGTATAAAAATTAGTGTAGCCGGTCCTCCCCCTGTCCTCTCTCCTGCTGTGAATCGCCCAATAGCCATCAGAAGAAACAGCCTCCCCACGTGGCAATACCGCAGTTCAATTTCTCATCACGAAATTCGCCCAAATCTCAATTGTGATAAGAATAGCCGCTTATCATATCTAAAACGTCGTGAGAATTTTATTGTTTTATATATATTTTTTATTGTTTCCCTTCAACGTGACTTTACCAAAAGAACCAAGAATATATATATCTAGGAACATTTAACATACAAACATCTGCCCGAAACATATATGATGCCCCTCCTAAACGTCCGAGTTCATCGTAATACTTAAACGTTTCGTTGAACATCCAATTCTATGAACAATGTTAATTAGAGAAATCATATTTAACTGACAAAAAACATCAAAAACAGTTATTCTTTCTTGTATTAATGTGCCCGCTGCCAAATCGCATGTTCTGCTCAGCTCCATTAGCTCGCTCAGTGTTGAAACCCAAGCTCTAATCAGCCATCGTGCGCCTTTACAATGTACAGCGCTACATCGCAACAACACCACCACCAAGCGTTTGCAATAAGTTATATATATTTAAAAACATTTTTTTACAAACACGCTTTAATGAAATGTACCGTACTAGTAATGGAAGAACTCCACGACTCCAGGAAGTGGCCCCGAAACTTGCCACAACGTAAGGGACAGTGGCCAATTACAGCCAAGCCGAAACATAACATAAAAAATAATGTTTAAAAATCTATTTTTTTAATATTTAATGATAGAATATAGTATTGTCATCAGTATGACTAAGTTTGCAGTCGATACCACATTGGGAAGTGGGTTAAAGGATACAACAATAAAAGCGTGTAAGAATAAAAACGACTTCCGTTTTCCAAATCCAAAACGCACTCATCTTCCAACTCCGTTATAGCTATTGATTCGAGTTGTATTGTTCAAAGTAAACAAGTTAATTAGCACTCGTAATACTGATTAAATAACTCGCCACGAAGACGATTTCCCGCGCAAAAAAACGGCAAATAAAACAAAATACAATTCAAAAAAGATAAAGTGAACAATCTCCTACCTGCAATAGCGATCAGAAGCACCCTCCATGTCACAACACCGCTGCTAGATTTCTCTGTTGATGGGATTGAGTGCCAGTATTTATTTTTAGACCCAATGAATACGAATATCTAAAAAAAATCAACTTTAATATTGAAGTTTTAACTGCTCCTACATTAAATTTTTATTTAAAGCTTACGTGACGCGTTCGTTGTTTCCAATCATAGTGCGCGCATGTACAACAACAACAAATAAGTGCGAGTTAATCGAACGCGCCACTTCAAACCCGCGTTACGTAAAACGCGAGGCGACTCCACCGAGCTCCTGTCAGTCGATTGACATACATTTAACAGTGAGACATTATTATTGGAGCTAATGTAGCAACAACAACACGCGGCTGAAAGGGCACTTAATCCGCCCAAATCTAAGCTGTGCACTTCGGGGGCTAGGGTCCCAATCCTTGATCACCATTGCATTAACTTAAATAATGATTTTTTTTAAATGCACATGGTTACCCGTCGCTGTGAGCAGAGTGCTCAAATTATACGTGTCATACGTGTGATTAATCATACATGTGATTAATCATTCATAGGTGTGATTGATCATGTGTGATTGATCATGTGTGATTGATCATACGTGTGATTGATCATGTGTGATTAATCACAGGTGAGCACACACAACGCTGGTGAGACGTGGTGCTGGCCACACTTCCTGTGTCCTAGACTGGTTCTTAAGTGTTTGTGAACAACACATGCCCACCAACTTACAAAGTTAAGTAAGGGATCACTGTGTGTTTAATTCAGATTTAATATATATTAACAAATACAAGAACGGTAGTGTATATTAATTCTGTACCTCAGAGATGTGAATACAAATGCTGCCATATATGCTATGACTGACCCAAAGTCTGACATATCTCCATATATATGTAGTGGAGTACGAAGGTGCGTTGTGGAAACAGCGTGATTACATGATCACACAGACAGTACGGGTTATCTTGGGTCAGCCTGTAGCGAAGACGAATACAGTGCAGGTTATGTTGGGGCAATTCAGCTGGGAGAGCCGTGGACGGCTGTGATTGGTTGGTGCTGTTGCCGGGGCTGAAGAGGCGTCTAAAGGTCTGGAGGGGAAACAGGTGAAGGTCACGCGGAGTGCCGTAGGGACGCGGGTTAATTAATTGGGGGTGTAATGAGAGCGGGTATAAGAGCGGGAGTCGGAGTCAACAGAGGGGGTTGAATGGTGGAGATCTTGGAGAGAGGATGAAGAGCGGAGAGCTTGGAGATGGGTTGAAGTTGGAGAGCTTAGGGGAGTTGAAGTGTGGAGAGTTTGGAAGACAGTTTGAGACAGAGTTTGGAAGACAGAGTTTGAGAGACAGAGTTTGGAAGACAGAGTTGGAGTTAAGAGTTGAAGGGTGGATTTGCTGAGTGCAAAGATGCTGTGTGCGAAGTCGCTGTGTGCGAAGTCGCTTTGTGCGAAGACGCTGTGTGCGAAGTCGCTGTGTGTGAAGACACTGCGTGCGGAGTCGCTGAGTGCGGAGTCGCTGAGTGCGGAGTAAGCGAAGTAATCGTGGGGGAGTGGAGAGACAAAGGTGGCGAGCGAGTCGAGTGAAGCACGGCGAGCGAGCCGTGGCGACCAGGATACTGTGGAATGTGGAGGACATGCTGAGAGTTGTAAATAAAGCGGTGTTCGGAGAAAGACAGAAGTTGTCCGAGTGAAATCGAACACTACATATATAAAAGGCAAAGTTGTGATTATGTGTCTGTTCAAAATGTTTAGTGTACTTCCCGACATGCAACAAACTTGAAATTTGTCATGTGGGTACTTTCCAGGCTGTACACCATGCAAAAATATAAAAATACACTTTTTTGTGGGTGGGGGAGCTCAATAACGCATATTCTTTTTGCACGGCAAGTGAGCTGTGACATCATATCTGTCATGTGACCCACGCATGTGGAAACGTAACGCATTGTAGTGTAGTGGTTAGCGGGCCGCGCTACGAACCCGGTGACTTGAGTTCGATTCCTGCTCACGCCCACCACCTGTGACGATTATATGAACCGGTCCTGGGCCTCCCCTAGGTCGACTCAGCCTCAAACGAGTAACTGGTGTGGTGTGTGAACATCGCCACTGGAGAGACAAAGGCGGCCGGGCGTGGTGAATCCAAGTCCCGGGCGAAGCCGGGTAGTAAAGCTAGTAGCTCATATTTGCAACTTTTATAAGATTTAAAGTACATATTTGAATCGTAAATATAGGCAATGGTCACCAATGCATAAGCAATTTGACCAATTGAATGCAACTGGGAGTGGAGTATCATATCATGGACAGAGCCAAATGGAAGAAGGCCATGATCGCCGAAGTCTTTGAGAAAGGACATGGCTCATGGAGAATAGGAATTGGATAACTAAATATTTATAATATGACTGCACTGTGTCATTTTGATCATGGGATGGTAGGCTTGAATAAAGAAAATCAATGTCATTATTTAGAGTACAATATACTATTGCCTTGCATCAAAAATGTAATCTAAACATTACATTTCATATTCATCTGTTTTGGCCATCTCTTTACACCCAAACATCACATGTTAGCTGTTTAATAAGTTTACTGAATGTATAAGCACGTACATACAGATATTTTTTTGTTTACAACATACTAAATGTATTTACAGTCAAATATATATAAAAAAAATTGCTTGTTAAAATATTGAGTCATAGTGTATGCATTACTGTACTGTTTCATTACACACGTTACGTTTTGAAATGTGAACAATTACACTGCAAATACCGTATGGAGGTTAATGCGCTGTATATGTTATATTTTATTTTTCAGCTATTGTGAGCTGCACACTGGCCTGTACCAATGGAAGGTGCTTTATTGATCCCAACACAAAAAGGCCAACCTGCTCCTGTAACATTGGTTTCGTCCTTGACAAAAGCCAGCAAAACTGCTTTGGTAAAACTGGATTCGCCAGCACAGCTGACATAATATTGCATGATCAATCTGTTGTATTTTTTTGCTTTCTTCTACCTAATATCCATTCTTAGAGGAGATGTCGGTAATACTGTATCTTTATTTAAAACATTTAAGATTCTAACATTGTTCTAAAATGTTATGTTTCTAATCTGATGATTGTGCTTTACGTACCCTCAAACATACCTCTAGACCTGCTGCTTAGCTAGCTATATCATAATAATTATGATAAATTCCCAATACTATGTTGTTTAAGCTCAATTGCCTGATAACCACATGCAATGCTACTGAATGATACATATTTAAATGAATAGCTGTTAGTTGCAAGCAATGCAATAATTGTCATGATACATTTCCAATACTGTGTTGTTTATGCTCAATTGCCTGATGACTGCGTGCGGTGCTCTTGAACGATACAGATTTGAATGAATGTGAAGAGCAGCCTAAACCGTGTGAGCAGGAATGCTCTAACGTCATCGGAAGCTACAGGTGCTCCTGTTCTCCTGGGTTCACGCAGGATCCCGTTGTTGCTAACAGATGCATTGGTACGTGAAAACCGTCACTACGGAGATTTTTCCCAGTTCCACAGCCCTTGTGTTTTTTCTTTAAACAAACAAAGCATGATCGATAGGGGAAAGGGGTACAGGTATTCCATGGGGTAAAGGGAAGGGAAGAGTGATTGGGATCACTGTCCCCCTACTCACGTAGGGGCAACGATCAGGAATGTGGCATTTTTATGGGAGCAAAAGAAGAGGGAAAGGAGGGGGGGGGATGTACTCAAACAGAACCGCAAAATAAAATAACATAGACACGAAATGAGTGAAGTTTAACACGTAGGCTTTCGCGACCAATATTATTCATAATGAAGGTTTTTGGGTTAGATCGCGTTATTTATAAATGTGTCGTAACCCTCCACCACCCGACATGGGCAATCAGCAAAAAAAGTGTCACGTTGACAAAAGACAAATAGTTCACTACTTTAGCTCACCGGTGTGTTGAAGAGTGAATCCACAACATTTACAGTTTGAGTACGACGTTTCGCTGCTAATTACATCCAGCATCCAGCATCATCGGGCAATTCGCCAGAAAGAGTTAAATGATGACGTCACCCTGCTGCTCTATTTAAGACCGGGAGCAAGCGATGGCTTTACCATTCTGGCGAATTGCCCGATGATGCTGGATGTAATTACCAACGAAACGTCGTACTCAAACTGTAAATGTTGTGGATTCACTCTTCAACACACCGGTGGGCTAAAGTAGTGAACTATTTGTCTTTTGTCAACGTGACACTTTTTTTGCTGATTGGCCGTGTCGGGTGGTGGAGGGTTATGACACATTTATAAATAACACGATCTAACCCAAAAACCTTTATTATGAACGAAATGAGTGAACTTGTCATTCCACATCCCTTTGTTAATCCACTGACGTTAATTCCCCACATCATCTTGGTCACAGGTTTTTGTTTTACCATACTTTGTTAGTGCAGTTTGGGGGCTGTGTTGTTAAGGATATTAATTTCATTGCTACAGCAACATTTAGTTGAAAGAAATAAGTATGACCGAGCCATTACATTTTACATGATACACATGTGTACCATTGTACTATTAATAATTGTTACATACCTGTTACACCTTAATGCTGGGCGGTGGATGCTATGCACGCCTGTAATCCAGGATGGTGGAGGTGAGAGTTGGTGAATCGCACAAAAAATATTGTGAAGCTCCCTTCCCATGGGCATCAAGGTGCCATACCCGAGGCTCGCCAGGAAAAGGAAGAACAGCGAGTCCAATAATAATTATCATACGTTTTGATTCCTTTCGGGGATAAGAGTCTTGCCCCCTTTACACGTGCGGTTTATCGCTGGGTGCTAGTTTTTTTTTCCCTACTTGTATAGACACTCGGTAATTGCCTGAAAACATCTATAAAAAATCCCAATGGAGAACCTTTGTGTAAAAAAGAGTCCTAAGGGGTGTTGGGGGGGTCTCGTGGATGAACGAGTAAATCATTATAATGAACTGTGTGCTGCTCAAAGGCTTTACTCCATTTTTATGTTTTCTTTTGTTCCCCACAGATGTTGATGAGTGCCAGAGTAATCCTTGCACAAATTCTGGCACCTGTCAAAACATGGTAAATAAATTCTCCTGCCATTGTACCAGTGGGTGGACCGGTGTCTACTGTGATGAAGGTGAGTGGAACATTTTAATTACATCAATGTTTGTGTGGTAAATGCTTCCAAGCATGTGGATGTAGTTTATGTACTATAATGGAAGCAACATACTTATAGAGGTAACAATATGCTTTTAAGTGAGAGAGATCAAACACGTTAAAGAAGCACTACGACAGAATGGCTACAATAATGCTCAAATTAACAGAGCACTGAATGCCAAATCACGATCGCAAAGCAATACTGCTGAAAGCAATCAGATTGTTAAAACAATTAAAATTCCATATATCTCAGGAGTAACTGACAAATTAGCCCGTGTTTTGCAAAAGCAAAATATTACAGTAAGATTTGATACAGTACACAAAATTCAAAAACTAGTATCTTGCACTAAAGACACATTACCTAAATTATCAACAGAAGGTGTATATCGGATTAATTGTTTATGTGGCAGATGCTATATTGGACAGACGGTACGTAACATCAGCATAAGACTAAAAGAACATCAAATAAATATTAAATTATCTCAAACACAACTGTCGGCAGTGGCAAAACATGCTAGTCAACAAGGACACTCAATTGATTTTGATAACTTTGATGTGTTGTGTAAAACTAATTATTACTGGCAAAGACTAATCAGAGAATCCATTGAAATTGAGAGGAATAGAAATAACTTTAATCGCTCTGACAGCTACAGGCTTAGTGCGGCTTGAAAGCGTATTATTAAATAATACATATTACAATTCCTTATAGGGGAAACACATACTAATTAACGGATTACTAACGTAGCATATAAACACAATAAAACACATTACAGCTAATTACCAATCTACAACTCATTACTAATCATAACCATTGACTGATTACCAATCGATTATATAATTACAATACCCCCCCCCCTGCCTCAAATCACTGCACCTGAAATGAGTTAAATGATGACGTCACCCTGCTGCTCTATCTAAGACCGGGAGCAAGCGAGGGCTTTACCATTCTAGCGAATTGCCCGATGAAACGTCGTACTCAAACTGTAAATGTTGTGGATTCATGCTTCAACACACCGGCGGGCTAAGTAGTGAACTATTTGTCTTTTGTCAACGTGACACTTTTTTTGCTGATTGGTTGTGTCGGGTGGTGGAGGGTTACGATACATTTATAAATAACGCGATCTAACCCAAAAAACTTTATTATGAACAATATGCTTGGTGACATTACTACTACATATTCTACGTGATGTGAGTTTGGGGCAAAATATGCTTACATGTACTGTATGTTAATTTTGTATAACAACATTTAGCAGAAATGTCGTAATCAAAATTTATTTTTGTAAAAAAAAGTTAACCGGACGTTTTACATCGATGGGTACATTTCCATGACCTTTCATGTATGTGTGTTTTTGCAGATGTAAATGAATGTGCCTCTAGACCATGCTCCCATGGAGGGACCTGTGTCAACACACAGGGCTCCTTCTCTTGCACATGTGCACCCGGTTGGAGTGGGAACCTCTGTTCACTGCGTAAGCTGATACATATCCGTTGGCTAGTTTTGAAAAATTACTCGCAAAATCACTGAATTGGGAATAACCAGATAGCAACGTTGGCCCCTACCGGCAGATGAAAGCCCACAAGCAGGCCAGTGTTGTGTGCGCTGAGTGCCACACAGGGATAGCTGCCACTGGGGAGCATCTTTAGCCGGACAGCAGCAGGGTATCAAAATGGTTGAGATGAGATACGATGGAGGGCACTTTGAGTGCCCTATAAATGTAAATCCTTAAACACATTCAAAAGTCCATGAATACTAACAAACATTGCTCTTTTTTGTGTTACATGGTTCACGATAGCAAAAACACATTTTCTATATGGGAAATGTAGATGTAGCACCAATGTCTGCACATTGATGCTTTAACACCTATAAACTTCACAAATAAAACGTATATGTTAAATACAATTCTACAACCTCACACTGCCTATTTAGGTCTTTTTTTTCCACCAGACATGAAATGGTGGTTAATACGAATGACATTTTGTGTCTCATTGTTGTTTATCTGGAGTGTGCAATGCGGTCCTGTGCCATCGTGTCGACTGCACAAGTGTGTGTTCACACTCCCCTTTGCTTCCTTAGTTGTGGATGAATGTGCGTCCAACCCGTGCATCCACGGCACATGTGTGGATCAGGTCAACGCCTTCTTCTGCAGATGTGACGAGGGGTGGTCGGGCGACACATGCACTACGAGTGAGTCCTGATCATGCTCGTCTTCACTGAAAAACGTTTTAGATCGAACACGGCTCAGCTTGCCTCACATACATATGGAGCATAACAAACAAAGTGTCTTTAGCCCAGTACATGTGCTTCGTTCATAACAACCTCCCAAACACCTTCCTGGGGTGCGAGTAGGCAGATGCACTACTACGATAACTGAACGGCAACCCAGGAATAGATAGTTTACTTCTACCCATTACTATTGATTGTTGTGCCACTTTAATGCCCTTAAGCTGAAGTTTAATGGGCACATTTTCAGCTTGTAGAACTTTCTGGCGTTTCCAACATAAAATTGTTGAATGCTTACACATGGACGTGAAGAGTGTTTTGGTGCATGTGTTCATATAATGAATATGATGAAGCACTTCAAAACGCATTTTACATAATGTACTGTACTATATTTTCAAATGAGACACATGTGCAAAATAGTAGAGCGCATAAATAAACTGAACTCAACTGGCATTGAGAGAGAAGTAAATATGTCTAAAGGTATGTGTAAGTGAGTGTTGTGTGTGTCAATTTGTGCATAAAAGTGGTTCCATCAAAATAATAGTTTGCTGCGCCATGCAGTGAATAGTGTAATTAACCTTATGTGTGTATAACTGCTGCGTTGTGGTATTGTTTAGACATCGACGACTGCGTGAATGCACAGTGCCAAAATGGTGCAACCTGCATTGACATTCTGAAGGGATACAACTGTTCCTGTATTCTGGGATACACAGGGCAATACTGCCAATACAGTAAGGCTCATTTCCCTCATTCTTTTATATGAAGTAAAATGTAAGAGTTTTCAACTCAGATGAGCACTAGGCTGTGTTTATATCATACTATTGCATAGCTTTTGTGATTGTGCTGTATACCTCTGTTGCACTTTGTGTTGCTTGGCATGATGTCCAATGTGTATTTAGTTCTCTTAAGAAGCTGCTAGCATGTATAGCGAAACGTCGGACACATCATGCCATGGTGAAGAACATGCAGTGCCAACCAAGAAGACACACCGTAGATTTGTGCGATCTCTTTTGTTATGCTGAGCCATTGGTAGAATTTACACATTCATATGAAGGAGCCCATGTTTAGGTTGACCGCTGTTGTTGAGGAATGTCGAGAAAAGACGATCCCTGACTGGGATTAGAACTCATAAGTATATGAATGTATTGTAAATTATTATTTTTGAGTGACTTTAGTTTAGGGGGTAGAATTCTGGACTAAAAATCCTCACGCATGGGTATGATTTCCAATTAAAATGAATGCCAATGAAAATAATCTTGTAATATTTATCTGATTTCTCATTCCAAAATCTGTGGGTTATATGGAAGTTGACCATAGTTGTCATACTACAAAATACAATGTGGGCCATTATTTTATATATTTTTTTAATTGATTTCTATGAGAATCAAATGTGCCAGCAAGAATGTGAATTTGAGTAAATCACATACTCCTATTCGTGATTATGTCTGCTACGCTTTCTTAACATTGTATTCGACACCTATTCTTCTTTTGTAAGGCAGGAGGATACATCAACAGTTTTGAAACATATGAAAGTTGAATGCTAAGTTATTTAAACAAATACAGGGAGGCGGTAGACACTGTATGGATTGCAGTGACACCGCCAGGATCTGCATGCATGGTGCATTTGTCGGTGATGTGATTCTAAACTTAGCAGGTTACTTACCCTATCCTGCCATGAAATTTGTATTATGTTCTGCGCGAGTCCTTATGTAATCGCCAGACTTTTTTGTCCCTCTCAACGTCTTGTGTTCCATTGGCAAGTTATGATTAATGTAGCTGTCAATAGTGTAAATCTTGGACTGTTAAAGTGACATTTACATGAATGATGTTTGTGATTTCTCCATAGATATCGATGACTGCATTGGAAACGAGTGTCAGCACAGTAGCACATGTCTGGATGGTGTCAATAGTTACATCTGCCTTTGTCCGAGTGGATGGAGTGGTGTTCGCTGTGCAAGTGGTAAACATACATATACCATGCTACTTATAACAATTGACGTATAACTACTTAAAATACTTATAACATATACTTATAACAATTGAGCATCGCCCATTTACTCGTTAAGCCATACATGGTACTGCATACATAGTTTGAACCGGTGGTCCAGTGGTTGGGGCACTGCACTATGAACCCCGTGACCTGAATTTGATATCTGAACCCGTCCTGGGCTTCGCCTTCATCAGATTGTAAAATGCTGTGTTGTGAAGTATGGTCACACTACCCCCATTACCAACACAGTGTGGGGAGGCCTTCATCCTGTTCATGGATTGAAGAAAAGGCTGCACATTTTTATATGTTTTACCACATATCTAACTTTTAAAAAACTAAACCTGCGTCTTTTGGGAGGATCTTCTACCAGCAGTGTTGTAAGCAAGCAACTACAGAGCTGCACCTTTCAAATCTCTTAACATTATTTCGGTTTTAGTTGTTATGGTGAAGTTTGAGTAATGATTGTTCTTCTCATGCCGAGAAGAACATACAATTTGTATGTTTTAAGCTTGCTGACCTTCATGAAAATAGTCTAAAATGTGATTTTTAAAGGATGCAATCTCAGCTCAGTACATACAGCATGTCTACATGTATGTAACTGTGGCCGTGTGCACATTGTATGTTTTGTTCAGACATTGATGAGTGCAGCGCTGGACCTTTTCCCTGCCACGGAACGCTTGGGATCTGTACCAACACGCCTGGCTCATACGCTTGCTCGTGCAAGCCTGGCTATGAGGGAGATGGCATTCAGTGCTTCGGTATGCAAACTCTGCTTTTGAGAATAATAGAACACACGATAATTCAATTTCAATAAAGTTGTCACGTGGGTAATTATGCTAATTGCTTTGGTTTGACAGCAAACTGAAACGTTAATAAGCACGCATATTTTTGACAATTGTATATTGACATTTTGCTGAAGATTACATCCAGCATCAGCAGGTGTAAACATATACATATAATATGCATTCCATTTACAATTAATATTTACAAATTCAAAATCATGTATATGTCAATTAATTCAATATAGAGATACTCATCTGATACTGATTGGATAAATACCTGACAATGCTGACTTCTGCAACCACGTCTCGTGACCTTTCCAAATCATGAACTAGGGTTTAATACTTTCTGAAAAAATGATCACTTTCCATTGACACCTGCATCTAAGCAAGACATTTTCTATTACCCAAAAGTCAGTTTTAATGTGTAACAATTATATTCACTGTAAGAGTCTTTCTTTAATAGTGTAATTGATTTATTTTCACAGAGAAGAGGCTCTTCGATTATGGGAGAAATGTGCACGACCAAAGTCCGTATATTTGGGACACAGACTATGTGTCTCCGTTCTTCTCACCACCGTACGGATTTCCATTCGGAACCAAGTTCTACCAACAGTTGTATGTAAGTAATGTCAACTGATGCTGTTACAAGATATTGTACAATACATATGTCAATGTCTGAAAATGTAGTTTCATTATTGCTAAATACGTCATGTTGACCGGAATATGTTGAAGTTATTTAAATACTTATGTGCTGTTTTGTTGCCCCAGCATTGAGAACATAATTATTAACACTCGCATATGTAAAAATAAAAATAAAAGGAAGGTGCAACTCCTAAATAAATAAATGCATATCTTTTATAGATTTGTACCTAGGCTGTGTGTATCGGGCTGTCCAACACAAGTTTTATCAGTGTGTAAACACTTCTACTAGAGCTTTCTCTAACCATGCGATTGCAATGTGACTGCCATAGATTTAAATAAAAATGTCAGAATGTAGTTGCATTTGAATGAAAACGTATAATACAGCAACAGCTAGGTGTTCGCAGCCAATTTGATTTGTAATATAATTTTGGGTTAGGCATTATAAATATTGTGGATTCACTCTTTAACACACCGGTGGGCTAAAAAGTAATGAACTATTTGTCTTTTGTCACATTTTTTACTGATTGGCCGTGTCGGGTGGTGGCGGGTTGCGACACATTTATAAATAACGCGATCTAACCCAAAAATCTTTATTATGAATAATACTGGTCACGAAAGCCTGCTACGTGTTAGACTCACATTATGATCTGACTAAATCTGTGTCGATAAACCCTCATTACCTGACATAACCACACTACTTACATTGCCACGTGTACAAGTATTAGTATTGTTTCAGGTCAACCGGTAAGTTGAAGAACAATTCTCACAGACCAAATTTAGCAATTAGATACACAACGTATCGCTTGAAACTGCGTCAAACACCTTCAGGAAAATCCAGGAAATCGGGGAATCTGATTAGCTTTATTTGGTTGTGAGTACCGTTCTTTTAGCACGTTTGTTTGGCTATATTGGGCGGTGGAGGGTCTGTTGATACGATTTTCGTCAGAAAATGATGTGGCCTTACAGAAAAATCTATTGTCCATACAACTCCATTGATGTATGTATGTTGAACGTCTTTTGCACCGTACGTAGCCAACCGTGCTAATCAGAGGTGCGGGGGAAGGACAACAAACTAAAGACAAAACCCGTTTTTTATAGTTGATACGAGTATATCGAATTTACAGCATTCACACTTTAGTGATGACACTGTAATATCCGACAATACACTTACAAATTTATTTTATATTAAAAAGTATGTTGTTGGATCGTCCAGTAAGATATCATATACAGTAGATGTTAGCTATGTAGCTGTGAAGTAATACGGGCTTTGAACTTCAATTATATCATGGATGCGTTTCATACACTTTAAATATGTGGGAAATCATTTGTATAATTATTAAGCAGCTTTTAATTGGGCATGGTACGTCCACCATTTAGAATAAAAAATCAATAATTCGCCCAATTATCTTGATGAAGGAGAAATTCTCAAAGCATCACGGTGTTGGATGTACACACATAGAGGAACTGATTTTAATCCCATGCTGAGATGCATGCAGTTTCACATAAACCAAAAAACCGTTGACTTGTTCAATAAATAAAACAACTTTTATAAATTTGGATTTAAAGCTTTCGTGACTGCAGGGATTCATATTCTTGGTTCTTTCGGTAAAGTCACGTAGAAGGGAAAGAATAAAATACTAAAAATATAAAACAATAAAATTCTCACGACGTTTCGACTGCAACACAAGCAATCATCATCAGGTGTATAGATAATTGTCTTTAATAATACACCCACTTTGTCGAAGTAGTTTTTTAAAATTATAATTGTGAGGTTGCCTAATTTGTGCAATTATTTATATTGCCTAATTTGTATATTGCCCAGTTCTTTGTTTGTTGTCTTATTTGAATTGTGCAAAAGTGGCACTCGTGCATTTGTTTTCTGTCATTTAAGATCCTCAGATATTTTCATTGATGCACGTTTGTCTGTGTGGTATCCAGTTCACAGACAACGGGTTGATTGTGTTCAAAGAAAACGAAGACCAATCAAAGTTTGCTTATCCCAATCCAACTAGAAATTCATGGTGGTACTATACTCCCATGATTGCAGTTTTCTGGGACGATTGTGACTTCTCATCCGGCATTGGAAAAATATATTACCAGGTATGTGTGCTGTACGCTGAAGAGTGTAAAAGCCATCGGCACCTCTGTATCCAGTTGCCGTTATTGTTGTTAGCCTGTAACTACCCGCTCGTGGGCAAAGGTCTGCCCCATTTTCTTCCATTCCTTCCTTTCCTCGGTTGTCAAGTAGTGAGCCTCCAACCTCTTTTATTTCGTCTCGCCATCTCTTTCACCCTCTTTCTGTTTCTTCGATTGCCTTCTCTTCAGTATGCACTATGTAGTTAATTTCCTCTATCGCTCATCATCTGTTGTCATGATGTGTCCTGCCCATTTCCACTTGATTTATTTTTCCGTGCATTAAATATATATAGCTTTCACGTGAATGCACACGTTTGCAAACCTAACAATAATGTCTTGCTGGAGTAAAATTGTTGGGCTTCGTCTCTCCACCTCAAACAACATTGCTTCCGTTTTGCAGGAGTATGACTTTACTGTTGGCAACCCGAGCCAAAATGCAACACAGCTCCGTGAAAAGGTGCAGGCGCAGGTCCGAGCCAACTTCAGCACTGTGCCGGATATAATAAACTATGTGCCCACCTGGATGTTAAAGATCACCTGGGAGGAAGCTCCTGCTGTGCCAGCAAACAACAATGGCAGATATGTAAGAATATTTAGCTACTCTATTGCAGGATATACTTGAATGTCACTTCATAATTTTTTTCACATTTTTATTTTTTATTGCATTTTTCAATAAATGTTATGTGTGTGTGCATGTGTGCGTATTAAGTGTACAAAACAAATATCGTAAATAATAATTTTATTTCATCAAATGTTGCTTGATTTTTGGGGCATCAAAAAAATCTATCTAATCCAATCACAATAAGTATTTGATATATGTTAGTCAATCATAACTGTATTTATTGAATTTAAATGAAATTTGATAATCACAAAAAAAATCACAGTTACGGAATTTCTTTCGTTTATTTTATTTGTTTTGGTTTGGCACATTATCTTGACCTGGCAATATGTTACTGCAGCAGACATAAGGTAAACTTGAAATGTCCAAGTGACCTTGACCAGAGTGGGTTCCGGGTATATCGGGTGTGAGGCATGATCCATCACTTACTCATGCACATGCCGTCACACCATCCTGAGCCATGCATGCCACGCAAGGCCTCCCCACACCTCGTCAGTCATGGGAGTTGTTAAGACCATACTTCACCATGCTGGTCGGGTTGAGTTGGTGAGGTTGGTGGTGGAGGGGGGTACAAGACTGGTTCAGATATCTCTCGTAACTGTTGTTAGCCATGGGTGGGGATTGAATGCACTTTTCCAGGTTTTGAGTGAAGCACACTCACCAACGTCTCTCCCCTTACCGCCGTGAAGCATTGCATAGTTATTTGAAACAAAATGTATTTTAAAAGAAAATTCTATTTCTGTAAATGGGAATTGAAAGATAATATTCGGAAAAGTGCCACTTATCCATAGGTTATAAATAGATGCCACGAAATATTTACTGTCAGCTCATATTTCAGATCCCGTTGAGTTATTTTTTCTGGATAGGGTTGCATGGCACTGCAATGGTGTTAAGCAAATTTTTGTTTGGACTCGGATTACAATGCAACACTGCTGCATTCCAGAAAATTATCTGTCCCCGCTGAGGCCCATACAAGAGTGAAATTCTTTTAACTTGACTTTATAACTCGTAGACCTTCCTGTCCATGCCTCATATGGGGTGCAACTTGGCATACACCTGCAGGATTGACACATTTTATCTGACTATGCCATGGAAATTATTTGATTGTACTTCACTACATTCCTCAATCAGTACCTTCCAAAAAACTTTTAAACTAAAGTGAGTTTGTATTTCTTCTCTCACGAAGTCCTAAATAGTATAAGCATTTACATGTTTATCTTCAATACTTTTTTTGTAAAATTGTAGCCAACCACAATAACATGTGTACTCTAAGCGAATTGAATGTCAATTTACATCTCTCAGTCGTTCTGCATGTTGTTTCGAATAATATCCATTTGATATCCATTCCACATGAATTTCTATTTGTTTACTTTCCAGACAAACACCTTCCAAGCCATCCTGAGTACAGATGGCATATTTTCATTCTGCCTACAAATATATAAAGATGGGGGCATGCGATGGAGAACTGAAGTTAGGGATTTCAACAATGCTGTCATGGGCTTCATGAGGTAGGTCAAACATCACCGATATAGATGGTTACTGTTTTTGGTGAGTTTGAAAATGTAATAATTCATTAAAAAATAATATTTTATGAGTTATATACTGGATGATCCATTTATAACATTGTGCCATGGTGGTGAGATGTTAACAACCTCGCCTGGTATACAGGAGGTTGTGGGTTCGATCCCGATCCCGACGTCTGTATATTTAGATTTTGCATGTTCTCCCAGTGGTAGCATGGATTTTTCTCCATGTCCGCTGGTTTTTCCCTCCACATTTAGAATCTACATGCGTTTAGAGTATTTGGCTGCTATACATTTCCACGTGATAAGCCACTTCTTTGAGCTATCATTTGAAGCCAGGTCGCTTCTGAAAAAGAGCTATATAGCTCAGTAGGTCTTGCTTGGTCAAATAAAAAAAATAGTTAATCGTGTAAATAGTTTATTGATTTCTAACGACCTTTTGGTGTTCTGCAGAACAGGTGATTGAATATTGTATAAACGATGGCACTATATCTTATCGAGGAGAGCATTAAACAATCTAATATGTAGTTTTGAGTTTGGTGAGAGACTTGTAGATGCTTTGAAATACAATTGTTTCTTTCTCTATTGATTTATCCATATCATTGCAATGGGGGTGTCTAAAAATGGATCACCCTGTATTTACATAATTTGATGCTACTACATTCGTTGTATCGAATACATCAGTACTTTCATAATATTAACCTTGTGTTACTTTAACACATTTTGTTTTAGATATTAGAATACCTATGGTAACAGTGTATGATTTCTGCAAAGTATGTTGTTACTTTGTTGGATATTGGTTTAAAAATCCACCTTGAATGATCAACCGATTTGAAAACATATGGAATCAGAATTTGACTATAAATGTGTTTTTGTTGATTATATTTGCGTGTTTTTATTAAATTTCAAAGTAATAATTGTGTTGTACACATTACATTGAAAACTAGAAAATGAACTCTTTAGGCAAACGAAAGTAGTAATAAAGAAGACAGTATATCTTGATTTTTTTATGTTTGATTTTGTTGATGACAATTGGATACGTTAAAATTGCAATTGAAAGTCTAAATAATAACGGATCATTATTTTATTTGAATTAGAATGTTGAATTGTCATTCTTTAAAATCCTCTTTTTATTGTTTAATATTTTTATTATTTTATTGTTTCCCTTCTACGTGACTTTACCGAAAGAACCAAGAATATCCTCTTAAGATGTTTGAGTCGTCCAACATTTATGCATGGATGAGTTGTGTGTTAATTTCTCTAATCTCTTACATGAGTGTTTGGATGATGTTTTTTTTCTTCCCATCATTCCTTCCTTTATTAGTGGACTAGAAAATAGCCCCTACATTGAACCAATTTCACTGTCGCCAAATGCCACCGTACGATATCGTCCAGACCAGGCTGTTGGAACAAATACAGGTATTCATATGAATTTGTAGTGATCAAATGTGACTGTATACATGTTATAGAAATGTTTGCAAGAGTGGATATTGCAGGTTTGTGTTCTTGTTCGTGTGAATGTACATGCCCATTAACTCTATACGAAGAAAAGGTATTAATCAAATAACAAATTAGTTATACAGTTGAGAAAAATGAATAAGCAAAAATAGAGAAACGCAATTGTATAAGTGCAATGCACAACATGGAATTGTGAATGTACGCACACTGCGCACTTTACAATTGCATTCCTTTATTCATTCGTGCACATTTTCCGCATCCACGAACTTAAGAGCTGCATTCTGTCCTGTGATGAATCAATTAAACCGTTTAAACATTTAAGATGAAGATACTGTAGCATGACAGCAAGGCTGATAGTCTTCAGACTTGCTGTGCGTCAATGTTGTCACGCAACACGTAGCAGCACAGTGTATGGTTTATTGCAAACCGGTATTTTTCCGGTTTCTGTTCAAACAAAAAAAAGATAGGCCTCTGTTGAAATACCCTGTCCTTTGCACGTGAATGAAAACACCTGCACGCTACTGTAGTAGATCCTATCTTGGTTGTCAAAATGGATCTTGACATTGGGATGTTTGCGTGACTTTGTCAGAAGCCAGTACACTTTGCAATTCCATTGAGATTGTCTTAGAAAAGCTTTTTTAAAATAAATTATTTTACCACACAGTGTCTAAGTAGGGAGTATTATTACCATTGCCTTTATATAAAATTGACCGTCTTTTAAAGTTTGGCATTTCCCAGGCAATTGGTTTTCAATTAACCACTCGCAAAAAAATGTACAACCCTTCCATGCGGTGGTGAATAAACTTGAAAAATAGAACATATGGATGTCTGTCTGTTAGTAAATTACGTTTATTTTTTTGTGATTCTCATTGTGGCATGTTTGTAAATTCATTAATATATTGATTGTTTAAAATTAATACTAAATTTTTGTTGCTATGTATATTCAATCAATACATTTTTAATTGGTTTGGTGCCATTCACAATAATTTGTCGCAAGATGCTTGACAAATACAGATACACGGTATTAAACAATAAAAAAACAAGAATAAATTATGCATCAACGTAAACAATTCAAATTATTCAATACAAAGATAAATTAAAATGCAATCTAAACTCTTATAGTACAGAAGATTAATTCACTTCTGGATAAAAGGCTCTCTTCATGACTTTCGGTCATGGGGATTGTTTGACCAATACGTCAATATGCTGACCAGAGTGTGCAACGATTAGCACACTGCGCTACGAACCCGGCGACCCGAGTTTTATTCTAGCTCATAACACCAGCGACGATTATCTGAACTAGTTCTGGGCCTCCCCTAGGTCGACTCAGCCTCAAATGGTGAGTAGTGTAAGCATCACCACTGGGGAGACAAAGGTCACCCACCCCCTCATGTGCCATACTGGCCTTCATAGGTGCTCACTTACAGCACTTGCCCTCACAGTCTGTTAAAGGCTATATGGGATATCTTTGTCTATGCTGGTCAATGTGGGTTGGTGAAGGTTGGGTGCCCAGGACTGATTAGGTGTCACTTACCACTGATGTTTTCCATGATCAGGAATCAAACTCAGGTTCTAACCATTGCTGGCCACCTGGGTTTGATTCCTAGCCACGTCGAACATCAGTGTTCTGAATCGGACATAGGCACCCTAAGCACTGCATTTTAACCAATCCATACTGACCAGTGTAGTGAGGTGCGACCAAACAACCTTTTTGATCTAAAGGGCTTTATCCAGCAGTGGGTTGGTAAAGGGCAATGTTGGTATGTTAAAAAGATAAGGCATTGTGTATTCAACGAAAAATCTTGACAGCAATCACGAAACATTCCTGACACATTCGTCATGAGCACTGAGACTCGTACTTGCAGATATCAACCGCTTCCATCGCACTTTGTTTATGCTCACTGTTCTTTTGTGTTAACATTACAATGCAACATGTCTGAGGAAAATGCTGCTTCATTCAATACAAGGTCAAACACTTACCCTTGAAAATATTGTCTATTTTCATGTAACTCATTGCAAAATATTACCTGCTTTTCGACAAATATGTGAAATTATACAACGCTCCCTTCACAATTAATTCCAAAGCATTGTTTTCCAGTTGTCAGGGCCATGATATAGCTGGTTGCAACTGCCCAAAGCATGTAATTCTTGTAATGTGTTGCATACATGTCAAAGTGTGTCATATATGGCCACATTAAAGAAGACACTTGGTTTCCCATATTTTAGCAAAAACAGCAATAAAGGCAATGCACTTAAAATGTGTTTTCTGAATGCTTCAGAGAGTCCGGGGGATTAATTGTTTCATGATCAGCATGGAAAGCAAACATCAAAGTAATTCCCGTAGGGTAAAACAGTCGTATTCACGTGGAGAACTGAGTGTAATACAGCACAAGTGTGCATACATTCCAAATGCTCTCATCATCACCTGTCTTGGTCTTTCCACTGCTGTTTGAAGGCCTCCCCATTTCAGGTGATTCTTTTGCTAGTTAAACACCTTTTGTGGTGTTCAACTCTCTGCTCCATATTATTAGCGAGTCATAAAAAGAGGATGCTCTATCTTGGTGTATATTTCACCTTCTCACTAAGGTACATGCTTAAACAAAACAATAAACATATATAGCAGTGCTCTTAAATACATGTTTTATATGATCAAATTATGTGACTCCATTGCAGGCTTGAAGGGGAGATCAACACTCAGGTTGGAAACGAACTCATATTATACCAAAAATCCAAAACGGGAATGCCTAAAATGGTATCAAAGTGAGCGAAACACCCCCTACTTCAGTCCCTTCACTACCTGCCCTTGTTTCTATTGGCAAGGGTATTTTGACATGTCCTACGTTGACGGGAACATCATACAAATGTATGGCTACAATCCTCCTTACGTCTCAGGTACGTTTATAATATTTGTTGTTTTATGTCTGATTTGGTTCGCGATAACGGTGCTCATGGTGGTGATGTGATTTTTTTGTTTACAATTTCTTGTCAGGAACAAGCCTCGTGTGCCGATATTTATTGCATTAATTAATCTGTACCTTGAATTGTATTATTGGAGCTGTATTGAAGCAATTCAATATGCAATTTATTTCTCCTCACGTACTTATATTCTGCATGTAATTGATTTCTGTAATGTTCGCAATTGAGAACTTTTGTAACTATCTTGCGAAAACAATTTCATTCGCATTTGTTAAGCCATTGGAAGCACCCTCTGTCATGCTGCCTTTCACTTTGTCCAAACACATTCTCACACCTGCATCCTCTCAAAAAACAAATACTGGACTGGCAACGTGTGCAATTTAGGAGCATCTCGGAGTCTACAGAGCATTTGGCCAGACTACAATGGTGGAGGGGTGAGATGCCACTATAGCTGGTCGGGCTCTCTGCTGTCGGGTGGGTACGAGAGGTATCTGCCCACTCCTTGGAACTACTGGTCGTGGTGGTGGTGGGGGGGAGCGTATTATATGCAACTACAAAGACAAGAATATCAACGTAAGTTACTTAAACGGTACGCTATTTCACAAAAAATAAAGTGGTGCTATTGCAGAAGTCACGTGATGTCATGGGCATATTTAAAAGATATCGAACTAAATGTTTCAGACTTTGTAATCGTTTTGCACGATATGATACTTACATTTCGATTTAAAGCTTTCGTGACTGCAAGGATTCATCTTCTTTGGTTCTTTCGGTAAAGTCACGTAGAATGAGAATAAAATAATAAATTGATAAAATAAAATAACACAATAAAATTCTCACGACGTTTCGGCCGCTTGTGTTGTGGCCGAAACGTCGTGAGAATTTTATTGTGTTATTTTATTTTATCAATTTATTATTTTATTCTCATTCTACGTGACTTTACCGAAAGAACCAAAGAAGACGATACTTACAATTCAGCAATTTGACAATAACGATGTTGGCAGATGCAATTGTATTTCACACCCATATCATCTCGTTGTTGTCCTCTGATGTCCTTTAAGTACAAATGTAGATTGTTTAAAGGGTATTCATCTGCAGTACACTCAATCATAAGCCTGCCATAAATCTTGTAAGCATTGTGACTCTACAACCTGTCATGCTTATAATGCACACGTGTTCAGTTACTCAAGAAAATTATTCAATAATTACATGGACAGCGAAAATCATTATCCAATTACATTTTTGTCTTTGTATTTTATTTGTTTAATATAGTGTAGTATCGCAAAATCGCAGAACCCTACCCATAGTTTTATCTTCGTTAGTCGAATGCATGTTTCAGTTGCTTAATTAAGTCTCCAAACAATACTTTACAATGAGTGATTGACTAATATTTTATTATGTCTTCATTGTTTTGCTCAATTTAGAAAAGGAAGCGAATCCCTATCAATACTGCTGTCAGTCTGGAGACAGTCGACTGTGTCGCCTGTACCAAGAGAAACGCCCTCGCAACCAATGTTCATTCTACAGGCCTCCCTTCTTCGGTGAGTCTCATGGTCTCTTCGCTATATGGCATATTTATATTACATGTATGTTCAGAAACGCAACATGCGCGATCCCGTCAGGATGGTGCTTGCATAGTGCTTCGATGAACATTCTGCAAGGATTTTGTGGTTGGCAGTACAGCAAAATGGATAATTTTACTGCACTGCTATGCTGCCCCCCCACCCCTTTTGTGTATGCTTGGAAAATTCACCAACCTGTACAGACTAGCATAGTGGTGAAGCATTGTCACGTGATCACTTGCGAATTGATGGAGGGGCAATTGTATTATTAAGACAGAGCCAACATATAAATTACATCCTATCCACACAAAACATTTAAAATTGAGTAAAATATCTTTCCGAAAAATGTGACTGCAATTACAGAATATGTAATTGCTTACCTGCCAGCACAGTTCTACAAACACTTGCATGCACATTTATGCATGCAGATATGTGTTTTACTGTGTAAACGCTTGAACGTGCACAACCTGCTGTAATATTTTTCTTGCATTGGCAGCATTTCTCCTTGGCGACCCTCACATCACGACGCTGGACAACGTCTCGTACACCTTTAACGGTCTGGGAGAGTACACGGTCTTGGAGGTGCCTGGCGATCAGAACCATTTCACCATGCAGGCCCGGACGGCGATCGCAGGGTCCAATGGGACCTCAAAAGCCACGTCGTTTGTGGCCATCGTGGCCCAAGAAAATGGCAGCAGCAAGGTGGGTAGGGAAGTGGCTCGAGCGCTCAGCTTGCCCCCTAACCCTTCGCCGTTTTGTTAACGTTTGTGGACAGGTGCTCTTATGACAAAGTTGGCACAGTAGGGGGGCACAGGTGGTGCATCGGCCAGTCATTTGAGTGAGTCAACCCATGGCACCTGGGTCTGTCCCATGACCTGCTGCCAGTGGGCGTTTGACACTTCACGTGGCCTTAACGTGCACATAGCCTGGCACAAGTGCCGCGGTGACGTCACCGCCACTTTGTGGCAAATGGCGGTTGTTGTTGTGACGATGAGGTGCACCTGTAACGAGCTTTTGCGTTCACAGGTTGAATGGATTCTCAAAGACAACATCACTGTCGTGCTATTAGATAGTCAAGTTACTCAAGTCTCAGGTACCCCCTTTGCATTGAGGTGCACATACACTTGATATATAATCATTTAAAGATGCTTGTGTGTGATTATTTTTTGTGACATATGCAATGCATCACGTTTTTTTTACGTATGATTTGATGTTTCATCTTAATATACCAAAAAGTTCAGTCGCAGTCAGTACATACATTGAATGTTCCTTATTGCCCACAGAAAAACAAACCACAGTAAGGATATTTTGTAAATTAGACCTTCGTCAAACCATCCTTGATAACCGAGTTTTAATGCGTTCCTGGATAAGAAATAATAATTTTGCTGTAATGTTCTCAAATGTGGTTTGTGGCTGTAAACGTTTTGCTCGGCACGATGTCCCACGTTCGCCTCCACATGCTGGAAGCTTGTTCGGACAGTTCCTGAGAGGCTCCTGAAGAAGGTTCTTGTACGTGGAGCAAAACGTTGGACATCATGCTGAACAATACCTGGTGCAACCAGAAAACACATCGGAGAGACATAATACAGCGTGACGGCGAAAACGTACACATTAGTATTGCATGTGTGATCTTCGCTGTAGCTTATATATATTAAACATTTGTCCTTTTTTCATTTCAACGTGCTTTGTTAGAAAACAAAACGTTTCACAACCAGACGTCAGTCGAGCTGTCGTATGGGTCAGTCGTCGCGTCGTTCCCATCGGGTATCTCCGTGAATGTGACGGCTTCTTACGGGGCGCTCAACTTCATCACTCTGCTACCCCAAAAATTCGTCAACCAAACGGAAGGCTTGCTGGGTGAGATGTCCATCCATCCCACTCACCGCCACCACCACACCAAATACTCATCTACCTCTGTCGGTCTGTGGGTTGTCTCCTTACGGAATGTTTTTTACTCTCCAATAAACAACAGCTGAAACATTTAAATCATCTCACAAATACAAACGCAGTATTTAAATATATTTTGTGATGCATGTAATTTGTCTGAGTTTTTAAAAGTAAAATTAAGTGTATTCCATATTTTACTTGCAGGTGTTTTCAACGGTGATCCTAAAGATGATTTTAAATCTAAGAATGGCACTGTGCTGCCCTTTGATGGAACAAATGTCCCTCCAGAGAACCAGTTATACTATGATTTTGGAGTCACATGTGAGTAGTTTATACATTTTCTCAAATTGTGTCGGCTGTGGGGGTTGTTTGACCATACTTAACCATGCTTATCAGTGCAGATTAGTAAAAGTGTGTGACAAGGGGGGAGCATTCGGCAACAATTTGACGTGCATCCTCCTGACTAACTTTGGTTATTGAACCAATTTTCTTCAATTTCCCTTCATATGTGTTGTAAGAGAAGCTAGCAGAGAAACACGTGCATTTTCATGGCAATATGCGTTTATATATGAGCATTTATATTGCTACAGCTGAACAATTCTTAATACAGTAGAACTCCTCTTAATGATAGCAATTAGTTCCATTGAACAGGTCGTTAAGTGATTTAGTCATTAAGCGAGTATAGGAAATACATGTTGAAAGCTAAATTCGTTCTGATAGCATCGACAGTTACGCTTTTTCACCCACAAAACACATACTTTATAATATTCAGACATTGGATATTAATACATAAAGATACTAACAACATTGTAAACACATAATAATAAAATAAACATGGTTAATCAATGCATTCAATTAATATTTACTGTACCTACAACAGCCCGTCGTTAACGGGAGAATGGTCGGTAAGCGAACACATTGGGCTCTTTGGAGGCACTACACTACACTATATACTATACTATTATACACTACACTATACACTACACTATACACTACACTACTATACACTACGCTGCTATAACTACACCACTATACACTACACTATACACTACACTACCATACACTCCGCTACCATACACTACACTACAATACACTAAACTATACACTACGCTACTATAACTACACTATTATACACTACACTATACACTACTATACACTACACTACTATGCACTACACTACTATACACTGCACTACTATACACTACACTACTATACACTAAACTATACACTACACTACTATAACTACACCATACACTACACATTGGGCTCTATGAAGGTCGCGTCGTTAAGCGATTAGTCATTAACAGGGGTGGTCGTTAAGAGTTCTACTGTAAACGCCATTGCAATTTTAGTGTTTTGAGTCTTGCTATGCTCATGCAATCAGCACCATTTACATTTGTTGTCACGTGGCAAAAAAAAACACTTGAAAGAGTGGAAGAATACAATTTTACATGGAAGGTATTTCAGACGACTCGTATAGAACTGCACGTGAGCATTCAAAAAAAAATACATTTCATGTCACAACAACGTTTGTTCTTGTTGTCATCGGTCTCAAAATACATATTCAGTTTGTGAATTACTTTCTGAGGAATCACGCATTGCCGGCGTACGTCCTCGTTTAAGGTTCACTGATTTTTAAGTGGACCGTTATGGGTTAATTTTTGCTTAGATACTATATTTCAGTCAATTTATTTCCATACCAGGTATCTAGGAATGCAAATTTTTTACGTGTTTTATTGAATTAAACTGATTGGGTAATTAACCATAATTTAGTGATTGTTAACATCTAATTGATTCTCGTTAAATATGATGAGCAAATATTAGCGAGTATTAAGATTAAAACTTTTGAAAAAGGAATGCATTATACATGTAACTGTGGCTCTTGCAACAGAATGACCTACGATTGAAATGCCTAGTACGACGTTGCAGGTGCATACATTCTTGTTATATTCACCGTTTTAAAAATGTTATATTTACAGGGCAAATCGCTGCAAACACGAGCTTGTTTTCTTACAACACCAGTGCTGGGGAGAGCTGGCACACCTACAACAACAACAGCTTTGTGCCGATGTTTTATGAAGAACTCCTTAATCGGACATCGGCCAAAAAACTGGCCAACGTCAGCGCTTCCTGTGGAGGGCAAAAGGACTGCATTTTTGATGTGCTCAGCACTGACGACCCCAATTTTGGGCAGGCCACGAAGAACAGTGCTGGAGAATTTGGATCGCAGGGCCAAACACTGCGTGGGTTTTATTCGTATTTTTTCTACGAACAAGTGTTTATGTTATTGAATGATGAGTAAAAAAAAAGGTGAAAACTACTAAAAAGCTTTGGATATTTTTTCATTGCAGAAAACTTCCCTCCCAACATTACAAGCAGTGGACAGCTCTCGACCAAAGTGAATTCCACGGTGTGGGCCAAAGTAATTGCAGAGGACCCCAATAACGACACCATTGTCTTCACCCTTACGACAAACTCATCAGGCCTCACAATTACAAGTGGGTTTTTAATATCTATAAGATGACCTTATTAGAAATTTCTATTACTTGAAAATGAACATCGCTATGCGATGTACATTCGGAGTGAAGCGCCCGTTGTTCGGCGTGATGTCTGATGTTTCTTTCTACGTGCTGGGAAATTCAGCTCCTTTTCTGAAGCTCCTAGGATGTGGAGTGAAACGTTGGACATCGTGGCGAGTAATACGTGGCAGAACCCGAAAAGACATGAGAGAGCTGTACAAAACACAACCGCGTACATCCACGCTGTAGTAAAATAAGCATTCGCCAAGATGAGACTCCAGACCAAGGGCTCGCCATGCTCATATGACTCTCTCTGTTGGTTGCCCAAAGCCAGTGGTGAAAATTGCACATTTTGCCATGACAGGGGGTCATTCTTTCCATATGATGGTCACTCTTACATTTTAAAATGATTGAACACAATACCCATATTATAAAGTATATATTACAAAGGGAGAATTTATATAATACTATTTTTTCCACTGGCATATTCAAGCCAAGCTAATCAGTGCATGGCCCTCACGATACGGGTGGTTTTCCACTGGCTAATTGCCGTGCCGAGCCAGAGCCGAACTGTGATACGCTTGCTTCACAAGCCATCTGAATATGGCGGGTTTGACTTAATCAGAAATGTCACCATTGCATCTGCGACCGGTCTCCTAGCAAGTGAGAGTGTAGTTCGAGGGATATGGCTGTCGCTTTTTGGACACATTTCCCTGTCTTGATGCACAAACTCCAGAAAATGGTGCACTTCAGTTGGCGGCTGACGTTCCAAGTGGACTGCGACCCTCAAAGGAATGCCCACCACCGCTGTTGTACCCCCCCCCACCCCCGTGATAAAACACAAACAAATCTCTCGAGACACTGGTATAGGCAGCAAGAGCAGTTTATGCTAATGCTGTCGCAAGAGGTCACACGTTTGGCGCAATCGCTATGTCCGATGAATGAATGGCCAAATACGGCGGCGGGGGGGGGGGGGCTAATTACACGTTCATTGCATGTGATGTCAATAAATAAACTGTGACAACAGCGTCACTGCATCACCTACACACGCCTCGACTTTCTCAATGTGTGCGACGTCAGCAGCACGACTCAGCTTCTGTATTAAAAATTTTACGTGGTCCCTCCTGAGCTGTGCCAGCCTTGCACGGCATGGCCCCAGCGCGGCCTGTTTGTCCAATGGAAAAAGGGGGTTAATTGGCACGGAGACTAAGATAAGGACACAGAATCTGCAATCTGAAAAGTTTTTTTTGGGTGCTGGCTGTTGCAGGCGATGGGAATTTGACATGGAGTCCCAGAAGCTCGGAGCCAGCGTTTGGCGTGGTGAGCGCCAGCGACGGCAAGGCCTCCTCTGCGCTGCTGCTCAACCTCACTCTCTGCAACTGCAGCGCGAACTCCATGTGCCTCTCCAACCAGACCACCCTGAGCATCAATGGCAGCGACGGATCCAATTTTCAGGTCTGCCAAACAATCTGCCTGCTTGTACCCTTTTTATAAGAAAGCGTATTTATGGCTCTGATTTATCGTTGCTGTATTGTAGCAGTTTCGCCATGGCAGTCTTCGTGCATGCTGCTGCAGGGAGTATGACCGACATTATTTTTTCTTGATTTGAAGTTTTCGTGACTGCAGGAATCCATACTCTTTTGTTCTTTCAGTAAAGTCACGTAGGTAGAAAATGAATAGATTCACGACGTTTCGATCGCAACACAAGCAACCGTCATCAGGTGAAACAAACACAGCAGGAAAACTTCATGTCTTACCAATTGTAACTTTTGGAACTGGCACCCAAGGCCTGCTCTTGTATATTATATCACGTGTCCTTTAATGTACGTATTTCAGTTGACCACACATTTTGATAATGACTCAAATATTTCATGCATTTAGAATTATAATTTTTGAATGTGAAATCCTCCAGAGAAACTAAGCTGTGCTCATGTACCACAGAATGACAATAGCACAAATAAATGTGTTATGGTTAGCAGGTTTTCAGTATTACAAAGCAGCCAGGATGCTTGTTACAATCATACATTAATTGAATCATATTTTACTGTTTCACTCAAGATGTAAGCATTGATTTAGGTCCATGTGCTTTTTGTGTTTAGTTTGCTGTCATGTCTCCGCACCTCCAATTAGCACGGTTGCCTACGTATGGTGCGAAAGAAGTTCAACATATATTTACATATAATTTCTTGATTAGGTTTATGTTAATCCACCAGCCACTGCAGATTGTACTTACATTACAATATTAACGATAACAATGTTTTTGTTAATCAAATTGTGAGGAGGCGAAGAGTTAATGCCCTAGTATTAAGGGTTATTGTAATAGCACCTTTTCTCTTATATATTAAGAAAATTAACCAATGCATATTCACTCCTCAACAAAACAATATCCTTTGTTCTGCGTTTAAAGTTAACGTGCATCGTGAAGTTACGTCCGGACGACGAGGAAACAATCTGCGACAAAGCATCAGTACTTTTTTATGACAAAAGACTTTATTTCCTTTTCTTGTTTTAATAAAACAATGACCAAAACATACATATTTGACATACGTTTTTTTTAAAGGTACCTGTCATCAGTGTGGAGTTGCTGACAAGTGAATCTTAATATTTCAGGGAATGTAAACATTCTGGGGTTCCTATGACAATGACGTGTGCGGCTTTTTGTATCGGACGCGTCGTATGTTTTAGGGTCACATGTTGTGCTGCTGTTATTTATGACGTGCCGGTTGCTGTATTTCACTGTGGTCAAGATGAGTCAACGTTAATAAGTACCAGGAAATATATAATTGCATATGAAACCGAATGTTATACAATGGTTCACTGATATTACTTCATTGCTTTAAAAAATATGAATAACAAGTACAAGTTTTTAAAACATTTCTAAATATATATCTGTAATGCTCTGACAAATGATATTTCAATGGTGTTATTTTTGTCAGAAGGAAAACACAAGCCGTGACTTGTATATTGTAGCAGCATTAAGCATTTGATTGAGTTTAGGGAAACGTCCGCCAAAAGTTGTATAATTTATTTACGTTTTCATTTTTATCATTCCCTTTTTGTTAAATGTCTGCGATCGCCTGAAGGTTTCCGGCTGTCTGTGTGATCCTGGCTACGCGGGAGTGTACTGCACGGACGACTACAATGCCTGTGTAGACAGCCCTTGCCATCCTGGAGTGAACTGCACAGATGAACCTGCACCCTCCCTAGGCTTTTTGTGTGGGCCCTGTCCCGCTGGGCTCACAGGCAACGGGAGCAAGTGTTTCGGTGCGTACATTTTGCTTAACTTACTTTTCTCATTTCATGTTCTCACGTGTAAAGTGTAATATCATGAAATATATATTGCATGAGTATGCTTTGTAGGTTAGTATTAACGCTGTCTATACTATGTATGGCTTATAAGTTATGATTGTTACTTGGTGGTGATGGTGTGGTGATGTTCACGATGGTGGTGATAACCCTTGTTGCTCTTGACGCTCTTGCTTGCAAACTGAGAATGCAACAGGGTTTTGGTGTTATTAAGAGAGGACGCAGAAAGGTAAATTATATATATATTTGGAAACGATTCAACTACAATGTATTTTCTTTGCTTGATCTCTGCCTTTTGTAGATGTGGACGAGTGCATGTTACAGATATCTGATTGTAATCAAACGTGCACGAATATAATTAATGGCTACACGTGCAGCTGCAAAGATGGCTATCGTAATGTCACCATGGACAGCCACAGATGTGAAGGTATTTTGAGGCTTTCGTATATTTGTCAATTATGTAGCACAAGTAAAGTGAAAAAATATTCTCGTCGGAAATAAAACCCTCTTAAGCATGGCTTCCTTGTATGTTTTGCACTTTTGTTATTTTTAAAATCTAAATATACTTCCCATAGTCTACAAGTTTTGCATGAAGCAAAGCATAGAAGCTGTGAAGCTTCTCATGGTTTGTTAAAATAATAAAATGTGGTCAAACAGCATTCCCCTGCTCGTTTTTTTCATATTGAAACATGCATTTTACTTACATTTGAATGTATGTTGACATGTTAATGCAGCACATTGTTTTCAAATGTTTGTATCCGAGATCTGACCTGGAACGAGAAATGTGAACCCCATTCAACTGTGAGCCATTCCTTACATGTTTTTGTTTTGTTTTAAACAGACATTGATGAGTGTGCCCTGAATTCATCTCTTTGTGTCAAAAATGCCCATTGTGTAAACACACCTGGCCACTATGACTGCAGTTGCAATGCTGGCTTCAGAGGAAATGGATTTATAGATTGTCAAGGTAAAACAATCGCTGCATCCGTGCATGTTTAGGTCTGATTGTCTCTGTGATACCATTAACTTAACCCAATACTTTTAGTGGGGGCTTCTCTCATAATTTGAATGAGGTTTATTTATCTACCAAACGGTGCTTTCTTGAAAGTCTCGAAAGTTTTGTCTCCTGCTAGTCACTGAATAGAAGCTGTTCAAAGTATGTTATTTGAAATTCGTGGGCCAGATTCACTTCTCAGAAAAAAAAGCCAAGACATATTTGTGATTGTCTGCACTCTTGGCAATGCTGAAAGTTTTTTTTTTACAAAAACCTTTGAAACGTAGAATTCAACAACATGGGAATTGGAAGAAAAGTACATTAACACTGCCTGATACACTTTTTTTGCATTAAAGTACTGCAGTTTTCTTGTTTAAACATTCAATGTCACAAACTTTTCACCGAAAAATCCATGTTTTCACCGTGTGTGCAAATATCATCTCCTGAATTGGTCATATGTATTAGTTTTAAATTAATTATATCAGAGTGAATGCAGTTAGCAGTCTGAATATCAGCTGCAACTGCTGTAAAATAAAAACGGTTTATATTGTACATGCTTGTTCACATTAACTGTGTTTTGGTGATGGGTAATAGTTAAAAGGTAAATGTTTCTTTTCTCAAATACACCCCTTGAGAAGTATACGCATACTGTCTTGGATGTTTGTTTTGAGCAAATGTGGTAACTTTTTCAGACTTTAGTATTTGCCCATCTCTGTTAAATGGAAAGCAAATGTGGGAAAAAGTTTAGATCGGTGGTGATCGTTAATGTATGGAATTTTTTTTTACAATATTTCCAGCAGAGGGCGCTATTTTTGAATGCAGTCTCTTGCTGGCCCCCGATTACCAGACTAAGGGTTGGCTATTTGTTCCGGCCAATGAAGTTGTTCGTATTCTTTATTTCTGGAGAAGGTACATTCGTATTTTAGACCCATGTCATCGGCCATGGCAGAGTGGTGGCGCAGCGGTGAGCGCAGTGGCGATGAACCCAGCGACCCGAGGTTTATTGCCGTCCATGGCTAACGTCAATGGCGAGTAGGATTGCCACCTGGCCCGGATTTCCCGGGAATGTCCCTCGGGGCCGATGGTTGACTATGCACGTGGCCCTGTAATCCATCTTTGTGGAGGCGAGGCCTTCTCGGGGGTGCCATAATCCTTGATCACCACTAGATGGCGGTACAGCACTGTCCGGACTATTGTCATTGGGTCCATGTGTATGGGATAGACCAAGGTGTCAGGCAACGTGCGGCTCTTTGACTGATCTTTGGCTACTGTATACCTGCTATATGTGTGCGTGTGTAAAAGTAGTTCCGCGTGTGATGCGGCTCTCGAAGTATTTCGGTCAAAAACGAAAACTAAACCAAAAATGGCCCTTCTTCTTTGAAAGGTTGCCCACCCCCTGGGATAGAGCGTTGCCGCCTCGCACACCTGGGTTTTCTCTGGGTGCTCCGGTTTCCTCCCACGCGTACTGGCTGCAAGCATCTTCATAGACGCGCATCCGTGTGTGTTGCGGGTTGGGAAACGTTGGGAAATGCAGTTTGCATGAGTGACGCATTATGAGCACGCAAATTAGTTGAGGTAGCTGCCATGGGAAATGTTGAAGTGTTCCTAGTCACGTTCAAGCTCTAAAGTGGAAACTATAGTGACGTGCGATGTTTGAACCAGTTCTAGGTACCCCTTTAATAACCCACTCTAACCAGCATGGTGTAGTACTGCGTGGTCAAAACCCCCCACAGCACTGGATGGACAGGGCTTTACACATTTTAACTACCCCCCCCCATGGCTCTTGAAACTATTGATGCGGAGTTTATGGATAAGTATTTGCTGTCATGACAGACATCTATAGCATTTGAAAGGGAAGCGTACCCTTAAGTTTCACAGACATTACTCACCTGTAATAGAGGTGAATCTCACACTCGCTTATAACTACCTTCCACGGATTTAGTTTTTTTCTTAAAGGGACGTCCATAAATGACGTCACGCACCTAGGGGGGACGGTCAGACATTTGTGACGATGTGTGACGAGGGTGGGGTTGAGAAATGTGACGTCACATCAAAATGTGCAACTTTAAATAAATATAGACAACACGTTCACTTAATTAAATAGACTTTTTAAGAAATGTTTATCCTACATCAGAGTGCAGCGGCACATTCAACACGCACTACAATGACAATAGTTTATAGCGATTTAAAGCATGTTTTATTTTGGGGGGGGGGGGGGGGCAGAGCGTTGTGACGTCATATTTGAGGGGGGTCTGACTTTTTGTGACGCCGTGTGACGAAGGGGGGGGGGGGTAAAAAATCGTCCAAAATCGCGTGACGTCATTTATGGACGGCCCCTAAGTCTACTTTCCTGCCTTATTTGACCACGCATCACCATACTGGCCAGTGCAGGTTAGTTAAGTCCAGGAGTATATACCTGGCAGCATAGTACACTACAGTAATTAATTTGCTTCACTGATGTCCGCTACCTGCAATGTAAGCCCACAGCTTATAACTTTTGGTATACATTGTGGGGACCCAATCAAACACTATCCAGGCCTTGTCCTGTTTAACGTCCGAGATTTCACAAAAGCAGGAACTATGTGGGCGAATTTAATTATTATATTATCACGGTTCTTGAGCACACATCCTAAATAGGCCCAAGCCATAAATAAACAAGCAAGGTTCTAAGAACTTGGGAAAGCGGTGGAGGGAGTGACTTTCAAAGTTGAGCAGTGCGAGGAAAGAAGCAGGAGAAAGTTGTTGACCTGCAGCATGGTGATTGAACACACGAGTCAGATGAAATGGTCAATCTGGTATACTGAGTCCTCAATGGGTGGAAGAATGAGTGAAGTTCATGGGAATAGTAACCATAGTCATAGGTGATAAAAGAGTGATCAGGTGGTGACTCTGACTGCAAGTGAGTGAGTGCCTAGAGTAAGATCATTGTTTCGCCATGGTTGCCTTAAATAGTATTACATTTATTAATCTGTACTTGGTATTCAAGTGTCGATTTTAAACTCAATGACGGTTTTGCTTTTCTCCTGCAGATGAAGATGAATGTTCAGTCAAAAATAATCCCTGCTTATCCGTAAACAATTCATTTTGCAACAATAGCATCGGGTCCTATTCCTGCATCTGCACTTCCGGCTATAATGGCACAACTTGTGAAGGTAATAAATTATAAAACACAATATTTTAGGTTATTTGTTTTGTTTCGTAGGAATTGTATTATTATATACTGTGCTACTGTACACCTAGGGTGTAACGAATCACCCCCTCACTAATAATGAGTTTAATGAATTGTCACGGTTTCGAGGTCGCTATTCCATTCAATTATTGGTGTGTTACATTCTACTTCGGTGTACATATCTCCATTGGTTGCAGGGTTAATGTGAACCAAACTACCTATAACATCGTACTCAATTTTAAATATTAGATGTTTCACATGCATTATTGCACGGTGAACATATTCATGAGTTTTGACAGTTTAATCGATGCATCATTGCATACCAGTGTATTATTCATATACAACACATCTCACCCAGCAAACAAACAGGAGATTTTTAAGTGTAAATAATGTCCGTGCTGACACGCAACATGCTACACTATATACAGCCCCGAAATTATTACACTTCCTCTCTCGATACGCGTACTCCCTACCACATACATTTTACCAATACCACATTCTATAAAAAAACGTTCTCTTGCCTCCGAGCGTTAGGGTGATTAGGATTATGGATGCTAAAGTTACAAAAAGTGTTACAAGTATTTAGTCGTTTTTAAATTTTGCCTCTTTCAGGTAGTACTGATCGGTCAAATGATGTGTAAATGCAATCTCACTGTATATCTTCCCATATTTATCTTCAAATCTGGTGTGTATATTTCAATTAATGATGCCTGACCCAAAGATGTTTGTATACTTGTTTAATATGTGCTGGATGTTTATAGAGATATAATGTACTGTATTATTATTTGATTATATGATCAGCTTTAACCATATGGTTAAAATATTGGCAACATATATACACTTTGTATTCGCGAATGTTTCAAAGATTCACAGTGGAGATGTTGAGCATCTGGGGACATGTGAAAGTTTATAGGGATGAAACTCGTGCAATATAATCGTCAAGTTACCAAGTGTGTGGACATTTGCTTTTTCTGACCTAGCTCAAAAGATATATCAAATTATAATTATTGAATAACGGACATTATGGACAATGTACGTTACTGAATACAAGTATGAAACAAACTAAGAATAGGTTTTACCCTTTCTGGCAATACAACAGGTGTTAAGATGTTCAATCACCAAATATAATCCTTTTCCAAGGAATCATATTTTGATATTGACAAAAAAGGTCCCATGTAATATGAGTAAACCAGCAAGTGTGTAATGTATCATGCCTGGAATCTAAAATTAAGAGTAAAAAGCACAATTATAAATGATAATTATTACAGGTTTTTATATTTATTGTTTGGAAAAAGTGAATGAATGCCTGAAAACTTACACAGTTTATTTTTTTTACAGATATAAATGAATGCATAAGCGGGCAGAACAATTGTCCCGTCAACGCCAATTGCACCAATACGATCGGCTCCTATACGTGTGCATGCAAACTGGGCTATGAGGGAAATGGCTGGAACTGTAAGGATATCGACGAATGTATGACGGGAAACCATTGTAATAGTAACGGATCAGAATGTATGAACACTGATGGGTCATATTACTGCACCTGTGCGCTTGGATTCACTGGGAATGGAACCTACTGCGCAGGTAAGAGGATACATGCTTAAATTTTAATGGCGAAAAAATAGGCAGCTTACGTAGATAATGTGATGGGCGATTTAATTAAATTATTTAAGTATTTTCAGTGCTTGTATCTTTTACAATGATTGTCCTATTGTGCTATTGGCATCATGCTGTAAGCTAAAGAAGACATTCATAAGACATCATAAATCTCACACAGCAGTGACCCCCCCCCCCCTCCTTGTTAGCGAGTGGCCTGCCAAGGGGAACGTCACATCACTAAATATGGAGATCCCATCAAAGGCCTTTCTTTATCCACACACATACTATCCCACATGCCCTGCTACAGAAAAATGGCCAGCCAAATATTTTTACATTCTCAGAATTGGAATTTGCTGGCTTTGAGACGATCAATTCACTGCACTTGATAATTCAGTGCAATCATGGGTAGCTGAACCAACAGTCACACCGATGATGTCAGCAGTGCAGGTTAAGTGTTAAGGTGTCAAGGTGTGCCACCCCTAAGGTCAAATGGACATAGGGGTGGCACACCTCTCCATGAGACACCCTGCGCTGGTAGTGGGAATTCACATTGCCATGGTGAGGAACGACCACCCCGTAGAACTCCTGTTGGCCTACCACAACAATGCTTATTTGATCTACCTCGCACTGGAGTTTGAGATACATTTTTTCCCATATTGCCTCAATCTCCACCACTAATGCTGTACTCCTGACAGCATCATCTATTGTCGCTCCCAATGGTTTGAACCTAAATCAAGGGCATACGTTATATATGACTTGCCATCCCGGTTCCTCACAGACAGAATGAGACCTCACTCGAAATCATATTATGACAACTGTTCAAGCAAGTGTTGTTACTGAAGAACTGATGGACGTATTATTTTTGTTCCTATATAAAAGGATCCCTAGGTGAATTGAAATACCTGTGATTGGTGGGAGCATGAATTAAACACTAGAGGCTGAGTAGCAAACTGCAGAACATCGTTTAATGTATTACTTTCTAACTAATATGGCTGTTCTTTTGTGTACAGATATAAATGAATGCACGGCCAATCCATACTTGTGCCAGGACACAGAAGAATGTATGAATGGTATTGGAAGCTACAAATGCGAGTGCTTACCAGGTTACATAAGGAATGGAACAATTTGTACAGGTACACAATATTGTGATGAGGATTTTTTTTTAAATTGGTGGATCTGCCAAGAATCTGGATCCAACAAAACTACAAATGTCTGTCATATATGCGCTAAAAGATATATATATATAAGAAACGAAATAAAGGGGCAGACATAATGCCTGCTTCCCGTATTTATTTTTTACTACATCCCATCAGCCAAAATGTCTTCAGAGAGTGCATCTCATAAACAGCATTGGTTAATTACAATAAATCTATGGACCGGTTTTGACATTCATCATCAGCAGAGTCAGGCTTGTTTAAGCAGTGTATAAGGAGATTATCTGCCACTGATATTTTCATAGCATCCTTTAAATAACCATGGCCACGATTCTCATATGGATTTTACCATTTTGTCATTTACTTGTCTGGGAAAGCCTCACTCATTCTCAAGATTGTTTTTGGTTTAAAACTAAGGCACTGTATTGGAATAGTTAGTTCTCATCTTTATTTAACATAATTTATGTAGCACCTTGTAAAAGGCGCTTTACACAGAATTAACAAGAGTACTTATGGATTTAATGGTGGAGATGAAGTAAATGAAATAGTTGAGAGAAAGCAATGGAGGGCACATCTGTTATTGATGACAGTAAATGATGAATGGATTGAATGAAGGTGGAACGAGTGAAAGCCATATGAGAATGTGAAGAGGGAAGAGTAACGGTGGCAGTTATGAGGGGGAGATTAAGGGGTCATGGGGAGAGCTTGGAAAAATAAGTGAATTTTGAGTGCGGAGCGAAAACTAGTGAGCGAAAGTGACTTTACTGCAGAGGGGGAAGTTTGTTCCAGTGATGGGGGCAATAAGAGAGAGTGAAAGCGTGGATTGAGTGCAAGGAGGAGGAACAGAGAGAGAGACAACAAAGATTGAGAATGTAGAGGGTGAGAAGGCACATGGAAAGATACAGACATGGCAAGATATGGTGGAGCAAGACCACGAAGAGATGTATAGACTAGGGTGAGTTAGTTAATCCTCTTCATCCCCTATGGGAGACACGAGGCCACAATGAGTTCCCTCCACCTCCTCCTGTCCTTGGCAACATGTTGATGGCTGCTGCCAGCTCATCCTTCATGATCTTGTGCCAGGTGGTCTTGGGTCTCCCAGGTTTCCTTTTGCCCGGTAGTGTCCACCTGAGGGCATTTTTTGGGTATATGGTCCTGGTCCATTCTGAGTACATGCCCAAGCCATTTGAGTCTTGTATTGGGATGTTGGACCGTTATATTAACCGTTGTGTTTCATGTTGGAGAAAACTTGAGTTTCGTGAGAACTTGTACATACATACGAGACAACACTCAATGGTTGACATGGAGTGGTTCACTACGCTGTACAGGCATTTTTGGGCTAGCTCACAGCCCACTGGGTTTAGCAGATTATTGCATCTCTATGTAAGCTATTACCCCTTGCCTCGAAGGTCATACGATTTCCATGACATTACATGTAGACATTTACGATCCTACACCCGTGTCGTGCCCACTCGTACGGAAGCCCGCTGTACACTAACATTGAGCTGTTGGAACCCATCGTTTTGTATATGGTTGCTCGATTGTGATGTGCATTGTTTATATTTCGACCAGATGTTGATGAGTGCAAGAAAAGCCAACCGTGTGACGCGAACACGATGGTGTGCAGCAACACGATAGGATCGTACACATGTCTGTGCAAGGCGGGATACCAGTATGATAGCACAGCTCGCATCTGTACTGGTAAGTCTTTTGCCAGCGGGTTTGTTATCAACGCAATATCTCTTTGCAGTATAAACCTAATCATATACTGTGTAGTGCTCTTACCACTACAAAGAGCTGCAAGAACGTATGTTCTTCTGAAGGAAGAGATAAAGATACTGGGCTCACATCTCGTTAAGAACAATGACATCGTTCAATTTAAAATGACTGACAAGATACAGTATTTCTCGAGGCATCGCGTGAGCTTTTGTAGTCTTTCTCAAATGCGTCTGCACATTTGCAATCACACATCGGTATGCTAATTACAAAGCTACGTACATTTTGCGATTGTTTCTTAGACACGGACGAGTGCGTCGTTTCATCATTAAACAACTGCTCGAGGACGACAGGGCTCTGCCAAAATTTCGATGGAAGTTTCACGTGCCAGTGCATGGCTGGCTACACGGGAGACGGAGTCACGTGCACAGGTAAGCTTTGCTTCCACGTGGTGGGTGTCCCCCAGTGTCGAGGTGCCATGATTCTCTGGTGAGAAAAAGTTTCGTATTTTCCCAGTTTTATTTCACTTAGTGCGATCGAAATAACTTCATGAGATTATTTATTCCAAACTCTTGCAGACCAGTGCATTGGAAGCTGACATCGCGGAGACACTTTTGAGATACGCGCACATTACCTCGTTTGTCCAAGCTAGGGAGTGCTTGCTACATATCCCCAATATATGTTACATTTATTTTAAGAGCTGATTTTTCCTTTCAACCATTAAAAGTTTTACTAATTGAACATGCATTCGTTTGTGACCCAGCTGAAAGCATTAACTTACTATAGACATTCCAAGCACTTGTAAAAATAAACTCGTATGCTCGTGGTGCTTATTGTTCTTGTTGTCTTGCTCAATCTGACTTTAATTGAAATAGGAAAAAGTGGGAACGAATAACATGTAAACGGTAAAGGTGCCGGCACTGCTGGTAGAGAGGTCTCCACTAGAAGGAGCTCTAGAGAGCCTCTCGAAGTGGCCTACTCTTCCACACTAGGCCGATGTGTTGTAAGTGGTGGGAATAAGTATAAAATGTGTCTTGAAAAGTTAATAGAGCATACAATAGATACACTCAGATTATACATTTATTTTTAAGAGGCCAAAGTTCTACAACTTGTAGAATAGAGTCGTGCCTTTTTTTTATGAGCCTTATTATATCTTGACTGTTAATAATAACCATTATACAAAAAATGCAGGGATGCAGTGCCATGCAATTATTTTGTTTCTTGAGTTTTGCCAAGCATACAACTGCCTTGTTCTCCCTTGTGCTGTATTGTCCGCGCAGGTTTAGAAATGGAAAGGAAGCGATGCTTCTGGATGTTTAAAATGTTCAAATTTGAGTATAGTAAAGTCAAGTATAGCTTCTTATGTTATCACTGTAATGCAAGGCTATCGCAAAGGCAGGGGGTAATGTTGCTATGTATATTTCCCAATGAGTAATTTGCAGGTACATTTTCAGCATTGGGATGTGTGGTATAATCTGGCAGTAGGGGCAGTGTTGCTTTGTGATTTTACCCCAATTAAGTTGTACAAAAATAAAGTTTTTGGTTAGGATGTTCCCAATCACTGTGCAGTAGTGAAGCTCCCGCAAGACCACTTGTAATTCAACTTTTGCATATTAACATACGTTCTCTTGCGATGCACCACAGATGTCGATGAGTGTAACCCACCGGAAAATGCAACGCAGCCCTGCAAAGGCCCTGTCGGAGTGAGATGTAACAACACCATTGGCCACTACACATGCAGCTGTCCCTTCGGATACTACTTGGACAGTGATGGAACCACATGCAAAGGTTTGACAATTATCATTTTTGATTTAATTGCGCAGAAGCATCGCTGTTTACTTACTAGTATTGTTTGTATGAGGGGAAATCAATTTGAGTGTCTCAATGTTAATTCTGCACTGAGGCAACTGATGTCTTGGCATAGCATTTGTTATGGAAAAGCTACCTTAAGGATTTGTATGGCCGCGATGATGCTCATTGTGTTTGTCCAGATGTTGATGAATGCATCAGAGGACTCCACAACTGCACCCAGAACTGCACGAACATCGAAGGAGGCTTCACCTGCAGCTGCTTTGCCCGTTTCAGCTCTGTGAATGGGACTTGTAAACGTAAGTTTCATTTGTCTACATCCTTTGTACATGTGGCTTATGTATATACTCTATGGCCTAATTCTATATCTCTGAAGCTAAGCAGGTTTGAGCCTAGATAGTGCTTATATGGGTGACCAACCAAGCATGGTTAAGTGTCATAGGCTGTGTGGTTACGTTGGGTGCAGCAGAGGCAATGCAGCCCTATAAATGTTTATACCGTACTTTAATGCTTCCCACTGTCACAATCTGTACTGATTCAGTGTTTAGAGCCCGTGCTACAATCTTGGTTGCCCAGTTTTAATCCCTTGTAATGTGCACCAGTTTAGCAAGTCATATCTGTACATGACCTGGGCCTTCCCAAGGTTGACTCGGCCTAAAATGAATATCTGGCACGCTGTGCGGGCATCAGCACTAGGGATCAACGATTCTAGACGTCTTCCAATTTACATAGCTTAATGGGGATCATTGCTTTTGTGCATATCTACAGGATACAAGTTGTAGGTAATTGTCACGTGAATCTTCGTGCTTCCTACGGTGATGGGAGTGTATGTTATAGCATAATTACGTTTGTGTGTTGTACATAGCTGTAGCAATGCAATTCCTGTCTTGCATAACTAAACACATTTAGAGTGATATCAATAACTGTGTTAAGAATTAACTGAAGAGATCACTGGTTTGAAATGTACAAACATCTATGGTACCATAATATGCAATTTTGCATGTGAAATAAATTGTACATTTATTTATTTTTCAGCAAACCAAACTTGTGTGACGGACGTTTGCAATGGAACTGGAGATTGTTACATTGATGAAACAACTCTCCCAGGATGTTCCTGCAATTCTGGGTATGAATAATTGATCGTTCTAGGGTTGTTTCCAAACCAATTGATATTTGCAACATACTCAACACACTGTGTCTAAGTACATAGCAATGTTTCATATCCACAAGGATATATTACACACCAGCACTAGACAGTTGCTTGAAAAGGTGGCCATGTGGCTGTGAAGTCAGAGCATTGAGCTCATCACTGCTGAGATTCTGGGATTGGTTCTAGGTTGCCAAGAACTATGGTTAAATTGGGTTCTCAACCATAAACTAAAGTGATGTAATGCTTTCAGCTGGGTCACAAACGAATGCATGTTAAATTAGTTTATTTTTTAATGGATGAAAGGAAAATCAGCTCTTAACATAAATAAGGATATTGGTTTGACTGCCATGCGGGACATGTGGATATGTAGCAAGCACTCCCTAGCTTGGACAAAGAGGTCATGTGCATGTATCTCAAAAGTGGTTAAGTGATTACTCTTTGGTTTTTTCGGTAAAGTCACGTAGAAATAAGAAATAATAATATAATTACATATAACATACGACGTTTCGATTGCAACGCAAGCAATCATCATCAGGCATAGAAGAGCTAAATTTAAGAGAGAGAGGAAACACAGAACCGTAGATATATATACAGACACCTAAGTAGAGGGAGTTAACACAGAGACACAAAGAGACACAACGTATGGAGCACAGAGAGATAGGGTCTCTGTGCCGAGGCCTTAGCATGTAGGGGAGACAAAGAGAGATGGAGAAGCACATCAAATCGAACAAGATTTAGTAAAACTTGGAAACAATATAATGCAACACAGAAGGTCGGTCAAAACACAATTAACGCATGATCTGGCTGATTACGTTATTTCAAAGATTGATAAATTATAGGTTAAGAGTGATAGAGTACAGATCGCAGACACATATTTAGACATCTAAGCAGAGAGAGTTAGCACAGAGACACACAGAGAGAGAGAGAGACACATGGGACAATGAAACAGTGCTTCTGTGTCGAAGCCTTAAATAGAGGGAGAGGGGGGCGGCGGAGACAGAGATATGGTGAGGGGGGGAGGGGCACAAAATCAGATAAGCATGCCCACAAGGACTGTGGAGAGAGACAAGACACGTACACGTAGACACAAAGGCAGAAACACAGGTAGAGACAAGACAAGACACATACACGGAGACATAAACAGAGACAACGCAAAGACACAGACTTGATACCTCCTCGTAGAGGAAAAAACCAAAGAGTAATTCCTGCAGTCACGAAAGCGCCAAATCAAGTTTGGTTATGTGATGTCAGCCTCTGATGCGCTGGTCTACAAGAGTTTGGAATAGTCTCATGATGTTATTTCGATCGCACTATAGGTGAAATAAAACTGGGAAAAGACTAAACCTTTTCTAACAAGAACATTTCTGGAATTGTAACATGACATTGTAGACTTGTAACTTACAATTGGATTAATAGTGTAATTGGCTATGTAATCACAAGACAAGAAACAATACTCTAAAGTCCTTTATACTGTTGGCGGTTCATCTTGTCTATGCAAACCTATTTCCTCTCGTGGACAAAGTAACTTAGCATGATTAGTTGCTAAATATTTCTATTTCTCAACCTTGTAAAGTCTTAAAGTACTTTACTTATTTAGTTTGTTATGGTAAACTTTGTTATAAATAACTTCACATTTTAAAATTCTGTTTAATCAGAGTAATAATACAGCTTGTGTAAAATAAAAGGTCATGGGACCACAACTCAGGACTGCAATTGATGTTAAAAGCATTTATATTTTATGTGCTTCTCGGTGCTGTGGAAAATTAGTATACGTTGTCCGCTTCAAGTAATTGATTTGTGTTTCGTATCAGTTTCAAAGAGTGTAATTGTTAACTTTATTTCATCAGGTACACCCTCAATGGCACGAGCAAAACGCAATGCATCAATATTGATGAGTGCAGCTTATCCGTGGCTGATGGACAGACACCTTGCGACTCCATATACGGGACATGCACTGACACAATCGGCAGCTTCAAGTGTGGATGTGTGGCTGGGTATGCGGTCGTAAGCGACAGCCGGACCTGCCAAGACGTGGACGAGTGTCAGAGCGGAATCTATAACTGCACTCAATATTCCACGTGTCATAACTTAGAAGGAAATTATACCTGCATCTGCAACAGTGGATATGTCCGTAAGTGTCTTAGTGGCTATTTCTATAGTACCTGAATGAATTTCCCATGCAAAGGTCTATACGAATTTTCATAATAATAGGGATTCTACACATTAATTGTACAGGCTAGCACAACATAAAAACACCAACAAAATTGCCATGTGTTTACTTCCCATCATCCATTTTTTGTCTCAAATGTATAGAAATTTCAACTTTCATAGGAATCAGCCCACGGTATTCCCACCCAGGGTGTATATTCATTTGAGTTCAAGCATGTAAACGCACAATGTATTTATCAATGTTTCTTATTCAAATCTTTCTCCCCCCTCCCAACCACCAGAATCTGGAGAGACGTGCATAGATGTTGATGAGTGTCAAAAAGCAGGTAGTGCTCTCTGTGGTCATGGAGCCTACTGTGCTAACACATTGGGTTCATACGCATGCAGGTGTCTTGTGGGATACGTAGGCAATGGCACTGTCTGCCTGGATGTGGATGAGTGTCTGCTCCCCAGCAACAACTGCAGTGCCAATTCAACATGCACAAACACCCCAGGCTCCTACCAATGCCAGTGTGATGCTGGTTTCCAAAGTAAGTTGAATCGTGTTGATTTGCTCTGTGTGATTTTTACGGTTTTGGTATGTGTCAATGTAATCTAGGCTCATCCTACAGTAACATGGCTGGCAGGGCGACACAGTCAAAACACCTGCACGCCACAGCAAGAAAGGCCTTAGTGCGATTTCCAAACTCGTACGCCTCTCTGTGTCTCTTCCTCTTCTGCATGGGGCTTCCTCCAAGCTCAGCGGTTTTCTTCCACGGCAAAAACAAACATACAAATATATAACTGGTAGAAGCCAAACATCCCAATGCTGAAAATGTACATTGTATTATATAATAATACAATTGTCAATACATACAAATATAATCTCAAGATGAATTGTCACACTACAATCTAATGCTACAATTCTGGGTATGATGGTAAGTGTGGTGTATATTTGTGTAGTGCCGTGAATTCACTCGGACGACAACCGTCTCTTTTTCTGCCGTCACTTTTATTCCATCGTTCCATACACACAGTAATTCTCTCCGTGCTCCGCCAACTCGGACACTCCGATTTACTTCAGCATCGTCCGTGCATCCCCTTCCACACACCGTGTTTCTTCGCCTATCTCTTCACACACAGTGTCTTCCCTTCCACACACAGTGGTTCGTCTTCTATCTCTTCCACACACAGTGGTTCATCTTCTATCTCCTCACACACAGTATCGCCGCTATCTCTTCACACGCAGTGACTTCCCTTCCACACACAGTGGTTCGTCTTCTATCTCCTCACACACAGTATCGCCGCTATCTCTTCACACGCAGTGACTTCCATCTATTCACACACAGTGACTCTTATCTCCGCTAATGCTGACTCTCCCTATCGCTATTTACTGTCTTTGGGGTCCGGCTCTCTATCTATTCTTCCCTAACATTTCCAGCTGTCTTCTTCGTATCTCTTCACCTCTCGCCAACAACTGCCCAGCAACGACTCTCCAGCAACAACTCCCCAGCAGCCACTCCTCTCCGTTCAAACCACCTCGCGTTTTATCGCCTGTCGCATTAGCCTTAATTAATTGCCACGTGGCTCGCTGGCCGTTTCCCGCCAGCCCGCACCTGTCCCCTTCATCAGACATTCAGACGCCACCACTTAACGCTAACAGCCTCTCGACCAATCAAAGCCCTCGTGCCACGACTCCCTTAATTACTTGGGGTTGTTTACGCCACTCGCGACTCGACCACCTGTTCGACCTCATGTGACCCGTTCTCCTTGTCTGTCTGTATGTACTGTATATGGCCAATTCCTATGCGTATTATCTACTCCACTACATTTGTATTGAGCTTATATTACATAATTTTCCAGTTAAAATCCATACGACTAACTTCATAATGTATTCAAAGTGATTTGTTTCTCGGGATTATACACATTACTCATACGAGCTGTGGAAAAATAAAAATACAGTCCACAAACAAACTATCCCACACGTCCACTTTTCATATTCCATTTCTATAGCCTCAAATTTATACAGATATCAGCCCAGCACTGTTCCCGCCCAGGCTATGTAGTATTTTTTTAAATGATACAAATTAAGAAAATGTATTTTTTTGGGTTCCAGTGGTGCAATACGTATCTAATATTTTTCATCTTATTCAAATCTCCCTCCCTCCCACCCACCAGAAACTGGAGAGATGTGCACAGATGTAGATGAGTGTCTGAAATTTGGCAGTGCGGCCTGTGGGCAAGGAGCCTACTGTGTCAACACGGTGGGTTCATACAATTGCCCGTGTCTTGCGGGATACATAGGCAATGGCACTGTCTGCCTGGATGTGGATGAGTGTCTGCTCCCCAGCAACAACTGCAGTGCCAATTCAACATGCACAAACACCCCAGGCTCCTACCAATGCCAGTGTGATGCTGGTTTCCAAAGTAAGTTGAATCGTGTTGATTTGCTCTGTGTGATTTTTACGGTTTTGGTATGTGTCAATGTAATCTAGGCTCATCCTACAGTAACATGGCTGGCAGGGCGACACAGCCAAAACATCTGCACGCCACAGCAAGAAAGGCCTTAGTGCGATTTCCAAACTCGTACGCCTCTCTGTGTCTCTTCCCCTTCTGCATGGGGCTTCCTCCAGGCTCAGCGGTTTTCTTCCACGGCAAAAACAAACACACAAATACATAACTGGTAGAGGCCAAACATCCCAATGCTGAAAATGTACATACAAATTACTAATTTGGGCTTATACTTAGCAACATTACTCTGAAAAATTAACAGGACCCTCCAGTTATGTCTTGTGACTCAGTGAGGTTTTTCTGAGCAGGCAAGCATAATAATACAGTAGTTTTTTGTAAAAAAAAAATGTTCTGCGTGACTTTACCGAAAGACCCAAAGAATATAATAATACAATTGTCAATACATACAAATATAATTTCAAGATGAATTGTCACACTACAATCTAATGCTACAATTCTGGGTATGATGGTAAGTGTGGTGTATCTTTGTATTGAGCTTATATTACGTAATTTTCCAGTTAAAATCCATACGACTAACTTCATAATGTATTCAAAGTGATTTGTTTCCCGGGATTATACACATTACTCATACGAGCTGTGGAAAAATAAAAATACAGTCCATAAACAAAATATCCCACACGTCCACTTTTCATATTCCATTTCTATAGCCTCAAATTTATACAGATATCAGCCCAGCACTGTTCCCGCCCAGGCTATGTAGTATTTTTTTAAATGATACAAATTAAGAAAATGTATTTTTTTGGGTTCCAGTGGTGCAATACGTGTCTAATATTTTTCATCTTATTCAAATCTCCCTCCCTCCCACCCACCAGAAACTGGAGAGATGTGCACAGATGTAGATGAGTGTCTGAAATTTGGCAGTGCGGCCTGTGGGCAAGGAGCCTACTGTGTCAACACGGTGGGTTCATACAATTGCCCGTGTCTTGCGGGATACATAGGCAATGGCACTGTCTGCCTGGATGTGGATGAGTGTCTGCTCCCCAGCAACAACTGCAGTGCCAATTCAACATGCACAAACACCCCAGGCTCCTACCAATGCCAGTGTGATGCTGGTTTCCAAAGTAAGTTGAATCGTGTTGATTTGCTCTGTGTGATTTTTATGGTTTTGGTATGTGTCAATGTAATCTAGGCTCATCCTACAGTAACATGGCTGGCAGGGCGACACAGTCAAAACATCTGTACGCCACAGCAAGAAAGGCCTTAGTGCGATTTCCAAACTCGTACGCCTTTCTGTGTCTCTTCCCTTTCTGCATGGGGCTTCCTCCAGGCTCAGCGGTTTTCTTCCACGGCAAAAACAAACACACAAATACATAACTGGTAGAGGCCAAACATCCCAATGCTGAAAATGTACATACAAATTACTAATTTGGGCTTATACTTAGCAACATTACTCTGAAAAATTAGCAGGACCCTCCAGTTATGTCTTGTGACTCAGTGAGGTTTTTCTGAGCAGGCAAGCATAATAATACAGTAGTTTTTTGTAAAAAAAAATTGTTCTACGTGACTTTACCGAAAGACCCAAAGAATATAATAATACAATTGTCAATACATACAAATATAATCTCAAGATGAATTGTCACACTACAATCTAATGCTACAATTCTGGGTATGATGGTAAGTGTGGTGTATATTTGTATTGAGCTTATATTACGTAATTTTCCAGTTAAAATCCATACGACTAACTTCATAATGTATTCAAAGTGATTTGTTTCTCGGGATTATACACATTACTCATACGAGCTAGGGAAAAATAAAAATACAGTACACCAAAAAAATCCGACATGTCCACTTCTCATATTTCATTTCTATGGCCTCAAATTTTTATGGATATCAGCCATATAAATTCGTGTCGTATTTTTTTCCAATGATACAAATTAAGTAAATGTTGTGTTTTGGGTTCCACTGGTGTAATATGTATCTGATTTCGTTAATCTTATTCAAATGTGTTCCCCCCCTCTCTCAGAAGCTGGAGAGATATGCGTAGATGTGAATGAGTGTCAAACATCTGGCAGTGCGGCCTGTGGGCCAGGAGCCTACTGTGTCAACACGGTGGGTTCATACAATTGCCCGTGTCTTGCCGGATACATAGGCAATGGCACTGTCTGCCTGGATGTGGATGAGTGTCTGCTCCCCAGCAACAACTGCAGTGCCAATTCAACCTGCAAGAACATGCCAGGCTCCTTCCAATGCCAGTGTGATGCTGGTTTCCAAAGTAAGTTGAACCACGTGGATTTCCTCTGTGAGATGTTTCACGATTGTTTTGGTATTCATGCCAAGGTAATGTAGGATCTTGCTACAGTTCCAGGTAACCTTTCACGTAACAGTATAATGGCTAAGAGCTGTAAAGGGATACGTGTTAACTCCTCCAAACCCATATTGGGGAGATAGCATTTTAGTCCGATATTTTTGTACTCAATGGTCTACAGGCTTTTTTTAGGAGGGATCTACTTTGGAATATCGTGGCAAAGTAACTTTTTATAGTATATACTTTGAAATGGAAGTGGCCAGATAAAACCCACACATATGGGGCAATAGAAAGCAGCATTTTGGCATGAATGTTTCAGTTTATGAAATGTTTTCACCTAATAATGTGCAGGATGAAGGTTCCGTAGCTCAGAATATAGAGCTCATATTGAAATATGTAAAATAAAAAAAAATATTTCAGTAGTATTTTTTTTCAGCTAAGACCAATAAAGCAAAATTTTCATCGATATAGGAAGTTAAACGAACCAAAAAAAGTCGTGTAAACTAAATACAAAATAATGTTTTTGTTATCATTTACACTGCGTATATGTAAAACGTTACGTTAAATGAATTCCCTTAGGTAATGCTACCGTGTGCGAGGACATCGACGAGTGTGGGAGAGTCCCAACTGTGTGTGGCTTGGGAACAGTTTGTGAGAACACAGTGGGGTCATACCGCTGCCCCTGCGCTCCAGGATATCAACGCAACACAAGTAAATGCTCCATTGCCATCCTGCGCTGTACAGGGTATCCATAACAGTGGAATTTCTTTCAAGCCAATCTGTTTGTGTTCTTTTTTTCTGGCCACACAATATTGGAAACAAGCTTTCTGTATACATTTACAAATGTACCATGTAGATAACTACTGCGTGGGTTTTCGTAGTTGCGCTGTGTAACTTCAGAGCTTTACTGCAAAAGAATCGTGAAAAAAACTACGTCGGACGAGTATATTCCTGACGTAGGTTTTTTTTTGTTTGTTTATAAACCACAGAGCTTCAGTAATCTTTGGCAGGCCCATGACAGAAGCATTTGAAGTAACCACAATTGACATGTCGGTGAACACCTGGAACTCTCCTAAATCTAGATTTGTGTCGCCAATCTCATTGCAGATGTGGAGGTTTAGAGGGATGAGACCTTTATGATGAGTCTATACATGGCCATTTGATATTAGCCTCATTGGATTTCCTGTAAATAGTGATACAACAATGTATTTTAATTCAGCATTTTAAAATAATTATTATGCCTTTACAATATTTTATATGTTTGGTGAACATTTGTTTTGGTTAAAGTAGAATTATTTACGATTAAGTTATGACGGTGCTTAATGGTGCTATCTTCTTCTCCCCCTCTGCAGGTGATGGAAATGCAACATGCTCACGTGAGTCTCTCTCCCTACCCTTGTGTAGGCTGCATTACAGAGCAAATAATAGAGAAAATTTACCATTAAAATTTAGGGATATTTTGGAAAAATTTTCGGACTTTCAGTCAAATGTACAATTAGAAATTCTGATGCCACTGAATAGAATGTATTCCCACATCAATATTTTCTCATATATGGTACTGTAAATATGTCAATGATGGGAACTTTGTTAATGGTGCAAGACTGTACATCAAGGGCCAGCAACCTGCGGCTCAGGAGCCACATGCGGCTCTTTAAGAGACTGCTTCGCGACGTTATTTATTAAGGATCACCGTCTCGTATTCATGTGTATTGTGTGGCTCTTGTAATATTGAGTTTTTTTACCGATTTCGAAAAAATGGCTCTTCTTGTTATTTTGGTTGTTGACCCCCTGTTGTACATTAAGTAACTTCTGAGGGAAATTATCTTTGGTGTTAAGTGTGAAAAGTGTTTCAAAGTCCAGTGTCATCCTTGGTAAAAATAACGCTTGGTAAGATAACGCCTTAAAATATGTCGGTTTAAGGCCTGTGATAAAAAAAATTACAAGGTTATTAGCGTGCTTAGGTCTTCTGTCAATAAAATGTAAAATTTCTGTCCCTTAATGCTGATATCAGAATCATGGTGCAATTGTCAGTTTAACATATATAACGCCTACGTTTAACACGTAGGCATTGCATATGTTCAAAAACAGAAACTCCATGATTTACAGGTAGATAGACAGCATTGTGTATTTGTACAGTGCATTATATACGGGACATACAGTTTTTCCATCATGAACGCACATTGTGTAACTGATGATATAAATACATTGGCCTGTGACCAAATAAGCCTAAATGTTCCCAATTCCATGAGACCTTATAAGTTAAACAAATATAACCCTTGTGGGTGACTACGAAGGCTTGGCATGTGTTTTAGGCATAAGGCTGCAGGGTTGCCAAAGGATGACAATACTGAGTATCGCCCGGTGTGAAATGTGTTGTTTTTCTCGGACGCATTCTAGTTTCCTGATAATATCGATCAGTAAGGATCCTTATGAAAAATCGTCTTAATACTCAGGCTTTTCTGAGTAAATACTGTGTATTGTTCTTGTTTTACTGCAAGGTACATTGAAAAGTTGTTGAAGTCACAAGAATGATTGATTAATTGTAAACTATTGAATCACTCTCACAGTGGCAACGACATATTCAACCACGCCAGGGACTGCTAATTCAACACAGTCACCACAGACAGCGAGTCCACCAAGATCAACCACCTCAAACACATCGAGTAATTCTACAGTATTCTTCACATCAGAAGGTGTATCGGCCACTACTACACCAATGAATGCATCATTCACTGCAATTACTCAACCTCCATCATTCTCAACATCAGCCGCCTCGGTAACAAATACAACTGATTCGATGAATGCAACCACTACCGCTGTAGAGACATCACCAATAACAGCACCCTCGAACACAACAGCAGCGAATACATCAGCTGTGACTCAACCTCCATCATTCTCAACATCAGCCGCCTCGGTAACACATATAACAAATGATATGAATGCAACCGCTACCGCTGTAGAGACATCACCAATAACAGCGCCCTCGAACACAACAGCAGCGAATGCATCAGCTGTGACTCAACCTCCATCATTCTCAACATCAGCCGCCTCGGTAACAAATACAACTGATTATATGAATGCAACCGCTACCGCTGTAGAGACATCACCAATAACAGCACCCTCGAACACAACAACAGCGAATACATCAGCTGTGACTCAACCTCCATCATTCTCAACATCAGCCGCCTCGGTAACAAATACAACTGATTATATGAATGCAACCGCTACCGCTGTAGAGACATCACCAATAACAGCACCCTCGAACACAACAACAGCGAATACATCAGCTGTGACTCAACCTCCATCATTCTCAACATCAGCCGCCTCGGTAACACATATAACAGATTATATGAATGCAACCGCTACCGCTGTAGAGACATCACCAATAACAGCGCCCTCGAACACAACAGCAGCGAACACATCAGCTGTGACTCAACCTCCATCATTCTCAACATCAGCCGCCTCGATAACAAATACAACTGATTATATGAATGCAACCGCTACTGCTGTAGAGACATCACCAATAACAGCGCCCTCGAACACAACAGCAGCGAATACATCAGCTGTGACTCAACCTCCATCATTCTCAACATCAGCCTCCTCGGTAACACATATAACAGATTATATGAATGCAACTGCTACCGCTGTAGAGACATCACCAATAACAGCACCCTCGAACACAACAACAGCGAACACATCAGCTGTGACTCAACCTCCATCAATCTCAACATCAGCCGCCTTGGTAACAAATACAACCGATTCGATGAATACAACCACTACTGCTGTAGATACATCACCAATAACAGCGCCCTCGAACACAACAACATCGAATACATCAGCTGTGACTCAACCTCCATCATTCTCAACATCAGCCGCCTCGGTAACACATATAACAGATTATATGAATGCAACCGCTACCGCTGTAGAGACATCACCAATAACAGTGCCCTCGAACACAACAGCAGTGAATACATCAGCTGTGGATTCGACAACAGCATCAACAACGAGAGTTGGGACCGAAAGCACATTAGTGACGGTGAATATGAATACAACAGGTCCCGTAGCTCTAACAGAGGTATCAAACGCAACTTCAAAGACCACTGTGACATCAGTGACCACCGCAGCAATGTCTACAATAGGACCTAATGGCACAAACGTGACTCTACCAATATTAGGGACATCAAACACAACAAACACAGCCACAATGGTACACATAGTTACAACAGCAGCTCCCAATTCCTCAACGGGAGCGTCGACAAGTGCGATTTCGCCTGCTACATCGAACACGACAGCAGCTTACACAGCTGTGGGCTCGACAACAACATCAATAACTACATTGCGAACCAATAGCACAACAGTGACTGCACTTACAAACCAGTCAACAAGCACAGCTGTGACTCAACCGATAGTGAACTCACCCACCTCATACACAACAATAATATCAACAGTGTCATCGTCTACAGCCTCAACCACAAATGCAACAGTCACTCCGAATTCAACAATCAGTATCATTTCAACGGTGACATCTCCAACGACTGCATCGACTTCCACCACTGTGTCTAACTCAGGTAAGCAGTGTATAGTGGTCTCATGTATCAAAACTCTGTATTCTGCTGTCGATATATTAAATAAAATGAGGCTGGGTGGAGATTATGAGTTCAGCTCATAATTTTTCAAAGCTAGATAAAATAAGCACCACCGTGAAAATTCAATTTTAATTGTCCTCTGTAGAGACTGGGGTCTCTGTCCTTCGATATGTTGTCTCCCATACTGGTTCAATGTTGTGAGCGGGGATGAGCACCGACTTTAATACAAAATGTTACTAAATTTGTATTTATTTTAGCAGGTAAGGCCCACTGAGCTATACAGCTCTTTTTCATAAGCGACCTGGCCACAAATGATAGTTCAACGAAGAGGCCTATCATGTGGAAATGTATAGCAGCCAAATACAATTCATAGCAGCCAAATACTAAATTTGGCAGGGAGACACTGGCTTAAAATGTTTGCTAGAAAATGACAATGAAAAATGTATTTCCTGAACAGTTACATTCCACTAATTGTAAATGATTCATCTTCCAATTTTGCCAAGTACTGTTAACTATTTTTTCAAGTAAATTATGTGGAATACAACAAAGTGGAAAGATGTAATGTATGCAGTAATACAGTAAATGTGTAAGAATAGGTTTTCACCTTTTTCTGGCAACAAAACAGGTGTTAAGATGTTAAAACACCAAACTGAAACCTTTTACAAGGAATCATGTCAGAGAACGCCTTTTGACGCCTTTTGGCGTCCTCTGGTCTAACACCGTTTGAGACTAGGCTCAAAAGAAAGCTGTCTCTGGTGTGGACCAATCAGTTTCAAAGACAATGTATATATTACCAGAGTATGTTTTTTGTTTGCATTCTGACCACAAGTATTGTGGTTAATGCAGACATGATTCCCCTGTAAAAGGTTTCAGTTTGGTGTTTTAACATCTTAACACCTATATTCTTAGTTTTTTCGGTAAAGTCACGTTGAAGAGAAACAACAAAATAACAAAATATATATAAAACAATAAAAAATTCTCACGACGTTTCGACCATAACTCAAACGGTCATCATCAGGTGTGTCGGTTTGCATGATGATGACCGTTTGAGTTATGGTCGAAACGTCGTGAGAATTTTTTATTGTTTTATATATATTTTGTTGTTTCTCTTCAACGTGACTTTACCGAAAAAACTAAGAATATGAATTACTGCAGTCACGAAAGCTTTAAATCAAAATCTTAACACCTGTTTTGTTTCCAGAAAAAAGGGGAAAACCTATTCTCATTTTGGTACTGGCAAAGGAGGTCCCATGAAGTAAATGTGTAATCACGCCACAACCTAATACATGTACATATGTACGTCTGTAAATTCAGGTACAACACCAACTTCAAATGGAACAACACAATCCACAACAACTGTTATTACATCGTCGATATCACCGACACCGTCATCCGCAACAACTGTCTCCACGACCTCCGTGCCAACTACGGCTGCAATCGTGGTGCCGGGACTCGTGAAAAATTTGACTTTGACCAGCCAAGGAGTGAAAAACACCTCCCTGGAGGTTGTGTGGCTGGCTGCTGAGGGTTATGTGGAGCAGTACATTGCATTCATCTCTCCTCAAGAGGCATCGGCTGTGTCGGTCAGCCCGAACGGGTCACTCACAGCCAGGTTTTCTGCGCTACGTCCTGGTGTTGAATACACAATCACGGTCAAAACCTTCGGAAGAGGCAATGTCTCCAATGCCGGAGTGTCAGTGAAGCAAGTAACAGGTACCGGTTCTTGCACAAACATAAGCATTGGTTGATTTGAATTGTTTTGGTTGCTAGCATTCCACATGGTTATCACGTAATTCACTGTTATTGACCATGTAACAAATTCCAGTGACATATCTGGTCTGCGCTCATGGACTTTCTCTTTGTTGTATCAAACATGGCCACAACTCGAATTCCCTGTTATCTAAAAAAATTTAATTTCAAGATTTAAAAATATGTTTACATACATTTTTGCAAACCTACATTATTTGTTGAGCCTTATTAATTTTCAACAAATTTGTCCTGAACACAATTTACACAAGCGTGTGTTCTTGTTTTCAATTAAATTCTGATAAATGCAGAGATGGAAACCATCTCTGTGATTCCATCTTTGTGATCAATGTGTATTAAATTATAGCCTATGTTGGCATTATGTTTTATACTGACATAGCCCATGAAATAATATAATCATGTAAAAAATTCAGCACTTTGGCTTTCGGTGCTGATTTTTCTTCGCAATGTCATAATTTCAAATTAAATGAATTTGTATTCTTGGTTCTTTCGGTAAATTCACGTAGAAGGGAAACAATAAAATAATAAAAATATAAAACAATAAAATTCTTCTACGTGACTTTACCGAAAGAACCAAGAATATGAATCCCTGCAGTCACGAAAGCTTTAAATCAAAATTTAAATGAATTTGGTTTTGTATGACATATGTAAAAGACAAAGAATATGTTAATCGAATTTGACCATCACATTTTAACAACTATGGATCAGGTAACAAAAAAAATCAGAAACGCTATATTGGCTGTTAAGCAACTTAAGTGGGATTGGGGAGGACACATCACTGGAGGGCGTGATGATGGACGATGGACGACGAGACCGATGATGGAATTTCAGCCAAAGAAGAGAATGCACCGACGAGGACAACAACATTAGGAATGTAACATTGAGATCAGTTCTTGTGCCGGAGTGAGATGGATTGTGGTATCACCGAACCAAGACAAGAGATGGCAATGGCCTTGAGAGGTCTTAATTCAGCACTTGATAGACCATGGATGATGATGATGATGCTGATGAAGATTATGCGATGCTTAAATTTAAACGGTGTGCGGTATCCTTTTACTTGGTGTTTAAGTTTGTTGATGACAGTGATGATGATGATGTGAAATCGATTATTTTTACAGCACTCACCACCTGCAACATTGCCTGCACCAACGGCCAATGCTTCATTGATGCGAAGACATCAATGTCTACCTGCTACTGTAACAGTGGGTTCAGCCTCACCAGCCCGCAGATATGCAGTGGTGAGCCTAACATGCCTTATTCACGTCATCACAATTCTTTGAGTAAACTATAGAGGCAACTTTCAACTAAAATAAACCCCTAAATATAGTTTTGACTAGGTGCCAGCTTTCTCGCCTGGTACACAAGAGGTCATGGGTTTGATCCTGATCTTGACGATGCCTGTTGTATTTTCGGAGTCACGTGTTCTCTCTCCGTGTGGTCGCATAGATTTTTCTCTGGGTCCGGTTTTTCCCTCCACATTTATAAACATGCATTTACATTATTTGGCTGCTGCTATGCATACCCTCGTGTGGTAAAAGCCACATATAATAGCTAATAGCTCAGTGGACTTTACCCAGTAAATATTATAGTTTAGTTTAATTGAAGGAGTATGTTATTTTTTATTTTAAGAAGACAACTTGTAACACTGTACATACATACAGAATACACATGAAGGTTTGGAAAATGTTTGTTTGAATTAGTGTTTTAAAAGTATAACTCAAACGCACCGGTATCTTTATATTTAATCGCAATAACCCCGATATAAATTTTGATTTAAAGCTTTCGTGACTGCAGTAATTCATATTCTTAGTTTTTTCGGTAAAGTCACGTTGAAGAGAAACAACAAAATAATAAAATATATATAACAATAAAAAATTCTCACGACGTTTCGACCATAACTCATGGTCGAAACGTCGTGAGAATTTTTTATTGTTTTATATATATTTTATTATTTTGTTGTTTCTCTTCAACGTGACTTTACCGAAAAAACTAAGAATATGAACCCCGATATAGGTTAAATTTTGTATAATACGTCAACACTCTATAGTCATCGTTAGTCAAGCATCAAGTTACAGTACTTTAACATTATTTATATATTCTACCCTCTATGTATACTGCACACGGAAGTAATAATAGCCAAAAATTTACATCTTTAGAAAAGCTATGAAATTCCAAAATACGGTGGTGTACAAGAAGCCCTTTGTACACTTTATGGAATCATGAGGTTTTGTGAAATGTTCACAAGGATGAATTCATCGAATACATTAATATACTATAACTAATTCTGCAGTGTGATTGATTTGATAAGTCATATGCACAATGTATTATCTTGCAGATGTGGATGAATGTCAGTCGAGGCCTTGCAAACATGGAGGCAGCTGTGCCAACACTCAAGGCTCCTACTCGTGTAGCTGTGTGTCAGGCTGGAGTGGGCTGAACTGCACAGAGAGTAAGTGCATTACAATCTTGTCGTGTAACTCTTCAAAATACACAACACATTGAGTATTTATAATTCCCTGTATTGACATGTCAACAGTTAGTGGTGGGGAGGGCTCAGAGCTGCACAGGTTTACTGGGGTGGGGGGGGATCTCAGACAGTTAACAAGGCATGTGTTGTCCTGGTGACACTAGGCCCGATGATCTCAAAGGTTCACACCTGTAGCGAGTTAGTACGCTGTGTCACGGACCCGACAACCCATCGAACAAAGATGGTCCCTGCATCGCACACTTTCGGATGCGCTTCTGCGGCCATCTGGAACGCTCTTCCTTCCGATATTAGGAAGTCACTGGAGCTATGCTCTTTAAATCTAAATTTAAAACTCATTTCTCTCGAACTGCTTTTGGTGTTGAGTCTGTTGTCCCCCCCCCCCTCCACACACATCTGATTAGCATGGTTAGCTACATACGGTGCGAAATAAGTTTCGATTTAAAGCTTTCGTGACTGCAGGGATTCATATTCTTGGTTCTTTTGGTAAAGTCACATAGAAAAGAAATAATAAAATAATAAAAATTCAACATAACAGTGTCCATTAGCTCTGTTCTTCACCTGAGGACGGCTGCTTGCGTTGTGGCTGAAACGTCGTGAGAATTTTCTTGTTTTATTTTTATTATTTTATTATTTCCATTTTTTCGTGACTTTACCGAAAGAACCCCTAAGGGTGCGAAAGAAGTTCAACATACATACACATAGGTAGTCACCAATATACCATAGCAGCATCTGGTGGACACAAAACAGAAAACACAGTTTATAACCATATTCATATGACGAACACAATTATAATAAAACATATACATGGGAACTGGCACTGAAATGTGAATGTTTTAATTTGTCCAAATAGATATTGACGACTGTGCTGGAAGTGTATGCCAAAATAGTGCAACCTGTTTGGACGGTGATAATAGCTACACTTGTATTTGCCGGAGTGGATGGAGAGGTGTGAACTGCTCAGAAGGTAAGACACGCTTTTGTTTCCTTAAAACGGGTTGTGTTAAGAAAAAAACCTGAGCATAAGACATGAATGTCTGTTACAGAGAATATTGATTTACGTTATCTGTTCTTTTTATGTGTTGCCTCTCCATTTTCTGTACATTACTTGGTATAATTGTTTCTCATGCAAAGGGGGGATAAATCAAATCAATTGCTTAAAATATAAAATTGCAATGGACAAGACATTATTATACAGGGCGGCAGGGTATACACAGTGGTAACAATTGTCTCGTAGCAAGAAGGGCCCAGTTTCGAATCATGACTAGGGCACGAAATGGCGTTTGTATGTTCTCCCCATGTTCTGCATGGGTTTAGTCTATTTTCTCCTCTAGCTAAAAGAAAACATACAATGTAACTGGCATTGACTAAACATCCCGGTGGTGATAAATTACCTGCAAATTAATCAATTGGGAGTACACGCAGTAACATTGCCCACTACTGTGAAAACTTGGCAGGACCCTTCTGAAAAAGGCATGAGACTTCTTGAGATTTTGCTGGGTTAAAGCGGTCATATAAATGTGGCAGCCATGCTGCCAAAGCATGTTTAATAGGATTCCTTTTGATGGCAATTTGCAGAACATTTTTTCCATCGATTCTTCCTTAATCTTGACTTAACCCCGTCTTTGGGAATTTCCGCAATTACGGTAGTGGCAGAAAAGGTGAGTTTTTGTCAAGAATCAGCCACACGTTAATAAAAACAAATATGGAATGGACTCCCATTTTTAGTGAAAACTACCAAATTTCTACCAAGTAGCCGCATGAATTGTGCCAGTGTTCAATCAGATAATTACAAAATTGAAGGGCCCTCGTATATTGATATATCCGAAGACGTATATAGGGATATTTATATATTTGTAATGAGTCCACAGATGAAGGTTCAGACGACACACTTCTTTATTTTCCGCACGAGCTCATCCCACGCACGACCACTCGATTCCCAAATCCCACCAGGAAGCCGCCCCAATCGCCCCGCCTCATCCGGTGATGTCACCACTCTATCTCCTCTCTCTCACGCCCCGCCGTCTCTTTCCTTTCCTTCGTGACGTCACCTTTAACAGTCACCTGGGAATCCCGTGGGAATTTCTACCCCCGGGATCGCGTAAGTATTAGCACTACATATGTATGGGTGCATTGGTGTGTACGAGCATTTGTATTCTGTGGATCTTTGCGTGTGCGGTTGCATGTCATCTGCATGCACGTTTGTGTTTACCGCACGTGTGTAGATGTTGACGAGTGTATAGCGCGTCCCTGCCATGCCACGCGTGCCACCTGCACCAACACAGCGGGCTCCTTCAGCTGCAAATGCAATGCTGGTTACGAGGGAGATGGTGTTCAATGCATTGGTAAGGAATCATAGTTCTCTTGATATTGCACATCGTACAATGTTGTACGTGTCGTGCAGTTGGTATTGCCCATACTATTATAAAGAGCTGCTGTTTCTCCGCACTGCTATAACCTCATTTTGAAATGCCAACCTTTGCATGCCATCTGGGAATGAGTGTGGGATATTGAGTCCAAGCAGCTGCTTGCTGTGGTAGTCAACCAGCTAGATATCGTCACATGTAGTGACGATGTCTAGTTGACGTCCTTATGGTTGAATTATTAGCAGCTCCTCACTTGTTGATGGTCAGTGACTCGGTGCTCACGTGACTGCACATGCGTCGGCAAGCAAACCAAAAACAGATGACACATTCAATGCCGTCACCCCCATTGTGTCAATGTTTTGATAGCCTAATTTACACGTATTTTTGCACGATCCTAGCGTTGTATTTTTTTTTAATCCGGGCAATCCCTTACCTCCCATTACCTCTCCAGATAATTAAGTTAGTCGTGCATGACCTGCCATTGTAAATCCTAAACAGCACATGCAGAACCCAAATCGAATTGAAAAATTACAGCTCGTGTAAAGTTAATTGCAGACTATGCCAATTAATCAGGAAAGTAAGTATTTTGAAGACCAACATCCACTGGTATGTCACTTCTGAACGCATTGTAAAATGTGTCAATTTGTGTTTATTTTGTATATGTAGAGAAAAGACTTTTCGAATATGGACCAACTGTGGGTGACACAACTATGAGGACCTTTTCCACGGATTCAGTGTCTCCTTTCTTCTCACCTCCGTATGGTTTTCCTTTTGCCTCCAAGTTCTACCAGCGGTTGTATGTAAGTACAGTAGCCAGTTATGTTTAAACTCTTTAATTTATACATAAATTAATAACAGGTGTATGCGTGTAAATTTTTTTGCATAATCCTTAACATGTATTTGTTTTTTTTAATTTCACGCGTTGCTTGATATTTATTCATTTGCATATGTAAGTGCAAACACAATTATCACCTCACAGAGCCAATGGTGTTGGAATGGGCCACCACGGTGGTAAGATGTTAACTACCTCGCCTGGTATACAGAAGGTTATGGGTAATATCCTGACCCTGACACCTGTATATTTGGAGTTTGCATGTTCTCTCTCGCCGTGGTCATGTGGATTTGTCTCCGAGTCCTCCGGTTTTCTCTCCATATTTAGAATCAACATGCATTTAGAGTATTTGGCTGCTCTACATTTCCACATGATAAGTCACTTCGTTGACCTATCATTTGTGGCCAGGTCTCTTCTGAAAAAGAGCTATGTAGCTCAGTGGGCCTTACCAGGTAAAATATAAATTGTTTCGCAGTTTAGTTTATTACAATTACGTGTAAGTAGGATGATGTTGATGATGCTGACAAAGGTGATTTCAGTTAAGGTGATGATTGACAGCAAAAAATGTGATTATACCATTAATGCACGCTTTTATTTTTAATAGAAATTGTACTCACGGTATCTTGTGTATGCTTCTAATCTACAGTTTACAGACAATGGCCTGATTATTTTCAAAAATGTCGAAGATTCAACGCAATTTGCCTATCCCAACCCCTTCATCAACGGTTTTACAGAGAGCTCTTCTATCCCTATGATTGCCGTGTTCTGGGATGATGCTGACTTCTCCTCAGAAACTGGGAACATGTACTTTCAGGTTTGTTAAAAGTAGCCTTCAATAGGAAACAAATCATTTTACATGGTGTGCATAATTCATTGAGTTCCAATTACACTCCCAGGCACCACTATAGCTAAACACAGGCTTTTGTTTCTGTATGTCATAACATTGAATTACACATTACTGCGATTTTTTGTATTAACATGTACTGTCATTGTATTGGGAAGTGATAGTATAGTGGTTTAATATTCTGCACTATGAACCTGGTGACCTAACTTTGATTCTCAGGCCACGGCTAACATCCGTGGCGAGTGATATCTGAACCAGTTCAGCGTCATGGAACATGCTAACAATACAAAATCTCTGGTCGACACGGCATGGGGAAGCAGCAGTGGCTTTACAAAACACACAGTGTTTATCTTGATCTGGGTTGCATACACGGTATCTGGCTGGATGACGTCCACTAGAGGGAGCTCTAGAGAGCCCATTTCGAGGGTGTGCGTGGCCTAATCTTCCACACGGACCAGATATCCCGGAAGAGGTGTGAATACCTACGCTTTCACCCATGACACTCAACCTGCCAATTGACTAACCGTGATGTGTCCGTTTATTCTGTAGTGCGTGTTCTGATAGGAAAATGCATCACAATTAATTATTGCAGCTAACTACAAATGTCCCCTGTTTCTTGACAGGAGTATGATTTTAATCAAGGCCTCAGCAATAATACTGATGCCTTGACCCTTCGTGGGAAGGTGATGGAGCAGATCCAAGCCAACTTTAGCAGCCAGTCAGACACACATGGCTATGAGCCCACATGGATGTTGAAGATCACCTGGGCGGAGGCCCCGGCTGTGCCTGCCAGGAGCAACTATAAATACGTAAGGCCATCTCAGTGATTTCATACAAAAGTCGTTGTGATTTAATGGCTCAAATGAGCATTGCGGTGGTACTCTTCTCCTGCTTAGAGCCCTGAGCAAGTGGTGGAAATGCTGTACGATGCAAGTATCATTGTACAAGTCTCACCAAATTTTTCTCACAATTAAATTCCATGTCCCTCTATAACCATGGTTTTTGACTTGTTGCCAGGGTCCACAGCTTGATATATATCCCATAACACTGTGCCATGCCACCATATTACAATACATAAGGCCATATCACCATATTCCATATGTTAGCATAATACATATATCCGCAGCTTGTCAGCAACTCACAAAAAAAATGTTTGTACCAAGGTACAAAACCTCCTTGATTCAAGGTATCTTGTGAAATATAACAACGCTCAATTTTGACGTTGTTACGTTGTTGGCAAGGGTGGTGGCTCTAACCAGATTACAGGGTGGGGTTGCAGCTGGCGAGAAGTTAGGTGAGTGGGTGGTGAACCTGCATTCCGTGTGGCATAAACCAAGAGGAAATGCATTTTGTACGTAAATTATCAGCAAATTCCAGTTCCCCCAGTTCTGTGCACGAGGTACAGAGACTGACATTCTATTTTTGATACCTGTATGGAACATCTTTATCAAAAAACACGTTTTCATAAAGATAGCAAAAAGCCATCTGTCACAAGAGACATTTTATCTCACTGGTCAGTTCGTGTGATGACATATAGAGTTAGAACCTCTGGAATGGGGAAACACGTTTTTTCCATCTTTGCAAACCAACAACAACTCCTGATTGATCCCCTTTAACCACCTCTTTTTTCATACTGCCCTTTACAAGCACTAAAAATACAATTATTAGGTAACCATTATTTTACAATCGTAGCACTACGGTAACATTTTTTTATGCTAAATGCTTATCATTTGGCTGGTACACAGGGAGACCTTGGCTCCAGACCGCGCAAACTAGATGTGTAGCATTCAGGTCGGCACTGCACACTTTAAGTCTCTTCTGTGAGAGCACAAGGAAGTCAAATGCAAACAGCGAAAGGAGCGCGGCTGCAGCTCAACCGACCGACCCACTCGACCCGTCAAGTACCACGTGTACAAACCTCGGCAGAGTTTGCGGGTCTCGCATTGGGCTTTTTAGCCATCTTAGAACACACAGAACCAGAGTGAAAACAAGTCATTCCTGACATTCGAGGGACTGTTGAAGGAAAATGAATGTCCTCCTCCTGACATCAATGTTCCCAATCTCAAGCACAATTATACAGTACATCCAGGTCGAGTTGCATCAATAATATGAATAACGAATCTGTGAAACCAGCAGAAAGGTTAATTTTTTACTTGTACTTGCATTAGTACTGTATCTTGAATGATAGACTTCTTATAGGTTTTTGTTAGTACTGCAGTTTTCTTGTGCAAGTAAAATTATGAGGCAGTTTTTTATCATTACGGTAATTTATTGATACGGATAGGTACATACCAGAAGTAATAATGGTGAGTTCATGTCTGTAAACATGGCTTTGTTGTACATACATGTATGGCAGGCGCTTCGGCCTACCTTTGATGAAAAAAAAAATACTTGAAGTTTAAGTTTGTTTACAATTTTTAACTGGTTCACTATTTTGACATAAATTGTTTTTAGAAAAATCGTGCCACAGGTGTAGGTAACCACCTCATGAAGGTGCCATATGAAATGTTTTTTCATGGTACTTTTTAGAGATGGATGAACACTTATGAAATACAGTGCATTGCATTTACCACATGTTTTGAAGAAATGTTTAACTTTTTTCTGAAAAAATCCCCTCCACGTGTTCATGAATTAAATTGCAGAACTATAAATGTGTCTCAATCTGTGTCGCACCAAGGTTATCAAGACTGTACTCTTGATACGAACTGGACTTTATCTCAGATTGCAACCAATAGACAATTCTGTGTTGTATGTCAACACATCATCGTGGCCAATCTCACAGCAGCTCTTGAGTTTTTTTTCTTATCAAGAATAGCTGCACTGCTCTCGATTGTTTGACTATTATTTGTTTTTATTTCTATTATGAATATATTCTCAAAACAATCTCGGAAACCACCTACCGGATGTAGTGAGACTAGTCAAGTTTTGTGTGTGCTAGAAACATCATTAAACAGCTTTAAAAAAAACAGTTTTCATGATTAAGGATAAATCAAAGTGTTCACAGAGCATGCATATTTATTTGTGATATTTCTAGCTCTTGGATCGTCATAAAATCTATAGTTTGGACTGAGGTAAATATCACATGCTGTAATTCCATATAAAAATAGCATTTCCTTGCTCAATTGCAATACATTAAAATTTCGATTTAAAGCTTTCGTGACTGCAGTAATTCATCTTCTTGGTTCTTTCGGTAAAGTCACGTAGAAGGGAAATAAGAGACATAATAAAATAATAAATAATAAAAATCATTTTATTATTTCCCTTCTACGTGACTTTACCGAAAGAACCAAGAAGATGCAATACATTAGTTGACATTGTGTATTTGTCCATCCATACTTTACTACTTTTTATATAGTGGCATGCTCTATCACCCGTCACGATTGAATTTATACTCTTACAACTCAGTCTCGTATGTCCAGCAATTGATAGTCTGCTCGGAATGAATCACTAATCAGTTAACGGTGCTGTTTCACTTCCAGACGAACACCTTCCAGGCCGTTCTGAGCACGGATGGCGACTCCTCGTTCTGCCTCATATTTTTCAAAGATGGAGGCATGCAATGGAGGCCAGAAGCCAGAGACCCCGGCTCTAACAATGCCCTCATGGGATTCAATAGGTGAGGTGCAACGTTGTCAACAGTCATTGCGTTTGTGGCAACCACGGTGACCGGACCACTGGTCTTTGAATGCTCAAAGAATATTTGTCATTGTCACAATGTCATGGAACACAGTGGTGTGCAGAAAACATCGTGAACGTGGCCACGAATATTTTTTTGATTTTTAAAGATAAGCTCAATATACATTTGTTTCAAAGAAATCAGTGATAACGATTCTCTCATGTCTTTATTTGCCCCTCACAGTGGAACAAACCGGTTCTATTACAATGACGCACTGTCAAGACCGACAAATCCAGCTCGCTATCGCCCAGATACGGTCATTGGAAACAATACTGGTAATTCATTTGTACACTTTAATACATTGAAATCAGCGTAGTGTTTTCTGACATGACTTGCAATACGTTGCTCTTCCCATATATAGGGGAACAAAAATATTCCACCTGTTGTGGATTTCCCATTATGTTCATTTAAGGTTTTGTTATACACACGGAGATGTCGAGGTGTATTTGGGGAAATACAAACAGGGCTTGTGACTTTTGAGGGAGAGAAAAAAAATGTTTATGACTCTCTCATTATTGATAGCAATGTTTAACTTAATAGGAAGGTTATTTGGTAGAAGACTTCCCATAAAAGTAATGGCTTCTTTTTCATCAACAATATATATTTTTTATGAAAATTTTTTAAAGTTTTATGTCTTAGCGCACGTGAATGTGAGGGTACCAGGTCTGGACTATTTGGTGGATGGGACAGGACAATCTGTATTCGGACGTTCTCAGGCTTCTATGTGGTCCGACATTGCCGTGTTGATTTCTACTATCTAAATGTCTGGATGCGTTTGGTAAATAGATTCTTCAATTATTCAACATGTCAAAAATGTGTGTAACATTTTATGAGCAAGCAATAAGGAGATAAATTAAATGGGGGGACATTGAGCCATAACCTTCGTGGCATCCACTATATTAATATTAATTGTACTCGATTTTTTTTACTGTAAAAATATCAATTAATTTCCCGTACAATAGAACGTGGGCAAGCGCTCATTTTGTAGCCCAGAGCCAAATTATATGGCAGGGTACTCACTTTATTTACCCCCAAAGGAATTATGGGTTGTCAATCACGATTTAACTGAAATTATGTAATAGGCAGTGTTTAGTTAAAAAATCCATCATGGTTGATGACATTTCTACACAAAATGGCCATATATGGTGACCACTCACCCTCCGGGGCTGCACTGTTTGATACAAAATGTGGATTTCCTTTGCCATTTGTAAAACATCAAAATGCGTTATTTTAACGTGAAACATTTGTTTTTTTACACGTTGCTTCTCCATAAAAGTTGGTTGGTTTACCACTTGCATGATGCAGCACACATTCCTTGAAATATCATATAAAGGTTAATTTTAAACAAAGAGCATGGATCTTTCACAACCAGTCTTCATAAAAGTCATGCACACAACCACAACTGTATTTTTTTTAGCTTACGCTAGTGCCGTCCCGCTGAGTGTGATAGATCGCTATGTCCCTGAACAGTAGCTTGTTACAGGGTGTCTATGAAACCAGTTATTGTTTAAGGTGATATTTTGGGCAACGGTCCTTCACAGCACAGAGGGCAATGGCCCTTGTTCAAAGCACACAAGGGAGGGCAATGGCCCTTTTCACAGCACACAGAGAGGGCTACAGCCCTTTTCACAGCACAGAGAGGGCAACGGCCCTTCTTCACAGCACGTTGGCCTCTCTTGACAACTGCCAATGCAGTATCATAGAATAATTTGTTATTATTTAAATTTCATTTAAAAGTTCATTGAAGCAGCATCTTCATCTAATTCTAATATTTTAGCATTTGTGTATTTTTAATACCACACCCGACAGTACTCAGATTGTAAATGTTGTGGCTTGGCTCTCCAACACACCGGTGTGCTGTACTAGTGACGAATTGGCATGTTCTGTTTACATGACAACCCTTACTAGTTGGCTGTGTTGGGTGGTGGTGGGTTTTAATGACACATTTATATATTTACGCGATCCAACCCAAAAAAAACCTCTATTATGGATATTGGTCGTGAAAGCCTACGTGTTAAATACCACAGTTCATTTAATTAAATGTTGCTATTCATGTTTTGTTATTGTGGTGATTATCACTGCCAAAGAGACATTTTCCCACCAACTTACCATGACATCCAATAACCATTTTTGTAACTTGGCACATCATTCCTATTAGCAATTCCCCTCTATTTTCTTGCCTGATCTCAGAAGATAACCAGGATTAAACTAGGTTACTACTTGGTTCGTAAGAGTTCCTGGTAAGATAGGTATCACTGATTTCCTCCCACATGCCAAACATTCAAGATTATTGGTTAAACAAGAATTTCCTGGGTAAATTTACATATCTAAATGAGCTCAAGCCTCTCGCAAATCACGTGACCTTTGTGTGACTACTTGCAGTCTGAATCCCTCCCGTCTCCCCACCCCCTGTGAAAACAGATGCTGCTCCGTGCAGCATCGAGGCTCTTATGTGGCCTCCACCCTCTCCTCATCTTTCCTGACCATATGCTCACGTTTTCCAATTTAATTTCCATTATTTTACTCTTATTTCCCCATTCTTTCTCTTTTTTTCCTTTTTTACCGTTGTATTTTTCTTTTCCCATGCATTACATTCTTGGTGTGCCATGGGTAAAACATCGCTAGTGGCAATAATTTTGTTACAATGTATTGTTTAAAAAAATTACACGGTGCTACCTGCAGTGAAGTGGCATTTCATTTGTGGTTTTTGAAACAATTAATATTCTGATATGTCTATGCCCGTTTATTAATTATAATATATACTGTAGTTTTTTTAAGTAGTTGAGTGCAAATGCTATATATAGGACACTACTTTAAAGCAGCAATGGTCGACCTTGTTATCCAAGCTAGTTAATGTGTGTGTATTTTCTGTCCATGACATTGTGTTGACTAAGTGTTGTGGTCCCCATGTGGCTTTTTTATTTCTAATTTTCCAGTCCTTTTGTCAATACTGATGGTGAGTTTATAAATTACATATTACGTCAATAAATTAATGTGTTGCAGGTCTAAAAGGAAGATGGGCTTACAGGCTGGATACAAACTTGGCTGTGACCACTAATCCAAAGCGCAAGTGTATGGACTGGTATAGGAATGAGTTAGCCCTGCCTTCCATCAGCAGATTCACTACCTGTCCCTGCTCTTTGTGGCAAGGACAGTTTGACATGTCCTACATCAATGGGGACATATCCAGATATGGCTACCAGCCTCCAAATGTCACAGGTGAGGCTGAACATTAACTTGCTTTTGGGAAATTTTTAAAAGAAGTCACTGCATAAATTACATTGTATAAACCATCAATTGTAAGATTATCCTTTGTCCTGCATATTAGTGATGAAAAAATATGTTGCAGTTTATGATGATGTAATTGAAACTAAGTGATTTATATTTCTGATGTTATTTGTAGTAAATTACCAATTTGATCAACACCAGATAACCACATATTTAGATAACTGACTAGCTATATTTACATCTTTAAAAATACACTTGTCATTAAGTTACAAACTCTGTCTCTGTTGCACAATTGATTATACTCTCATCTCTGTACCAGAAAAAGAATATATAGGTTCATCTGTTTATATCTATATGGCAATATCACTTTAATCCAATACATGTAAATGCTTAAATCTGAATATAACAATAGCGATTCCCGCTCGCCCCCCCCCCCCCCCCCTGTTGAAATTCTATCATATTAATGCGGAAAATTTGTATTTGTGCCAGGTTCATTTTGGAGCTTGCAAAGCTTCAATAAAGATAGATTTGGTGGAGGGGTGAGATGCCACTACAACAAATTTGGGGCCCTTGTGTCTGGGTCGTATGAGAGGTATCTTCCTACCCCTTGGGTCACCAACACTCAGCAAGACATTCAACTTTACTCGAGTAAGTGATTTTAATAGTGCAAAATAGTTGTGTTGTAAATTGGCTTAAATCTCCCACCGCCGCTGTCCACCCAGCATATAAATCGGTACACCACAGTTAGGTAGATATGCTGTTAGTGTGTGGTGGGGTAGAATGTGGGTACTGCCACCTATTCCAAATTGTCTGGCAAGCATGGAGCCATAGATCAAATACGCCTTTAGAGATGGCCTCTAGAGCTTCCTGAAGTGGAGGCCCTTCTGTTGTGAAAAGTAATGAATAGAGACTCTGCGGGAAAGTGCAAGAACAAGGTTTTTGTTTCTATGATATGCAATTTTATTACCTTATTTACACTCACGTTATTTACACCTGTAATTGTTCCTGGCCTAATGGCACTTTGGAAAAATGCTTGACTCACATTTGAATGATTACAAGTTCAGGATTATTACATTTTGTCAGTCATATTCTTTGGGTTTTTTGGTAAAGCCACGTAGATAGAAAAAATAAAATAAAAATAATAACAAGATCACAACGTTTCGATCGCAGCACAAGCAATTGTCGTCAGGTGAGAGCTGCTGAGGTAGGAAAAAATATATGGCGGGAGCGCTGCTAAGGCAGGGATTTATAAAGGTTTGAGATGGGTGTAGCCCAAGGGTCAGTGGGTGGGGCTAGAGATTGAATTTGCATGTAAATGTAAGGTAGAAGAAATCTTGATAAACGAAGTTGTGGGGGTGGCCATTGTATTGTGAGAGATTAGCAGGTCAATGTAAGAAATTTGCTTGTAAATTATCACGATTGCTAGTGTTGCGATCGAGAGAGCTCTGAAAAGAGCATCGCCACCTGGAGGTGGAAAAGGATGGCAAGCCGCCATTTACTAACACAGCTAATGGTGGCTGAGGGAAAGAACCATCTGAGGACCTAATCAAAACCATTACCTTGCCATACATAGCAGGGGTCACCAAAAATATTTCCAAAATCATGAGCAAACACAAGATCCAGGTACGATTCAACACAGTACATAAAAATCGTGATTCAATCCCATCTATGAAGGATGTGATCCCTGACATGCAATACCCCAGTGTCTACAAACTAAGCTGTGTCTGCGGTAGCAGTTATATTGGGGAAACTAAGCGACATGTCTTGGACTGGGTTCGTGAGCATAAGGCAGATCTGAAACACGGTAGGACCAATAGCTCAGCCGTGGCTGATCATTATTTTAACGCTGTGAGCACACACGAAATTGATTTTGCCAAGACGAAGGTACTCTGCAAACCTACTGGCTATCAGCAAAGAATTGTCCATGAAGCCATCCAGATATATAAACAGACACAATTTCAACCGAGAAGATGGGTACATACTGAGCAATCATTGGAAGGACGTTATTAACTAGTTTAGGTCATAACTGGCTGTGTTGTTCCTTTCCTGGCTACCTGTGTTAGCAATTATCTTCGACTCTTTTAGTTACATTCACTAACACAGTCACCATTAGCTGTGTTAGTAAATGGCGACTTACCATCCTTTTCCACCTCCAGGTGGCGATGCTCCTTTCTGAGCTCTCTCTAGCTTACACTTACAAGCAACTTTCTTACATTGACATGCTAATCTCTCACAATACAATGGCCTCCCCCACAGCGGATTGCCATCCTTTTCCACCTCCATGTGGTGATGTCCGAGCTCTCCCTAGCTTACATTTACAAGCAAATCTCTTACATTGACATGCTCATCTCTGTCATCATTAGACCACAAGTATTGTGGTTAATGCACACATGATTCCTTGTAAAAAGGTTTCAGTTTTGTTGCCAGAAAAAAGGGGAAAACCCCTATTATTATGCTAATCTCTCACAATACAATGGCCATCCCCACAATTATCAAGATTTCTCCTATTTTACATTTACATGCAAATTTAAACTCTAGCCCCGCCCACTGACCTTTGGGCTGCACCCATCTCAAACCTTTATAAATCCCTGCCTTAGCAGCGCTCCCGCCATATATTTTTTTCCTACCTCAGCAGCTCTCACCTGATGACGATTGTTTGTGTTGCGATCGAAACGTCGTGATATTGTTATTATTTTTATTTTGAAATATTTTTTTCTATCTACGTGGCTTTACCGAAAGACCAAAGGAATATTAATTCCTGCAGTCACGAAAGCTTTAAGTCAAGATTTGTCAGTCATCTTTAACTTTTAACTTTGATGTGGTTACAAGTGCTTAGGGAATTGTGTACCTGGATTGCCAGCGGGATTTTTTTGCCTTTATAAGTGTGGTGATACATTTATAAAATTATTACTCCTTACTCATGTGTAAGTTTTTCTCGGTTGCATTGTTTCATCCATTTTCGGATTGCACTGCGTATTGCTCACTATGGTGTTTACCTTCATGTGCTGGGAGCTTCTTTCAGCTCCCGAGGAAGCTCTCAGTTCCTGAACAAGGTCTCAGCACATTGAGCAAAACGTCAGACCTCACGTTGAATAATACACAGTACAAACCGAAAACACAGTGGAGAACTAATTCAATGATGTTACACACAAACACTTTTTTGTTGTTGTTTCCAGCAAATGAAACAGAACCATATCGATCATGTTGCCAGTCTGGAGATGCCAGGTTTTGCAGGCTGTACCAACAGAAACGCCCTCCCAACCAATGTGCTTTCTACAGGCCACCATTTGCTGGTAAGATTCCTCTTTTAAGAATTACGTTTATTTAAATGTTCAGAATCAAAATGTATTTACACTGATGGAAGCCGATGAGCTATAATGCTCTTTTCACAGATGTCTAATGTGGTCACCCATGGGTTAAGCTTTCAAAGATCATTGCTTGATAAATAAAGACCAGTGCTTTCCAACTATGATTACAGGATATGCTGCAACATGAGTCTCCATTTCAGGCATTGAAATAAACTTGAATGAGAAATATTCACAAGATACACGGTATATATTAATAGAGTTCACATGTTGATCTTGGTCTGCAATCAACTGAGCCCATCATCCCCCAATAAGTGGCACTTTGCAAAAAAACTACAATCCTATGATAAGTGTAAACTCAGTCATATGGAACGTTCATCCCGGTTTCGGGCCAGATAAGCACCACCCAATGTCAAATTGAATATCGTTTAAAAAAATGTATAGTTCATGAATATAAACAAAACATGAATTGGGTGGAATGGCGGTGCAATGGTTAGCGTACTGCGCTATGACCCCAGCGATCCGGCATTGTGAACTTGGTTACTTTTTCATTGCAGCGTTTCTCATTGGCGACCCTCACATCACCACCCTGGACAATGTCTCGTACACCTTCAATGGCCTGGGAGAGTACACTGTGTTGGAAGCGGTTGGAGATGGGGTGAATTTCACCATGCAGGGCCGCACAGGAATTGCGAGGACCAATGCCTCCACCAATATTTCTTCAAAAGCAACGTCCTTCATAGCCATTGTTGCACAGGAGACCGGCGGCATTAAGGTACACGCAAATCACTTGACAAATATTAGGTTCCCAAGCTTAAAGACGTAAATTGCCCCCCCACCGCCTCTGTCCACCCAGCAGTTTAAATGGGCACCCCACAGACGATCTGATCGGCAGATCACGCGTGTATGGGGGTAATGTGTGCATACTCCCACCTCTTCTAAGATGTGTGTGGCCAACAATTGATATATGAATTGGCCTTGGGCTCCCGCCGTTTACCAACCTGCACTGAGCAATGCGGTGAAACTTGGTCAAACAGCCACCTCGGCTAACACAGCATATAGGGAGGTCTTAATCCAGCAGTGGATTAACAAATATCTTTAAAAATTACATATACTTGCAATAAAATACACCACGGTTAGCTACGTACGGTGTGACAGAAGTTCAACGTACATACATAGAGGGACTTTCTCGTGCTCCCTCTAGTGGACACTCTTTTGCCAGAAGTGGCATGAGCGTGAAATTGCAGGACTGCACCTTTACCTTATAGCCCATCTTTATAAACTATAGATGAATGTTTAATACATTATTTAACAATGATAATTATGTAGCAGTTTTTTTACGGCACGGTGGAACTGTGGGGTAATGTGAAAAAGCCAAAAAGTTTCGAGTGATCTTCAACAGCACATGACAGAAGCATTCACGAAAAATTACACCTGAGATGTTAGTAAGCATCCGTTATTCATGTTATTTTTTTATGTCGAAAAATCTACTTTTCTGTCCTGTTTTTTTATTACCCATACCTCTCAATGACAACACATAAGTGCGTTTTTACCCCTGATTGTTTACAAACTGTTTAATTTTCCTTTTACAGGTTGAATGGATTCTCAAAAACAGCAGCATAGTAGTACTGGTAGATGGCAAACAGATCAATTCAACAGGTAAATAATACTGAATGTTTTACCTGGACAAAAAAAACTGATGCAGTATCTGTTTTTATATTTCACTGTGCTTAGTATATACTGTGTTTCTCTGTATGTTTTGTATACATGACGCTCGAAGACAAATTGTATCGGTGATAATATGCTTAATTTTAATCTGTGGAGTCCTAATGATATCCATACCATTGACTCAGGTCACATCAGTGACATGAGTCAAGTCTTGATCCCTCTGTATTAAAGTTGAAGGTTTGTATAAACAATTTAACATTCTATAATACCTCATTTCTACAGCCAATGGGTACCACAATTTGCGCCGTTCTGTTGTTGTGGGGCAGTACTAGAGAGCCTGAGCGTTCTCGCATCAACTGGCCTGTCAAATAGATCGAATTGGTTTACCGAACAGGGCTTTGCACCAGCTGTGTTTGTCAATAAAGGATCCATTTGGGGCTGGGACTATTCTGGAGGCATTTTCGACATCTTGAAGTCAACATGGAATAGATATGTGCACATGCCATTACATCACTCTCTTGGTTCAACTCTCCGTCTATTTTAGTGTAAAAATACATGGCCTAGCGGTAGCATGTTCGCCATTTGTTGCAACCCCTGGTTATTATTACTATGGGTGCATTAGGGTGCCACGGTGGCGAGATGTTGACTACATCGCATGGTATACAGAAGGTTGTGTGTTCCATCCTGACCCTGATGCCTGTATAGTAGGAGTTTGCATGTTCTTCCCATGGTCGCATAGATTTTTCCCTGGGTCCTCCGGTTATTCCCTCCACATTTATAAACATGCGTTTAGAGTATTTGGCTGCGATAACTGTCCACATGATAAGCCACTTCATTGAGCTATTAGTTGTGGCAAGGTCGCTTCTGAAAAATAGCTATATAGCTCGCTGGGCCTTATCTGGTAAAATAAAAAATAGTTTTATAGTTTTTATAGTTTATTAACCATACAAATAAATACATACAAATACTCACTGTCTGTTTCACAGAGGACGTTTAAAATTCCGTAACATCAATTGTGAAATTTGAAAAGTTCACTCAATTGAAATATAAAGAGCGATCAACTTGGCAGGAGTAATGAAACTTTGTGACGCTTTCATGGATAAATACAAAAACTATATATTTACGCTCTGATGTGTGTGATGCATTTCGCGTCTTGTTTGGCATGATGTCTGACGTTTTGCTCCACGTGTTGAGAGCTTCTGCAGAAACTGAATATGCCAAACAACGTAGTATAGCCCTAAAACATATCGGAGAGCTATACAGCACAATCACGAAAATCTACTCAGCAGTGCAAGAATATTGAAACTTTGCCTGTAATCACTTGATCTATGCCCTTACACTTTGATAAAGACCACGTGTTTAGACGATGTATTTCCTGGCATCCACCCTATTGTCTGCGGGATGATAGTGGGCAGGGGGGAATGTGGGTGGAGCAGAAATGGTGAAGACTTTGGAACCATGTGGAGCATGGAGGCCAATGGCCAGGGCCCCTGTTGATATTTATGAACCGGTACTGGGCCAACAGGGTTCAGATCCTAATAGGTGTGGAAACAGGGCATAAAAACTAACTTTTATGTGCCCACGTTATATTAAATTGTCACCTTGTTTTTCTCATATAGATGCCATCTACAATCAGACCATGTCAATCAATTGGTCAGACGGACATGTGGTAGCCACCTTCGCATCGGGCATCTCATTGAACGTGTCCAGCGTTTCTGGGGCCCTCAACTTCATCACCTCATTGCAAGAGAGTTTTATCAACCGCACGAAAGGCCTGCTGGGTGAGTCACAATGAAGCTGCCCTTCACACAGTCAATGGCTTTTAACCTTTGCTCGTCATTGTCCCTAATCCGGTAGGATGGAGCTGTAGCAGGGAAGAGCGTTCGAATCCATTTCATGAATTGACTCATCCCCATCACCTTCTGGGCTTCAAATCCGGCGACCTGAGTTAAATTCCCGCTCACGGCCACCACCGGTGACGATTATTTTAACTGGTCCTGGGCCTCCCCTAGGTCGACTCAGCCTCAAACGAGTAATTGCTGTGGTGTGAACATCGCCACTGGGGAGACAAAGACGGCCGGGCGTGGTGAATCCAAGTCCTGGGTGAAGCCGTGTAGTAAAGCTAGTATTGTATACATAATAAAGGTTTTTGGGTTAGATCGCGTTATTTATAAATGTGTCGTAACCCTCCACCACCCGACACGGCCAATCAGCAAAAAAAGTGTCACGTTGACAAAAGACAAATAATTCACTACTTTAGCCCACCGGTGTGTTGAAGAGTGAATCCACAACATTTACAGTTTGAGTATGACGTTTCGCTGGTAAATACATCCAGCATCATCGGGCAATTCTGGCGAATCGGGCAATTCGCATGATGCTGGATGTATTTACCAGCGAAACGTCGTACTCAAACTGTAAATGTTGTGGATTCACTCTTCAACACACCGGTGGGCTAAAGTAGTGAATTATTTGTCTTTTGTCAACGTGACACTTTATTTTGCTGATTGGCCGTGTCGGGTGGTGGAGGGTTACGACACATTTATAAATAACGCGATCTAACCCAAAAACCTTTATTATGAATAATATTGGTCGCGAAGCCTACGTGTTAAACTAGTATTGTATATATGCTGAAAGTGCAGCCGTGCTGAATTATCCCCAATTCCGAATGACGATTGCCATAATCATGAATTATTACCTATTTCTTTACTATTTTGGCAATGTTATTGACTGTGTTTTTAGTTACGCATTTATCTGAATTTCTTTCTTGAGCTTCACAGTCATTGTCCGAGACTCCAGGAATCAAAATAAGGTTAAATTAGAAGCAACTTCATGAGCCAGCCTGATCCGCTGTCTTGTTAAGAAAAACGGTGTGTTTTGACATGCTACTAAATTTGGACGTAAATCTTTTTCTGATATATGAAAAATGGGATTTCTTTGCAGGTGTTTTCAACAAGGATCCCACCGATGACTTCCAAGCTTCAAATGGAACAGTTCTTCGCTTCAATGGAAGCAGTGTGCCTCCTGAATCGCAAATATATTATAGCTTTGGAATTACATGTAAGTGAACTCAAGGTGTATTAATGTAGTTATGAATTGTGAATCGAACATTGCATTTCGCAAACAAATAACGACATGGATCGGGTACTCCCGCTTGTCACGGCATTGCTAGGTTGGCAGAATAAAGAGAGGTCTGTTAAACTACATAATTTATACTCTTTGGGTATCTACGTGACTTTACCGAAAGACCCAAAGAGTATGAATTCCTGCAGTCACGAAAGCTTTAAGTCAAGATACCACTGATATTTTACCTTATCAAACATTTTGTTACATGTTATCAGCAGCTATTTCTGTTGCAAAAAACCAACACGCATCATACGACTGATATGTAATATATATGTTGTATGTGCTCATTTGATAGAAGACTCTTCAGATTTACCAGCAAAGACTTATAAACGTGTTCACTAAGGTGACACATCTGCCTGCTACGTTGAGCAGAGTGTATATTCATAGTGACTTTAATAAAACGTTAAATTATGTGAGCGACAAGAACACCAGTTACATTCCACAAATTGTCAATATAAAATATAAGTGAATTATGAATCCACCTTGGTGCTTTGCACTGCAGCTTTTAAAACTGAAATAACCGAGCGTTTATACTGTTGGTTTATACTTGTTGCTGCTTACGTATATCAATAATGTTTCTTAGAAACACATTTCGACAAAAATATGCCGTCTCTTTACAGGGCAAACAAAGCCAAGCACAAGCCTGTTTACTTATAACGCCACCAGTGGGGAGACTTGGTCCACATTCAACAACAACAGCTTTGTGCCTACATTCTATGAAGAACTCATAAATCAGACATCTGCAAAACAACTTGCCGACATTCAGGAATTATGTGGAGGACAGTTCGACTGCATATTTGACATGCTGAGTACCGGCGACAGCACCTTTGCGCTGGCCACATCGCAGAGCGCTATGGAATTTGGCTCTCAGCAGAAAGCTCTACGTGAGTTGAATTATGCTGTGCCTCTTTTTTCACTGTATTACTCGAGCAATGCCCGGGACCTTGCCCAAGGCAGCCACGGTGCAGCTCACGTGGCGCCAAAGTTGTCCTTCCACTGGAGAAGCTGAGCCGTGCCACTTCAGAATCGAAATCTTTATTTAGACTGGAGGAATCCGATGAGCCGTGAAGCTCTTTTTCACGGATGTCCAGTAGGGGTGGGTCAGGTTACTTATATCACACGCAACAAACGAGGCAAGATGCGTGTACGTGAAGCGTTGATGCTGTGTCCTCTGTGTATTGACTGATGTTATACGCAATTGCATCGTAATTAACTCTGCTCCTGCCATTGCTTGGCCCCGAGCCAGATTCAGACGTCTTGTGAGATGAATGTATCATGGTTTGTTTCCAGCTCAGCATGACAAATAGCCAGTGGGAAAAACCCCGTACCGTAAGCGTCCTCCCGCTGGCTCGGCTCAGATGTGCCAGTGGAGAAAGTAGCATTGTACATCCACATAAATTCTTGACCTGACAATATGTAGTAGGCATGTAACAATCAGCCCCCTGGCCCAGATGTTTTTTTGTCATTTGTATTGTTTCTTCATAGAGATAGACGTGTGTGCCGCATTATCCTGAATGCAAGAATAGCGTATAACGTGCATACAATATGGTTACAATCATAACTAATCAATCCTTTTCAGTCTTATTTGCACGATTCGTGAGTGTGCAAGCATCTCTCACAATGTATTAAACATTACATGCCTGATTAGCAGTCACTTGAGAGAAGCTGAGCTGTGACATTGAGGACAATTTTCACATCATATGTTACTTTAGAATAATTTACGCCTTCAGTGAGCCATACTGAAGCATCTAAGGAGTTAAATTGTCAAATAGTTAAAACAGTGGCATCCTACATTAATATTTCAAACACACGACAGAACATGTATTATAAAATAAGTAATAAATTAATCTGCTTTGGTTCTTTCGGTAAAGTCATGTAGAATGAGAATAAAATAATAAAATAATAAAATAAAATTACACAATAAAATTCTCACGACGTATCGGCCACAACACAAGTGGCCTTCATCAGGTGAAGGGACGAGGCTGTCTGGAGGACAGCGCTGGAGCGAACACAGCCAAGTTCAGACCGCGACCTTTAAGCTGTGTGAGAAGAAACAGAGCGCCTTGACAAAGGAATTAGCATAAAAAATTGCATTTAATTGGCGGACTTAGCATGATGAAATTATACTGTACCATTGAAAATTAGTTTAATGTTTGGTTCGGATAATTTAGCATTGAGTGGTTAGCTTGTGACTGGTCACAGAAATGGCTATGTTAAAGTTAAAGCCTACACATCCACAGAGGCACCTAGTATAAATCAAACAGGATAATTTAGCATTGAAATAACTGAGGGATTAGCTTGTGACTGGTCATAGAAATAGCTATGTTAAAGTCAAAGCCTACACATCTACAGAGGCACCTAGTACATGGACGCCAAAGGGGCTGCAACCAATCGATTATCATATAGTAAACCGATGTGAAAAAACCCAAGTCTAAATTACATCAATATAATAAATGTACTCAATATATTATTCAATAAGCTGAGCTATTAACAGTAACTGGGTATACACTACACTATATAATGAATACCATATAGTAAACCAATAAAAACTAAAATATAAACCACCTCAATGTTATCAATAAACTCTATATATTCTCCAATCAGCTAAGCTACCAACAATAAGTCGTTATATATCACAATGCTATATGGCGAAAAAATGGGTGGATTCTTACCCTCAACTTTAGCACCACGGATAGCTACGAGCCCCGTTCAGACGGACGAGTTCATCCATGGTCGGAACAGAGGAGGGGGAGAGAGACAGCTGCGAGGCGCTGTTATACTCCATGTTGTAAACTATACCATTAACCGTGGTGTGAGAGGTATTAAGAGTCAATGCCAGCGAAAGAGCTGTGGTCTGAAGGTCATCGTAAAATATAATTAATTAAGAACCGAAATGGTTTAAAACATCTTTCCAATGATTTAAAGCTTTCGTGACTGCAGTAATTCATATTCTTAGTTTTTTCGGTAAAGTCACGTTGAAGAGAAACAACAAAATAACAAAATATATATAAAACAATAAAAAATTCTCACGACGTTTCGACCATAACTAAAACGGTCATCATCAGGTGTGTCGGTTTGCATAAATTTATTTTGAAAACGGCATATTTATTTATATATATAAAAATAACGTTTGCGTCACGCGCAACGATGGCAGTTTGCCAGGACTAGTCCATCTATTTTTTGAAAAGGGGAGGGGGGAGACGAAATTTGTTTTTATGTATGCTGTCTGAAAGGCACTGTAAGCGTGAACAATCAATCAAGAACTGAAATGATTTATCAAATCTTTCCAATGATTGCTAAGATAGAATCCATCTTCTCGGTTGAAATTGTCTCTGTGTTTGTATATGTGGATAGCCTCATGAACGAATCTCTCATGGAAGCCAGATGGCTTACAAAGAACCTCCGTCTTGGAAAAGTCAATGGCATGTGAGCCTACTGAATTAGAACAATGATCTGCTACGGCCGAGGTGTTGGTCCTACCGTGTTTAAGGTCTGCTTTATGTTCACGAATGCGGTCCGAGATATGACGTTTGTAATGTGTTGAAACAACACATTAAATAAAATCCGTGATCTGGTTCCGTCTGTAAAAGATGTGATTCCGGACATACAATACCCTGGTGTCTACAAACTAAGTTGCCTCTGTGGTAGTAGTTACATTGGAGAAACCAAACGCCATATCTCGGACCGCATTCGTGAACATAAAGCAGACCTTAAACACGGTAGGACCAACACCTCGGCCGTAGCAGATCATTGTTCTAATTCAGTAGGCTCACATGCCATTGACTTTTCCAAGACGGAGGTTCTTTGTAAGCCATCTGGCTTCCATGAGAGATTCGTTCATGAGGCTATCCACATATACAAACACAGAGACAATTTCAACCGAGAAGATGGATTCTATCTTAGCAATCATTGGAAAGATTTGATAAATCATTTCAGTTCTTGATTGATTGTTCACGCTTACAGTGCCTTTCAGACAGCATACATAAAAACAAATTTCGTCTCCCCCCTCCTCTTTTCAAAAAAATAGATGGACTAGTCCTGGCAAACTGCCATCGTTGCGCGTGACGCAAACGTTATTTTTATATATATAAATAAATATGCCGTTTTCAAATAAATTTATGCAAACCGACACACCTGATGATGACCGTTTGAGTTATGGTCGAAACGTCGTGAGAATTTTTTTTATTGTTTTATATATATTTTGTTATTTTGTTGTTTCTCTTCAACGTGACTTTACCGAAAAAACTAAGAATATCTTTCCAATGGTTACTAAGCCAGAATCCATCTTCCTGGTTGAAATTATCTCTGTGCTTGTATATGTGAATGGCCTCATGAACGAATCTCTCATGGTAGCCGGTTGGTTTGCAAAGAACCTCCGTCTTGGAGAAGTCAATGTCATGTGAGCCCACTGAATTATAACAGTGATCTGCCACGGCAGAGGAGTTCGTTCTACCGTGTTTCAAGTCTGCTTTATGTTCGCGGATGCGGTCCGAGATATGTCGTTTGGTTTCTCCAATGTAGCTACTACCACAGAGGCACTTAGTTTGTAAACGCCCGGGTACTGTATGTCTGGAACAGCATATTTTACAGATGGAACCAGATCACGGATTTTATGTACTGTGTTGAATCGGACCTGGATCTTGTGTTTATTCAGGATTTTGGAGATCTTTTTAGTGACCCCTGCAATGTAGGGTAAGGTGATGGTTTTGAGTGGCTCCACAAGAGGATCCTTCTTCATGACTGGAGTGATGGCTTTGCAGATTATGTAGTCGTAGTAACCATTAGCCCTGAGAGCCTGGTGTACGTGCTTGAGTTCACTGGTAATGTGTTCCTGGTCGGAAATGCATTGGGCTCTATGGTATAGAGTCTTGATGAGGGAGTTCTTCTGGGATGGATGGTGGTGGGAATCCGGTTTCAAGTAAGCATCTGTATGGGTAGCTTTCCTGTAGACAGAGTGGCTCATTGAACCATCATGTCTCCTTTTAATTAAGACATCCAAAAAGGGTAGTTTGCCATCTTTTTCAACCTCCATGGTAAATCTGATGGCTGGGTGTATGGAATTGATGTGGTCGCGGAATTGGTCTAGAGCAGGCTGGCCATGTGGCCAGATGACAAAAGTGTCATCCACGTACCTCTTCCATAAGGTCGGGCGTAGAGTGGCAATCTGGATGGCGTCAGTTTCAAATTTTTCCATGAATACGTTGGCTACAACCGGAGATAGGGGGGAGCCCATTGGGGTGCCCTCAGTTTGTTTGTAGAAAGTTCCATTCCAGGTGAAGTATGTGTTGGTTAAGCAATGTCTCACCAGGGAGGGTACATTAGTATGCAGTCCTTGATGAACCAGGTCTTCAATGATAGCGATGGTGTCAGGTACCGGGACTTTGGTGAACAAAGACACCACATCAAAACTGACAAGCAGGTCGTCTGGGGACAGGGAAATACCATTGATTGTCGATACCAGGTGAGTAGAATTTAGTACCGCAGAGGTGGTTTTTCCAGTGAAAGGTCGCAGTATATCAGCAAGCAAACGTGCCAGTTTATAGGTGGGGGAGTTGATAGTAGAGATGATGGGACGAAGGGGTGTATCTTCTTTGTGTATCTTTGGAAGGCCATATAATCTTGGTGGTCTGGCAGCAGAGGGTTTCAACGAGAACTGTTTGGTCTGATCTATTAATGCTGTTGAAACAGAGATGATTTTGTTCGTTTTGGTAACCAGGCTGTTGGTGGGATCTCTTTTTATTTTTGTATAGCTGCCATCGTTGAGTTTTTATTGTGTTATTGTATTTTATTAATTTATGATTTTATTCTCATTCTACGTGACTTTACCGAAAGAACCAAAGAAGATGAATCCTTGCAGTCACGAAAGCTTTAAATCGAAAAGCAATAAATTATAGTTGTACATCTAACACACTAATTGAGTAAAGCGACACTAGTGGTACCATAACATATGCATCAGTACATATTTTTTTTAAATACCTGTTTTATTTTACTTCGGAGCTTCCATTATATGGGAATTACTATTTTAGTGTGTTAAAGTCTAGTTTTGTTAACAATGTACTTATCTCAAAGTCGCAGATTAATTAACCATTGAGTATCGATACATCGTTGCATCACTCAATGAACATTTGCACATACTGCTACGGTTTTCTGCTGTTATTTACCTCTGATAACGTATAATACAGAGGTGCATTGGGATCCTTGGATGAAGTGTGCCTCACAAATGTAAATTATTATTATAACACAGACATGTCCTAACACGCAGGCGTGTTATTGTGCATGAATCTATAAGTGATATGTGTTGTTTTATTTCAGAAAACTTCCCTCCCAACATTACCAGCGACGGGCAAATTTCTACCATGCTGAATCAAGTAGTTACAGTCAAAATCAGCGCAGTGGACTCGAACAACGACACCATTGTATTTACCATTTCAAGAAATTCCTCAGACCTCAACATCACAGGTGTGTGTGTGATTTATTTTGGCATTTTTGAGAAGTCAGTGGTTGGAATTCATACAATTGTTGCTCTACGTGATGATAATTTAATGTTTTCCGTGCTAAATAAATTGACATCTCGATGTAAAATTTTAGAAAGGTTCCTGTTATATTTTATTCCACATATAGTTCAACTTGGTGCCAATTTTCGTACAAATTTGCTGGGTGGCAGAGCCCCCCGATGCCTCTGAAGGTGGCCAGGAACAAAAAGAGCTTGATTAAGAACAGAGATGATGAATATTTAACTAGTTGAATTGTGGATATTTGGAGATTTAGAGACTCCAAGTCAGAAAATAGATTTTACCAGGTCAGAACTTGAGCTGACATTGGGCTTTGTTACAAGGTTGACTGGACCAATTTCGTCCTGGAAATATGCAATGCATAAGCGGGACCATCAGTTGCACTGGTTAATATTTTTTATTGTGTAATACATTCAGAAATATATTTTACAGTATTTAAAATACATCACTCTACTGTGTCTTTTTCACTTATAATGTGCACTCCCTGTGTGGGACCCTACCTCGCTTGTTGGTGTTACTGTACTCTTCACCCCTCGAGGTTGCCCACCTTATTACCCTGCCTGACCATACGTTGTACCTTCCCTTGTTTTTTTTTCTTTCAGTAAAATACTTCTGGTAAATTACTATTTTTCAAAATAAAAACTAGCCTAACAAAAAATTCTGCAAAAATATAATTTTCTGAACATCTATACAAACACAATCATCTGTGCTCATTGATTACTGCTGTTGCTGGTGGTGGGTTTCTGCAGCCGATGGGACTTTGACGTGGAGCCCCAGAAGCTCAGAGCCAGCATTTGGCGTGGTGAGCGCCAGCAACGGCAAGGCCTCTTCTTCGTTGCTGCTCAACCTCACCTTGTGCAACTGCAGCGCAAACTCCACGTGCAACTACCACCAGACCACCCTGAGCATCACCGGCAGCGACGGATCCACTTTCCAGGTCAGTTGGGCAGTCATTCACTTGACCAGTTCACTCACAGCCATTACGTGATAGTTGTTTCCAGAAAACACTTTTTTCTGGAAAGTTCAACACGATTTTTTTTAACGGGTCACTCTCCTTCCATTCCATGAACCAAAACAGTGTAATATTGCTTCGGCATTGGGGCAGAAGTGCAAATAACACAAACTGAACACATTTCAATAACATTGCCCTTAAATACAAATAATATATTTAATGAGTAACGTTTAGACGATGTCCCTCCTTCGTAGCTATGAATATATATACAATATGTATTTCCTCTTCAGGGCAGTGTTATTGACGCATGTGTTGGCTTTCTTTAATCTATGTTAAATTACGAGATTGCTTTGTCAGTTTCTTCCCCACAAAATTAGGATGTGTTTTTTCACATGAAAGTTGTATTTGTTGTTCAGTTTTCACGCTTAAAGAAATATATATAAAGTTGGTCAAATATCTATATATTAAAATAGTTACTAAATGTGAATTCAAGTGATCCCTTGGGTGTTATTCTTAAGTGGTGGACACCTTGTGCTGGTGGAAAGTCTGTATTTTTAAAATATATTAATAGTTATTAAATTTATTCTAGCTTTTAATAATGAATTTCTCATTCAAAAGTTCAAGAATGTATTTAAATATCCATATATGTACAAGCATAGTGCTGCATAAAAATTTACCAAACATTAAAAATGTTATAATTATTCAAATGTACATTTTAATCGAGTACTTAGGAGCAAAATTACGTAATTATGGTAAAATAATATTTTATCTGGATGTGAGGTCAGAAAACAGCATTTCAGTTTATCTATTTTATAACCCACACATTTACCACTTTCTGTGCTCTTGAATACCGTTTAATCATAATGCTTGATCGGCCCTTAGGGGGGAGATGCCTTTAGTTTGCGTACATAACCCATGTCACGCTTAATTTATTTGCCGTGTTGCTGCGATCGTCTGAAGGTTTCCGGCTGTCTGTGTGATCCTGGCTACACGGGAGTGTACTGCACGGACGACTACAATGCCTGTGTAGACAGCCCTTGCCATCCTGGAGTGAACTGCACAGATGAACCTGCACCCTCCCTAGGCTTTTCGTGTGGGCCCTGTCCCGTTGGGCTCACAGGCAACGGGAGCAAGTGTTACGGTATGTATATATTTCACTCTTTAATTGTGTTGATTAATTCCTCGTTCATTAGAAATAAGGTGCAGTACAGACTATTTTCACGCAATCAATGAATAATTTTACTTGCTCAATTAAAACAAATGCCATAAAAATCCACCATGTAATAATATTAACAACTTTCTGCAGTGATAATGAATAATCATAACTTTTTATTGAAAAAGAATAAGCGGTTTTACCCTTCCTGGCAATAACACAAGCGTTAAGATGTTCAAACACTAAGTAGAAACCTATTGCGTTCTCTGGTCTTTGTGAGACGAGGCCATGTCTCTGGTATATGCTAATTAGTTTCAAAGATAATGCATATATTATCAGAGCATGTTTGTTTGCATGTTTTGCCAAAATAGTGTGTGGTTAATGCAGCCTTGACGCCTTGCAAAAGGTGTATATTTGTTGATTGAACGTCTTAACAACTCCTGTGTTATTACACCTCCTGTGTTATTACAATAAATGTTAAAGTCACGTAGATAGGTTCTCTTTGAACCTATCTATGTGACTTTACCGAAAGACCCAAATAATATGAATTCCTGAAGTCACGAAAGCTTTAAGTCAAGACCTATTCTGCTTTTTTCATCATTTCAATCCTGACAAAAAGGTCCCATAGGCATATATTTATTTTCCTTAACAAGATTGCACACTTTCATTAGACTTAGCACTCATGTCACTTTCAGATATTTTGGATGTTGACAAATGATAAAAAAACACCATAAATCGAACGTTGAACGCAACACATAGGGTATGCATATACAAAGGTGGTAAAGGTACGGCACTCCGATTGCTTGTTCACTCCATTGCTGGCAGGAGAACCTCAACTGGAGTATATTTTTGACCTACTCTTCCATGCTATCCCAGATGTCATGGAAGAGGTGCGAGTACCCACACTTTACCCCACGCGACTTGCCTCATGGACTAACTGTGCAGCACACATGTACACCTCTGCGTGGACCAAAGTGGGCGGATTTAAGAAAATTCCACTATTGTTTCAACTGCCGTTGCCTGAAGATGAGATTGAAACCGGAGACCTCTGATAATGCTTAAACAATGTAAATCTGCTTAAAGTAGATTAACACCAATATTATCCATAATAGAGGATTTTTCGGTTCGATCGCATAGATATCAATGTGTCGTTAAACCCCACCACCACAAGACAAAGTCAATTAGTAAGGTTTGTCACCTAAACAAAACATGCCAATTAGTTACTCGTTCAGCACACCGATATGTTGGAGACTAAACCCACAACATTTACGATCCGAGTACGACGTTTCGCCGCTAATTAGAACCAGCTCCTCATCAGGTGACGACCAGAATTGTGGAGAAATCCTCCTCCTGTTTCAGTCTCAAAAACAGAGGGGAAAATTTGATGTCATAACCTGATTGTTTTATGCACCGTTGATGGATCGGCAGATGTGGACGAATGCCTGGAAGTACCAGCCAAATGCAATCAGACATGCTTGAACAACAATAATGGATTTACATGTTCTTGCAACATTGGCTACATCAACACCACCATCGACAGCTCTACGTGCCAAGGTATCAGTTACATTGTTACAATATATTGTCAAAACATAAATATTAGAAGGGGTAATATCTATTTGGTAGTTGAATGCGATTTGACAACCAATTTTTTTTCCTATTTGAATATTAAGTTTTATACGTGACGTTAATTGAAAGATATCTGACGGGAAACTGTGATATTGTCATTTGAGTTTTTAAAATTACCTACGATATATGACATATGAAACAAAACATTTGCATCAGTGAGTCATTATCACAAGTGTGTTCTTTTTTTATGAGTTACACTTTTGAAGAAAAGTATTTTTAGTGAAAAGGTACTTTTATTATGTACATCCGAATGTTACATTATTTTGTTCTCTGCATGTGCAGATATGAATGAATGTGCTCTCAATTCGTCGCTTTGTGCTGAAAATGGTGTCTGTTTCAACACGCCCGGGAGCTACGAGTGCAATTGCAAGGAAGGGTATCAAGGGGTTGGCTCTGTCTTGTGTCAAGGTAAACACACTTTTACAAATGCGTCGCATATTTAAAATTGGATTTTTGTAATTTTTTGCTTCAAAGTGGAGTTTTTTTCAGTTTGTTTACGATCAAATAGTGGCCCTGGAACGTATGAAATAATCGCAGGATGCAAGAGGTGACACACGTCCTCAGCTGGAGCTGACTTTTGTCACCGCACAATTGTACAGCACGGTAGATCATACCATTTTCAGAATTTATTCATGATTTTTTAAAAGACGTATCTTCCGTGAATCCTACGAGTTCTGTCGTAAAATGCGTGTCAAACGTATGAAGTGCTGTATACAAAATACAATGGTGCATTGCCAATTATTAAAATTGGTCCCTTGGGTTTTTCAACCTTGGATGCCATAGGAATCGCGCTGCATGGGCCAAATAAACTGACACAGTTTGTGCTGTAGAGCACTGCTCCACAACTGGTGTGCTGCCGCCATGGCATAACCCCAGGCGTGCCGCGATGTTTTAGAATTAACAAAAACACAGACAACAAAAGAGAATAATTAACAAATGCATAGACACAGAGACATCAACATAAAACAATGAAATAGATGTACACATAGACATTGAAATGAGACAGTCGGCAGACACAGAAATTAAAAATAATATAATGAAATAGACGGACAAACACTCCACTTGAGAAAGAGACGCGGGCACACACATCATCATTATAAGCCTTGATCAGTCTTCTCCTGGATTAAGTGCCTACAGTTATTTTTGGTCAAAACAAAGATTGTTGCTCGTAACTTTTTATCCTCGTCGCCTACGTCTGAGTCTACAATAATAATAATTAGCAGTCCTCTTTCACTGTTGTAGGATGGCCTCCTGACACTATGTCAGTCATGGGGTTGATTGACCATATTTCAGCACGTCGGTCAATGCATGCGACGGTTGTTAGCCGTGAGACCGGGATCGGAATTAATATTCTCGGATTCATGGTGCAGTGCCCTCGAATGTGTTGTAATCTTCTAAACTTTGTTGAAAATAAAAAAAAAATTGTGTTAATTTCTTTGCAGATATTAATGAGTGTAATGCCGCGATCGATCCCTGCCTATCCACAAACAACTCCTATTGCCTGAATACTCCAGGGTCCTACAAGTGCAACTGTTCTCCTGGCTACAATGGGACAAACTGCACAGGTAGTGAAAATGTGTCAAAGAGCGTGTCACAGATGTGAAGCAGTAAACTTCCATACGGATTAATGGTACAATGAAAGTGGAGTTTTTTTCAGTTTGTTTACGATCAAATAGTGGCCCTGGAACGTATGAAATAATCGCAGGATGCAAGAGGTGACACACGTCCTCAGCTGGAGCTGACTTTTGTCACCGCACAATTGTACAGCACGGTAGATCATACCATTTTCAGAATTTATTCATGATTTTTTAAAAGACGTATCTTCCGTGAATTCTACGAGTTCTGTCGTAAAATGCGTGTCAAACGTATGAAGTGCTGTATACAAAATACAATGGTTCATTGCCAATTATTAAAATTGGTCCCTTGGGTTTTTCAACCTTGGATGCCATAGGAATCGCACTGCAGGGCCAAGTAAACTGACACAGTTTGTGCTGTAGAGCACTGCTCCACAACTGGTGTGCTGCCGCCATGGCATAACCCCAGGCGTGCCGCGATGTTTTAGAATTAACAAAAACACAGAGAACAAAAGAGAATAATTAACAAATGCATAGACACAGAGACATCAACATAAAACAATGAAATAGATGTACACATAGACATTGAAATGAGACAGTCGGCAGACACAGAAATTAAAAATAATATAATGAAATAGACGGACAAACACTCCACTTGAGAAAGAGACGCGGGCACACACATCATCATTATAAGCCTTGATCAGTCTTCTCCTGGATTAAGTGCCTACAGTTATTTTTGGTCAAAACAAAGATTGTTGCTCGTAACTTTTTATCCTCGTCGCCTACGTCTGAGTCTACAATAATAATAATTAGCAGTCCTCTTTCACTGTTGTAGGATGGCCTCCTGACACTATGTCAGTCATGGGGTTGATTGACCATATTTCAGCACGTCGGTCAATGCATGCGACAGTTGTTAGCCGTGAGACCGGGATCGGAATTAATATTCTCGGATTCATGGTGCAGTGCCCTCGAATGTGTTGTAATCTTCTAAACTTTGTTGAAAATAAAAAAAAATTGTGTTAATTTCTTTGCAGATATTAATGAGTGTAATGCCGCGATCGATCCCTGCCTATCCACAAACAACTCCTATTGCCTGAATACTCCAGGGTCCTACAAGTGCAACTGTTCTCCTGGCTACAATGGGACAAACTGCACAGGTAGTGAAAATGTGTCAAAGAGCGTGTCACAGATGTGAAGCAGTAAACTTCCATACGGATTAATGGTACAATGAAAGTGGAGTTTTTTTCAGTTTGTTTACGATCAAATAGTGGCCCTGGAACGTATGAAATAATCGCAGGATGCAAGAGGTGACACACGTCCTCAGCTGGAGCTGACTTTTGTCACCGCACAATTGTACAGCACGGTAGATCATACCATTTTCAGAATTTATTCATGATTTTTTAAAAGACGTATCTTCCGTGAATCCTACGAGTTCTGTCGTAAAATGCGTGTCAAACGTATGAAGTGCTGTATACAAAATACAATGGTTCATTGCCAATTATTAAAATTGGTCCCTTGGGTTTTTCAACCTTGGATGCCATAGGAATCGCACTGCAGGGCCAAGTAAACTGACACAGTTTGTGCTGTAGAGCACTGCTCCACAACTGGTGTGCTGCCGCCATGGCATAACCCCAGGCGTGCCGCGATGTTTTAGAATTAACAAAAACACAGACAACAAAAGAGAATAATTAACAAATGCATAGACACAGAGACATCAACATAAAACAATGAAATAGATGTACACATAGACATTGAAATGAGACAGTCGGCAGACACAGAAATTAAAAATAATATAATGAAATAGACGGACAAACACTCCACTTGAGAAAGAGACGCGGGCACACACATCATCATTATAAGCCTTGATCAGTCTTCTCCTGGATTAAGTGCCTACAGTTATTTTTGGTCAAAACAAAGATTGTTGCTCGTAACTTTTTATCCTCGTCGCCTACGTCTGAGTCTACAATAATAATAATTAGCAGTCCTCTTTCACTGTTGTAGGATGGCCTCCTGACACTATGTCAGTCATGGGGTTGATTGACCATATTTCAGCACGTCGGTCAATGCATGCGACAGTTGTTAGCCGTGAGACCGGGATCGGAATTAATATTCTCGGATTCATGGTGCAGTGCCCTCGAATGTGTTGTAATCTTCTAAACTTTGTTGAAAATAAAAAAAAATTGTGTTAATTTCTTTGCAGATATTAATGAGTGTAATGCCGCGATCGATCCCTGCCTATCCACAAACAACTCCTATTGCCTGAATACTCCAGGGTCCTACAAGTGCAACTGTTCTCCTGGCTACAATGGGACAAACTGCACAGGTAGTGAAAATGTGTCAAAGAGCGTGTCACAGATGTGAAGCAGTAAACTTCCATACGGATTAATGGTACAATGAAAGTGGAGTTTTTTTCAGTTTGTTTACGATCAAATAGTGGCCCTGGAACGTATGAAATAATCGCAGGATGCAAGAGGTGACACACGTCCTCAGCTGGAGCTGACTTTTGTCACCGCACAATTGTACAGCACGGTAGATCATACCATTTTCAGAATTTATTCATGATTTTTTAAAAGACGTATCTTCCGTGAATCCTACGAGTTCTGTCGTAAAATGCGTGTCAAACGTATGAAGTGCTGTATACAAAATACAATGGTGCATTGCCAATTATAAAAATTGGTCCCTTGGGTTTTTCAACCTTGGATGCCATAGGAATCGCACTGCATGGGCCAAGTACACTGACACAGTTTGTGCTGTAGAGCACTGCTCCACAACTGGTGTGCTGCCGCCATGGCATAACCCCAGGCGTGCCGCGATGTTTTAGAATTAACAAAAACACAGAGAACAAAAGAGAATAATTAACAAATGCATAGACACAGAGACATCAACATAAAACAATGAAATAGATGTACACATAGACATTGAAATGAGACAGTCGGCAGACACAGAAATTAAAAATAATATAATGAAATAGACGGACAAACACTCCACTTGAGAAAGAGACGCGGGCACACACATCATCATTATAAGCATTGATCAGTCTTCTCCTGGATTAAGTGCCTACAGTTATTTTTGGTCAAAACAAAGATTGTTGCTCGTAACTTTTTATCCTCGTCGCCTACGTCTGAGTCTACAATAATAATAATAATTAGCAGTCCTCTTTCACTGTTGTAGGATGGCCTCCTGACACTATGTCAGTCATGGGGTTGATTGACCATATTTCAGCACGTCGGTCAATGCATGCGACAGTTGTTAGCCGTGAGACCGGGATCGGAATTAATATTCCCGGATTCATGGTGCAGTGCCCTCGAATGTGTTGTAATCTTCTAAACTTAGTTGAAAAAAAAATTGTGTTAATTTCTTTGCAGATATTAATGAGTGTAATGCCGCGATCGATCCCTGCCTATCCACAAACAACTCCTATTGCCTGAATACTCCAGGGTCCTACAAGTGCAACTGTTCTCCTGGCTACAATGGGACAAACTGCACAGGTAGTGAAAATGTGTCAAAGAGCGTGTCACAGATGTGAAGCAGTAAACTTACATACGAATTAATGGTACAATGAAAAACCAACGGATAAGAGTTGAAATATTGAGTGTATCATTTCTATAAAACAGGGGATAATCGCGAAAGGTAACCCAGATTGTACTGTATGTATTTTGAACTTCTTTCCCACCATACGTAGCCAACTGTGCTTATCGGAGGTGCAGAGGGATGGACAACAAACTAAACAAATAGCAGTTCTAAATAAGGATTGTTAAACACATAGTTAGAATTGTGTGTGCGTATAAAGTATTTTGTTATTGACAGCAAATGCAATTAAAATCTGTTGCAATGGGGTAAATACACTGTAGGTATGACGTCATAGAATAAATGCACACCCTTTCAAAAATGCCACACATACACTGTGCCGTGTCGTTTGTTTTTTGCAGATATTAATGAATGTGCAATTCAAAACGCATGCCATACCAATGCCACCTGTTCTAACAGCGAGGGTTCCTACAACTGCACTTGCAAACAAGGCTTTACAGGAGATGGCAGAATGTGCAGTGACATCAATGAATGTTTGACAAATTGCATAGGCCAATCTGCACAGTGCGTCAACACGATTGGATCTTATATCTGCTCTTGTGCTAACGGATACATCGACATTGGGAATAACAACCCAGGTAACGATACATTAAAGTGGTATCACTGCAAAGGTGTTATTGGTATATATCACGTCAAACACGTTATTGGTATATTACATTAACCACTGTTTACATCCCAATAAATGGTATTAATTTTATGAATCCAAAAGTGATACGATGGATCTGCACTTAAAACAGTTTGTGTCCACCTAACGAAGGTGGACACATCCATCACCTAGACAGATGTTTATACCTATATGGCAAAAAATATAGATGTATGTTTAATTATCTTAGACATGTCATGTGATTGTAAATCATAAACCAAGAATTGCAGTGGTGGCATATGTAACCAGGTACTGTAAGGTGCAAGCCAGTGTTAATGTGCTTTGGCAGTTGAATATCTCTGCATATTAATTAAATATTCTAGTTAGAATTTTCTAGCTCTAGAATTTCGGCGGGCTACGGCCACCTTAGGGGCCGTCCATAAATGACGTCACGCACCTGGGGGGGTCAGACATTTGTGACGATGGGTGACGAGGGGGGGGGGGTTGAGAAATGTGACGTCACATCAAAATGCGCAACTTTAAATATAGACAACACGTTCTATTTAATTAAAGACTTTTTAATAAATGTTTTCTCCTACATCAGAGTGCAGCGCCACATTAAATACGCACATCAATGACAATAGTTTAAAGCGATTTTAAGCATGTTTTATATATATTTTTTTGGGGAGGGGCAGAGCTTTGTGACGTCATATTTGAGGGGGGTCTGACTTTTTGTGATGTGTGACGAAGAGGGAGGGGTCAAAAATCGCCCAAAATCACGTGACGTCATTTATGGACGGCCCCTTATTCTCGTTCCTGTGGAGGGCTTCTCAGCGTTTCACGCCTCGCCCATCACCCCCACTGATGTCCGCTTCTTCCCCCCCAAATGTGTGCAGATACTACTGCCTCTATTGTATGTAGAGTGTGTAGGCATATATATGCCTATACACAATACACTTCTTTTTTGGAGTCGGGGAGTACAACAATTTGGGGGGGTGGGAGGGGGTGGTCGACAATTTTTGGAACCCAGTTGGATAAACTTTTTACCCCCACATCTGGGGGGGGGGGGGTCCACTTTAACTTCTTGATTCAGGCCTTCTGAAAGGATCTTAGAATTTAGTTGACGGACAAATGGAATGCTGAGCTAGATACAACTGGTCCAGGTCTATTGTTTTTACATATCCATTGAGAGATATGACTATATGGGGGAACTGACAATTTATAAATGCAATGTTGTTGAAGCTAGACTGATGAGGGCAACTAACATCTTTGGTTTGCACTGTCAGGAAGTGTTAACATTCAGAATAAGTGACTAAAGTGTATTCGGTTTAACAAAGAAAGCTCAACACATTTGTGAATAACACTGCCTGAAAAGGGAAGTTATATACCTCTGCTCTTGTTCTCATGGATGGGCCCACATTGGGGGAAACAACCCAGGTAACGATACATTGAGGGGTATATGTATTGATTGTTTAATAATTGCCAATGTTTGGTCCTCACCAGAAAACGGAATCAATTGTGTGGACATTGATGAGTGTAAAACTATGCCTTGCCCTCAATACGAAGAATGCTACAACATCCCTGGCACATACATGTGCAACTGCAGCAATGGTTATAAGCGTAAGTGTTCTGAGTGTGCTCAGTATTGTGAACAATGTTTACTGACACATAGGCTGATGGTACAACTCCACACCTTTTTAGGTGTTATGCATATTTCAATAGTGCGAGTCATATTATCACAACTAAGATTTGATTTACACTTTTTGGAAGAAAAACCTGACTGAAACGCAATAATTATATATAACTTCATTGTAATGTTTAACTCAGAAAACAGAGCTGACGTGTTTACAATATTCTAGAATTCACAATTGGGTTTACGAGGTTGAGCATGCGAGGGAACGACTTCTCGAGCTCATGATTTGATTTCAGGATAAGCACAAGTTGTGGACTCTTTACTTGAAACGGGCTTTTTTCTGCTAAGTACAACTTACAATGTAGACATTTTGAGCTCGAGATAATTGTATGAATCAACAGAGGAGCATGACCAAGAACTAAGATAATTCAAATTAATTAATGAGGTGGGAACAGTTGAGCCAATGCAGATGATCTAGCCGTGTGCCATCATCATTGAAATGGTTAATCAGAGTAATTCTCACCAATATGAGGGCATTTTTTTGTACACGTGACTGATAAACATTTTGTTTACCATATGTGTAACTGTGTTGCTTGTGTTTCATTTAACAGGCGATGGGCAGGAATGTGTGCCTTTGAATTGCAGTCAGACTGCCTGTATCGGGGGATTTTGTAAGAATGGGGGAACATGCTTCAATACACCTCAATGCACCGCCGAATGCAAGTGCCAAGCATCGTACTATGGTACTGATTGCCAGTACGGAAAAACAACTATCAACGCAAGCATTAAAACAGGTAATTTGCGTTGTACAAATATGGCCTAATTTGTTTAAAACACTGAAATGCAATGATTTGAGATGTGACGTGTTAAATGGTTAATGCTTCCGAGTACTTAAAACAAATAATTCCAATCATTTAAGGCAAATGTTGAGATGTAAGTTTTCTTTGTGGGCTAATGTGGCTGTTGACCCGAGAACGTTAGCTATCCCGGCAAGTTCAGCTCGTAGATTCCGCTATCAATAAATATGTGAGCCCTCCCTACTAACTCTGCCACAACTCGTGATAATTGTTTTTTTTACCCTATTATCTGGCACAAAACTGACGCCTTTTTTACAAGGAGTCATGTTTACATTGACCACAATACCTGCGGTCGGAACGCAAACAAAAAAAAACAACTCTGATAATGTATGCACTGTCCTTGAAATTGATTGGTCCACACCCGAGACAGCTTTCTTTAGAGCCTCGTCTCACATGGTGTTGGCCCAGAAGACGCCAAAAGGCGCACACTTTCTTTAGAGCCTCGTCTCACATGGTCCAACACCATGTGAGACGAGGCTCTAAAGAAAGCTGTCTCGGGTGTGGACCAATCAATTTCAAGGACAGTGCATACATTATCAGAGTTGTTGTTTTTTGTTTGCGTTCCGACCGCAGGTATTGTGGTCAATGTAAACATGACTCCTTGTAAAAAAAGGTGTCAGTTTTGTTGCAAGATAAAAGGGCAAAAAACCAATTATCATATTTTGTTACTGGCAAATGAGGTTTACAATCTGCCACAACTCAGTTGTTAACGCTGCGAGCAAGAGTGAAAACACGGGGTAATTGCATTTTTTTCTTTCACATGGAAGCAATGTAAACATTTATTTAATCAATAGCATCTAATGTGTAATCTAATTTATATAGTGCCTTCACCAAGGCGATTTACAGAGAATTAAGCACGGTACATATGAATTTAGTGGTGGAAGACGAGGTGAATAAAATAGAATGGGTGAATGAATCTGTGATGCGTGAAATCGGTGAAAGCGAAATTGATGACTGTGATGAATTGAATGAATGGGGCATGAGTGCAATATTATTGGTTTTAATAGACATTGTGAAACCTTAATACAATTTCTTATCCACAACGTCCCATGGAATGTAATCCATCAAAGTGTATTCTGCACAGCAGATGGAACGAAAAATGAATTAAATTGGTTCAATTAAATGCATTTTCACACATTGTCTGCTAAACGAGAAATTTATTTGTACAAACAACACTTATATTATTGTATTGTGATCCCTAAACTGGACGAGAGGATGTAATAGTTTTACATGGCCTGTACAGTAGAACCTCGCTTAACGAGTACCCCATATAATAGTGTAGTGTATAGTGTAATGTATTGTAGTGTGGTGTTTAGTAGTGCAGTGTTGAGTAGTGTAGAGTAGAACCCCACTTAACGACCACCTCTGTTAACGACTAATTGCTTCACGACGGGCCTCCATATCCAAAGCCCAATATGTAGTGTATAGTGTAGTGTAATCGTAGTGTAGTGTATAATAGTGTAGTGCCTCCATAGAGCCCAATGTGTTCGCTTACCGACAAATGTTAACGATGGGCTGTTGTAGGTACAGCAAATATTAATTGATGCATCGTTCCATTGTATACACTCGTGACAGAACAGTAATACCTCGATTTATCCCCCCCCCCCCTTTTAACGTCGCTTCGCAAACAACATCACTTTATAATTATTAACACCACCGCCCGATTAGCGTCGCCATAACCCCCCCCCCCCCCACACACGCTTACATCGCGCTGACAGGGTCGTCTGCCCCTCTTGCTATCCGTCGCCCCTCGGCTTTCGCCCTCCCGCGGATCGCTTCGATCGACGTCGTTTTGACATTCGTCCCACCGACGATATACCGGGGTGTGACTGCACGCGTCAATGAACGAGTGCCCCCCCCACCGTGCCCAACAGATCCCCACCCCTGGATATTGCGTGGCACCCCCCTTCCCCCCTCAACCACTACCCCAGCCCTTATCCCCACTCCCGGGCACCTTTCCCCAAGCCCAGCAACAACAAACACCGCCGTTCGCCACACTGAGTGCACTTTGAGGCCGCGTGTAGTGTCGAAGGCACGCTGGCGATGAAGGTCACGGTCACGGAACGGGTACCCCTTGGTACTATGGGTTGACTGACTGAGATGACTGCCAAACCCACGTGCACCCTTCCGTTCCCCCCTTGCTCTGGCCGGCGGGTGGCCTCCAGCCAATGGTTGACAAAGCTGTTTCATTTTTGTATAATGTGATGAATTTTACTTCGTGTAATAATTGAGGGTGGAGCAGGTCCCACATTGGTTAGCATGCAGCACCAGGAACCCGGTGACACCAAGTTCCAATTCCCGTCCACGGCTAACATTGGCCACTGATACGATCAATTGTGTCCTCTCCTTCACAAACCCGCATTGACCAGTGTGGTGAGGTATCGTCGAAAAACCCCCATGAGTGATATTGCATTGGGAGGCTTTTATTCAATTGTTGAATGAAAACAGCTGGATAAAAAAAAGATGCATTACTCGGCTACACACGTGTTAATAGCTATATTACCTCGAAATGTTGCTTTATCCAATGCATTGAATGTATGCCAAACATCACGAACAACAGTAAAGTATGGTATGTAAATATAACACTCATTTACGTTTTACAGGTGCTCCAAAGTTGAAAGCCTTCATGAAACTTAACTGCAGCATTTCACCAACACCCACAAATACAATTGAGGAATTGGCCTCAGCCAAAGTAAGTGAATGGTGTATATAAGTTTAATTGCAAATGTTTCTGAAACAGTATTAATGTTACGTGTTTGTGTTCTGTGCGATAACTTAAATGTAACATGTTACCGAAACAATTAGTTATTTTTTAGAATTGACAAATATATTATACTCTTTGGTTCTTTCGCTAAAGTTACGTAGATAGAAAAAATAATAGACTACGACGTTTCGATCGAAACGTCGTAGTCTATTATTTTTTCTATCTATGTGACTTTACCGAAAGAACCAAAGAGTATGAATTCCTGCAGTCACGAAAGCTTCAAATCATGAAAAATATACTGCGAATTTGTAAATTATTAAGTTTGGACGGCCTATGCGAGTCTATCATTTATAAATGTTTGTTATCATCAGCCATGATATCGTCACTGCTGGATGGTCTTGCGATTCTGAGCACAGGCTAATTTCATTACGTCGTCCTCCACTGTGGACATAGCCTCAGGCGTGTTTTTCTTCCTTTGGCTTCCACTCCATAATTCGACCACCGGTCACCATCCATTCCAGCAGCGCGTCCTGCCAAAGTCCACCTACATTGTCTAAACAGTCAATATGATGGTCTCTAACTTGCATATGTTGAATTCACGTTGTCCCTCTTTCTATCCATCAGTTCTTAGCATGCAACTCACCACGCTTCTTTGAGAACTTTTGCGCTTTTTGTCCCATATTCTTTGGAAATGTCAATGTTATTTTTAATTACGTGACTTGAATATAATTAACTTGCCCGGTTACAAACAACAATTGTTGACTCAAAGGTAATGACGTGCCCTGGTACTAATATTGTGAGTAGACATCTACTCAAAACAAATGGTTGTTTATTTATCATGAAGTCAATTGTCTGTTCATTAATACCATTAAATAAACAATTGAAGATTTGTGAAGGACATTGAGTAATTTTGACATTGTAAAGTAGTACACTTGTTTATTAATTTACATTTATCATTCGTCTTTTTGTTGCTTTTTTTCTACAGATTTTAACTAAACTAACACCCCTGTCTTACTTCAACTACTTTTATAACAACAACATTACAAATATCAGGTTGGTTTTGCAAACAAATATCAATCGCAGCCATCAAAGTTTTCCACATTTGAATACTGTACAATGTTAAGAGATAAAGAACATGTAATGTTTCATTTGCATGACATTTGTACAGCTTGTGCATTTTGTGGTGATTTTAGTAAATAATTATGAAATATTTATCAGATTATTTATTTAACCTTACCGGAGTATAATGATACTATTTCAGGAGGGTCCTGCCAAGTTTTCGCAGTCGGGGCAATAATTGCTATGCACATTCCAATCGAGTAATTTGTGGGTATTTTTTTCAAATGTGAACCGTGACACCGGTACACAATGGCCTACTCTTGCAAAGGCTGCCACGAGAATCTTAACATCCACTGTGAAGCAGATGGCGCATATATACGTTTACGGGTAATACACCCGGAACCCCCGGTATTAACCAGGGCGGCCACTAGATTTGAACTGTGAACCTCCAAAACAAGCAGCGAACATACTACCACAAGGCTATGTTGCCATCTTCTTGGTTCTTTCGGTAAAGTCACGTAAATAGAAAAAAACACGTTCAAATAAAAATTAATTGAAAATAATAAGCACAAAAACCCACGACGTTTTGATCGCAACACAAGCAGTCTTCATCAGGCGGAGTATGGTATTTACCATGTGAAAGATCCCCCTGACTATGGTAAATACCATACTGTTTTCTTTCCGCCTGATGGAGACCGCTTGTGTTGCGATCGAAACGTCGTGGGTTTTTTTTGCTCTTATTTTAAATTTATTTAAAAAATATAAATTTACGTGACTTTACCAAAAGAACCAAGAATATGAATTCCTGCAGTCACGAAAGTTTTAAGTCAAAATTGATCTTGCCATCCTTCAGCGCTTAGTAGATCCGCCACTGTAAATGCATGTTTACATTAATTTGTTCTCTATCAATGTTAAAATATGCTCAGACTGATTAATTTATGAAATCTATTTGACGAATCACTTGAATATATACATGCAGTACTCTGTAAACGCATACATTTAAATTCGTGCTCATGATAACATTCACAAAGCTATTCTTTAAAAAGTCGAATTGACGGTGACATGGCATAGCCTCGGCATATTCACCGCTTGTTGCAGAGGTTCACGGTTCGAATCCAGCGGCCTCCCTGGTTTATTACTGCTGGCGAAATAACCACGCTAATGCCATGCATCGTCTGCTTCACAGTGGATGTGAAAGATCCCCCTGACATCATTCGTAAAAGTAGGCCATCGTGTGCCAATGTCAGGGTCCCAAAGTCACTAAATTAGAAAATTGCACCGCAAACTACTCAATTGGGATTTATACGTAGCAATCACTGCTCCCTACCGGCGTACTACTGCCTGTTTGGAGGCCAGGTGCTGCAGTCATCTTGTTCCCACAAGGACATCTGCTATGGGGGGGGGGGGTGTCCTTTGAAATGTTTGAGATGAGATGTAAAGCCCTCTGAGACTGCTCTCCCCGAATATAGGGTGCTCTATCGCACACAAATCACTGTCATCGTATTACTGTACTGTACTTCAAAAATAATGGGAACAACCTAAGGATGATGAGCGGCAGAAAGGTCAGCATAAATCACGAGTGAGAAGGCTTCCTGGTCTGAAGAGAGAGAGCTCATTCAATCTAGATTTGAAGTTTTCGTGCCTGCAGGGATCCATACTCTTTGGTTCTTTCAGTAAAGTAACGTAGGTATAAAATAAAACAAATTAAATCACGACGTTTCGGGCACAACACAAGCATCCGTCATCAATTGTTGAAGTGGGCAAAAGGCCCACTTCAGCAATTGTTTCTTGCTGTGGTTGTCCCACCTGATGATGGACGCTTGTGTTGCGCCCAAAACGTCGTGATTTAACTTATTTTATACCTACGTGACTTTACCGACAGAACCAAAGAGTAAAGATGTACTGGGTCCTGGAGATTGGAGGGAGACGTTTTTGGAAATGGAGGTTTTAATTAAGAATGCTAGGGTCTCTTGAGGATATTTTTTATTAAAATGGGAGTAACAGCAGTCTTGAGATTTTAGGGGAAGGTACTGGATGAGACAGAGGCATTGACAAAACTGGTGATATAGGGGGCCAAAGTAGGTGGACACTGAGGGATGAGTTTGATGGGCAGGGGATCAAGGATGCAAATAACTTTTGTACGTTGAAGATGATTTGCGATCAGAGCAGAATAGAAGTCTGATTTCAACCCCACCAGCTCTGACTGTTAAGATTTGCTTTGAGCCTTCCAGATGAAGGTAATTCCTCTACATCAAATTGATACAGTTAAGCATTTATTTTACGTATATTTGATGATGATTTTGTTAACATTTGTGATTTTTTTTTTACGTGTATTGCAGCAGCACGGATAATAAAGTTTTTTTTGTGGAGAGCTATGCTCAGTTTAACTACACAACGGAGAGTGCTGTGTTTGACTATTATACAAACACTCTGGAGACTGATATTCGGAATCAATTCAACACGCGAGCAGTGGAATCCATGGTTCTCGTCAGTTTAACAAAGGAACAACGTAAGACTTGAAAAATTCCTCTGATATTACTGGCTTAATACTCTGTGAAAAAAACTTGGTAATGCAACATCTATCCCGCGTACACACCACAATTTGGGTGAATGTGTGTAAGTCTATAAATGTGATTTTAGGTATTAACAGCATTATTCAACAGTACATTATGGATCTTGACTTAAAGCTTTGGTGACTTAAAACTTTTTGGAGATTTTTTTTATTTCTAGCACAACATCAAAAGTAAATAAATGCATAATGAATTTTCGATTTAAAGCTTTCGTGACTGCAATGATTCATCTTCTTTGGTTCTTTCGGTAAAGTCACGTAGAATGAGAATAAAATAATAAATTGATAAAATAAAATAATATTATTGTGTTATTTTATTTTATCAATTTATTATTTTATTCTCATTCTACGTGACTTTACCGAAAGAACCAAAGAAGATAAATGCATAATGCATTATTTACTAGTATACATTGTTTCAATTAGGGTTACAATTGTTCTCACAATTCAAATGTTTAAATTGACTCCTGACATTGGTTTCATGGGAAGAAACACATTTTTAAGGCATTTATATCTCCAACATTCTCATGGTACAGTTGACATATCCCTGTACTCCTCAAACTAAACAAATCATTTTAAGTTCTATTAACTTATTTTCAGATTTTAATATATATGGTTCATGAATATGGTTTGCACACATTATTTTGCAGTAATATACACATGCATTTTGTAAGAGTTTGCTCACGAATAGAATGCATGGCTTTTACATTAATTGAGTGGCATGCATATATATTCATATACACGATTCGTACAGAATAACTGCACAGTAATTAATTAATAATGATAATACAATAACTATTAGTGAAATCAACGTGTTAATGTTCATAAAAAATTTTGGTGTGATTTCAGTTTCAAAGGATGAATTAAAACAATACATAAACTGTTCTACAACTATGCTTAAGTACGTACCAATATGGATAGATGGTATAGGCTTTGTGTGCCAGTCCCCTTGCATCACCGAAATCTACTGCAAGAACGGAGGGGAATGTCAGCACACATCAAAGGGGCCAGTGTGCACGTAAGTGCTCGATTGCGGTCGCAAACCACCAAGCACTGTGTTTATGCCAACACTTTTTGACGGATTTCGCGCATTTCTGTTTCAACATTTGTTGTGTGGAAGTCAGAATTCATCATAATCTGTGCATTATTGATTGTATGTGTTAACATACAATAATAATAGGAGTAATGATGAAATGCTCCCTGACAGATATAGGCAGCACAATATTGGAAAAAAGTGTTTTTGGTAATCTGCACCTCCGATTAGCACGGTTGGCTACATACGGTGCGAAATGAGTTCAACATACATACATGCAAGTTTTGGCCAGATATTTAATAATCGATTATTCTTTTTTCTAGATGCGCACCGAATGGAATTTACCATTCCGATGGAGATCAATGTCAGCACCTCACTGTGACGTCTCCAGCCTTCTTTGGCATTTTGTTTGGTAGCCTTGGTGGAATGTTATTACTGGGAATAGGCATCTACGCATTCTGGAGATACAAGTCTGGAAGAACCTATACGCTGTTTGGTAACAAGGGCAGGTATGAAATATATATCTTCATACACTTTCAGAAATATATATTTAAAAATAGTATGCATTAAAGTTGGGCACCGTCTCGACTTGTTTCAACATTTGTTGTGTGGGGCTTGTAACTCAAGTTATCAATTTAATGGAATTACTAGTTTAGTCTTTTTATAAAGAGGATAGTTTTTACATCTTGAAAATATTATTTGGTAATAACTATTTTAGCAATAGTTGATTTGAACATTGTACCATGTTGTATTTATCTGGGGGGGGTGGTGGGGGATCGGTGGCATCATGGTTATGGCACTGCGTTATGAACCCAGTGGCAGTGATATCTGAAGCAGTTTTTGGCCCCACACCTTCACTAACCTGTACTAACCAACATGGCGAAGTATGGTTAAACACTTCCATGACAAACATGGCATAGGGGGAGGCCTTCATCCTGCAGTAGACGGACAGAGAATTGTACATTATTTCACGATCATATTATTTATACACGGCTTAATACTGCATACAGCTCCTGGTGGATTATGTGTGTGGGTTTAATTGTATACATCTCAGGAATTTACATCCCCATTTTTTTAATCTCAGTTACACATATTTAATTATGGCCAATTATGACTTTCAACAAAATTCTTCGTTGAAGGCTTCAACAAATTAAACGGGCAATTTGTTTGTGACACTACGAAAATGGAGATATACGAGATCGTCTACAGTCCTATCTGCTATTTGTAAAACGGTGGCAGGGGTGGCCCAGTAGTAACGCCCGTGCCATGCAGCAGGAAGGACCTGGGTTCATTCACTTATTCGGGCGCCTTTCTTCGTGAGGTTTGCGTGTTCTCTCCCCCTGCTTCTGCCTGGGTTTCCTCTGACTTCTTCAGTTCGCTGCCAAAGCTAAAACACACCACACACAATGTCACTGGTGTTGGCAAAATAACCCAACTTAGCAGGACCCTCATGAAAAAAGAGTCTTCAGACTTGGTGTGTCTTTCTTGTTTAAAAGTGAAAAAAAATGAACACAAATTCCCACTGTATCACGATGTGGTAAGGTGACATTCCTGTGTGGTCAGGCAAATAATTACACGGAGAGAGAGAAACAAATCCATTACTATATGAATGTTTTCCGTTCTTTAAAAAAAACATCATTTTGGCAAAGGGTTAAACAATCATACATTTTTTAATAAACTAGCATCCACAGTCAATGAAGGCCACCCATTGCTTTCGCCGACCCACGTGGTCCCGCGATCCCAAAAATATGTCTCACCCTTGCACGAGCTGATCCCAGTGCTCACTCTTTCCGTCTACGTTCTCGGCCATGGCTGACATTAACATCACCAGTCCCCATCCTCTGGCTGCTGCCCCTTCTTAGCAGTATGTTCTGCCAAAGCTCACTTTATCTTTTTTTTTACAATCGATACAATGTCTCCAATTTGTGTTTGTTCCACTGATCCTTGTGCTCCTTTTCCTATCTCTGAGCGTAATTCCCAAGTATGCTTCTTTGTGCGCTCGTCAGATGATCGTTTTACATTTTCTTTCTTATTGTCGATCCTTCTGATCCATACATCATAGCCGGTAATATACACGGATATATCTTCCGAGTGACATACGAAATACTGTTGCGTTGTAGGAGGTACACTGTAAAGAAGTGATACTGCAAAAAACATACTTTATTTTGTTCTTTAACTTGATGTTGATATGCAAACAAAAAAGTCGTTGCCATGCCATTTTCACATTTTTGTTGTTGTAAATAACACCTAGCCATTCCTGATGAATAGCCAGTGATAACCTTGCCTTTCATTACTCTGACTCCTGAATCATCCCTGGGTTGATCGCGGATGTCTGCTACCACTGATAATCCACATGTCTCATCACTGTTTCAAATTGGATACTGTGGTAACTTGCTATTGCTCGAAATGCTTTTGATTGGAAACAAGATTACTTAATTGCTCTTTTGTATTGTACAGTCTCAATGGCAGTCATCCAGGAAGTGCGTCAGCCTATGACAATTACTCACGTAAGTAAATAATACAGATTTGTTGATGCATTGTGTAAACTAATACATAGTATTTTTATTTTAAAGAAAAGCAAAACGTATATTTTTAAATCTCAGTTTAACACGTAATAGGCTTTCGCGACCAATATCCATAATAGAGGTGTTTGGGTTAGATCGTGTAAATATGCAATCTCAATTGAAATCTCAATTTAAAACAATACAGTCTGTAATATATATTGATTAGAATGTAATCTCTTGCTTGGTAACCAATGATAAATGTAACTTTAATGTCTAGCGGCATCACTCGAGTGTATGGTGGAATGGAAACTCTGCAATTCTATAATGGTTATTATTCTTGGTTCTTTCGGTGTAGAAGGGAAACAATAAAATAATAAAAATATAAAACAATAAAATTCTCAAGACGTTTTGACTGCAACACAAGCAATCATCATCAGGTGTGAAAACCACAGCAAGAAAATTTTCATCAGGTGTGAAAACCACAGCAAGAAAATTTTCATAAGGTGTGAAAACCACAGCAAGAAAATTTTCACACAGCAAGAAAAATTTTCACACAGCAAGAAAATGTTCTTGCTGTGGTTTTCACACCTGATGATGATTGCTTGTGTTGCAGTCGAAACGTCGTGAGAATTTTATTGTTTTATATTTTTATTATTTTATTGTTTCCCTTCTACGTGACTTTACCGAAAGATCCAAGAATATGAATCCCTGCAGTCACGAAAGCTTTAAATCAAAATCTATAATGGTTGTCAACATTTCCGTTTATTAGTTAACCGGTATGTATTTTACATAAATAAATGTTATGATGAGTGTTTCTACGGGTGTTATTATCACCTATGAATCTGGTATGCAATGCATTTGTTTACATTCACTATTGCCATACGCATAGTGAGGGGCAACACAGACGGATGGTGTTTGCCCAACTCTGTAGACATGTTGTTGCTTCATGGAATATTTGGACTAAATATAACGCATAGGTCAGAAGAGGTTACATATTTTCATGAGAATTACCTCAGTGTAACTTAAATCAGTATATCGATTCGAATTATCGTTGTCTCGGTTTTGTTTGCAATCGTTTAAAATGTGCTCTTTGCATCTTAAGACTTCACAGAAACGTTTGTATTCTATGTTAATAGCCAACAAGTATCTCCAGAACTGATTCATCTACTCCTTTGGTAAAACTCGAGGCTTACGAACCTAAATATTCATCCAAATTTGCACTTCAGTAACGTTCTATGTTGGGTTCCTGCAGCCTTTTCACGACTAATATTACTAAGCAATGTGCATGAATAGTAAGTGCCAAAGTACTCAGGTACGTTTAAATGTAGCACAGAACAGGTATAAGGAGGAAACTCGAAGCTAAGAGACGAGCACGGACACTTAGTAAACCCTTAGTATTCGCAGGGATACGTTCCTGGAGAACGGCGCTATTTTAAAATACGTGAATGATAATACTCGAAGCTTAAGAGGGAAATACGGTTTGGCGGTGTAATATGCATTACGTTTTAACATAAACACATAAACTCTATATATTAATGAATACATATATTGCGTGATATTGTGTTATTTAACTTACCTTTAATAATGATGAATGTGCACATGTTTAAAAGTTCAAATATCAGCGAATTACTAAATTAATAGTGCACTGTATTACTTAAATGCAGAGAGTGAGAGAGCCAGATGTGCATGCAAATAAGGGGAAGGTTATCCCAGGTTACTGTAGCATAAGAAAAAGGTAACACAAACATAACGTATTTCTTCCTTGACAGTGCATAGTTGTTGATAATAAATAAACACTCAGTAAAGGATGGTATCACAAATTCACAGGTGACAAAAGTTAGGTTTAACCACTAAACCGCTATTAAGTCTTAAGCGCTATTCTCTCTGCACCTAATAAAGAAATACATAAGCATGCTGTGTGTATTCACAGGGGAAGGAGCGATTAAAGGAACACATGCAGCAGAAACAGAGGTTTATGGCGTAAAATCCGATTTGGCTTTCACTTCATGGCGCCCCGTAATTCGTGACATCAACACCACCAAGGTAAGTGCAAATGCTCTAGCGCAAATCTTATTTCGAGGTGTCCAATATGAGTTGTTTTTTTATGGATTTTTTTAACATAATTAATATAAACAGCGCAACTCTATAACTCATTCGTCGCTTATTTTTTCAGATATCGATTCAACGACCGTCGGTGTTAAAAGGGTGTTCTGATTCGGAACAAGCCTTCCATGACCTGGAATAAGTGAACGAGTGAAGGAGACGGAAACAATGCCAATGACGTCATGAAGCATCCGAGTTATTCTACACAACTTCTGCCTAATTGCTGCGGTTGCGTTGAAATTATGCTATAATTATACAAATATTTGTATTCCTGAATTTAAATGTTATATAAGTGATGGTATTGTTTTTGTAATTAATTCGATACTTTGAGAATCTAAGCTACATTATCTTCAATAAGTATTCTTTGGGTCTTTCGGTAAAGTCACGTAGATAGGTTAAAAGAAAATAACAATCTTAAATAACAATTATCTTAAATAAGTATTATGATTTAAGGGTTGACTATGATTTGACGGTTTTGTGAAGTGCAATTTGAGATTTTTAAATACAAGCATAACTTCATGCATTACATTTTGATTTAAAGCTTTCGTAACTGCAGGGATTCATATTCTTGCATTACATTACTTATGTGCCTTTATGATGTATGTTTACATCCCTGTTTCCAAACTTTGTTTATAATTCCGTTGGGTTTTTTTCCACCTTATTCGCATGAAAACGTCTGAATTTTATTGAAAACGCTCATTTAAAAAAAAAAATGTGTTATTGTGATAGCACTTTGACATCTTATCCACTATATTTCAGATTTTTTTTTTTTAGTTTTCAAAACATTGTCATGAAACCAAATTCATGACAATGTATGGATTATTTTGCAACAGCGGAATTAGAAATCTTTGCTTAGAATGTCAGTGTGATCATGAAAAATAGTATCCTATGTTAAATGAATGTTGCCCTTGAAAAAAATGCATATCTTTACAAGTATTTATATGTGGGAATACCTTAATGTTTAAAGAGGCTGATATCTGAATGTATTAACTCATATTTTATGCATTTAATGAATGTACGTTGTATCCATATTTATGAAATATTTCCGACAAAGAACATGCCAGCGCTTGCAGATGCTATTGATTGCAACTCATTGAAGTATTGCTGGTTCATAATATTGCTTGTTACAGTTAAAATAACACGACATAACCTGCCACTGTTGAGCACAACCTCAGGAAAACGAAATAATAGAATGTACACAAGAGGATTACATTATCAACATTAATTTACTTTGTAGATTTCATGATTCTTAGTCAGGGGTATTTTAACGTTTGCAAAACAGACTATGATAAGTCATTGCAGTAATACATGCAAATGTACACCAAACCAATCTGAAACAAACGAGAATGCTACGCAAGGAGCTGCTGATAAAATGGAAGACGACATTCCTGTGTTGCATTTATTTGGGGGAGCAGTGGGTGCATTGGATAGCATACCAGCTATGAACCCAGCAACCTGAATTTGAATCTCAGCCATTGCTAACATTGGTGGCAAGCAATATCTGGGCTGGTCATGGATCCTCCCCCCAGCCTTCACCAACCCAGCATGGTGAAGACTAACTGCATGAGGAGGCCTTAATGGTGGGAAAAAATTGATAAAGCCCAATGATATTGACATACATGTGAGAAGCCACTACCCTGGATAGGTGATAGCATCTGCTGAATGAAATTTAAATTACCTAGCAGAGAAAATGTGGATTGTAGCAGGTCTGCCTTCCACATTTTTATCACTGCAATACCGCTGTGCAGTCTCTTATGGTCACGGGTAATGCTGTTTTAATCGCAATAATATTTAAGAATAAAATGTGATTCAAATGAATTGTATGTTTTTTGTTAAACCTGCTTCAAATTAAATGTTAACGATATATTTTCGTTTTTTTCACTGAGTGTTTTTTTCGGCATGGTCTACGACATTTCACTTCATGTGCTGGGAGATTTCTGCAGTAAAAAGTCAGACGTGCCGAACAACCTGAAAACACACCGGGGCCGTACAGCATAATTGGGAAAACGTATGCAAGGGTGCTATAAGATTTTCAACTCTTAACTGCAATAACCTGATCCATGCCATGGTTACATTTTGTTCCAATAACATGCAAAATTTCTCTCCATAAAATGCTGAAAGGGACACTGTCATAAAAATCACATCGGTCAATAACACTGTGGCCTTTAAAGGAAAATATAAAATAGGTACCTTTCTACCATTGTCCCTTCTTTTTTGTACCATGAAGGGCCATTGCCCACGTCATCTAGTTTAGGAGCCGTCCATAAATGACGTCACGCACCTAGGGGGGATCAGACATTTGTGACGGGGGGGGGGGGTGAGAAATGTGACGTCACGTAAAAATGAGCAACGTTAAATATAAACAACACGTTCTACTTAATGAAATATTATTAGAACAACACTAATTTTGATTAATTTTCATTATTAACTTTTTGATTATTGAAATGTAATAAGGTCACCTTTTATTTATAGTATAGATTATATTATCAGAATCAGAAAGGGTTTTATTCGCCATGTAAGTTCACACCGACACGGAATTTACTTTGGCAGGATGGTGCATACATTCAACATATAGGAATCTAAAATCTTAAATAAGTTTTAAACAAGTCTTACTATAATAAGGGCTAAAAGTCTAACACCAAGGGGCTGAAGTATATAAAATTAAATAAATATCGAATATAAAATAGCTTTAAGATATAATTTAAAAAAAATACAAATAGGGTAACATAGTTAATATCGGCAAGGTGTCGTTATGTAGATCAAATGTTAAAAACAGTGTTAGCCCTTGGCCTTGTTTAACAGGCCAGCAGCAGATGGGAAGAAACTGTTTTTATGGTGTGAGTTTTTGGTCCTGATGGACTGAAGCCTTCTGCCGGAGGGGAGTAGCTGAAACAGAGAGTGTCCAGGGTGGGAGAAATCGGCCATAATCTTCCTCGCTCGCCTCATGGACCTTGTCGTGTGCAGGTCCTCGAGGGTTGGTAGATTGCAGGCAATTACCTTCTCAGCAGTGTGGATGATACGCTGCAGTCTGCTCTTGTCCTTGGCAGTGGCAGCAGCGTACCAGGCGGTTATGGAGGAGGTGAGGATGGATTCAATGATCGCTGTATAGAATTGCACCATCATTGTCTTTGGTAGGTTGAATTTCTTCAGCTGCCGTAGAAAGTACATCCTCTGTTGAGCTTTCTTGGTGAGGGAGCTGATGTTCAATTCCCACTTGAGGTCCCGGGAGAGAATAGTGCCCAGGAAGCGGAAGGACTCTACAATTTTGACTGGGGAGTCTAACAGGGTGATGGGGGTGAGTGGTGCTGTATTCTTCCTGAAGTCCACAACCATCTCAACTGTCTTTAGAGCATTTAGCTCTAAGTTGTTCTGGCTACACCAGGTCACCAGATTGTCAGCTTCCCACCTATAGTCAGACTCATCCCCACCAGAGATCAGCCCAATGAGGGTGGTGTCATCCGCAAACTTCAATAGTTTGACGGACAGATGATTGGAGGTGCAGCTGTTGGTATACAGGGAGAAGAGCAGAGGGGAAAGGACGCAGCCCTGAGGAGTTCCGGTGCTGATGGACCTGGAGTCAGAGACTTGTGTTCCCAGCTTAACGCACTGCTTCCTGTCAGACAGGAAGTCTGTGATCCATTTACAGGTGGTGTATGGCACGTTCAGCTGGAAGAGCTTGTCCTGAAGCAGGGCAGGGATGATGGTGTTGAAGGCAGAGCTGAAGTCCACAAACAGGATCCTGGCGTAGGGTGCTGGGGCGTCCAGATGCTGTAGGGTGAAGTGGAGGGCCATGTTAACTGCATCGTCCACAGACCTGTTGGCTCTGTAGGCAAACTGAAGGGGGTCCAGGAGAGGGTCTGTGATGGCTTTGAGGTGTGCCAGGACCAGGCGCTCAAAAGACTTCATTACCACAGATGTAAGGGCGACCAGTCTGTAATCATTTAGTCCTGTTGGCCTTAGCTTTTTGGGCACAGGGATGATGGTGGAGGACTTGAGACAGGCTGGTACATGACATGTCTCCAGGGAGGTGTTAAAGATATTGGTGAACACCGGAGACAGCTGGTCAGCGCAGTGCCTGAGGGTGGCTGGAGAGACAGAGTCCGGCCCGGCTGCTTTGCATGGATTCTGCCTCTTGAAAAGTCTATTAACTTCTCCCTCCTGAAAGGAGATAGTCGTCTCTGTAGTATTGGTGGGGGATGGGGCCTCTTGGGTTGGAAGGGGTGGTTCAGGACAGTCCAATTGTCTTTCAAATCTACAGTAGAACTCGTTCAGGTCGTTGGCTAGGCGGGAGTCGTTAGTGGTGTTGGGGGCTCTGGGTTTGTAGTTGGTGATCTGCCTGAGCCCTCTCCAGACAGAAGCAGCGTCGTTTGTAGAGAACTGGTGTTTTAGTCTCTCTGAGTACAGTCGTTTAGCCTCTCTCACCGCTTTGCTAAACCTGTTCTTCGACTCCTTGAATCTGTCTCTATCTCCACTCCTAAACGCTTCCTCCTTCTCCAACCTCAACCTTCTGAGCTTTGCTGAGAACCAGGGCTTATTGTTGTTAAAGTTCACCCTGGTACGTGTTGGGATACAGCAGTCCTCACAGAAGCTGATGTAGGACGTCACAGCCTCTGTGAGTTCATCCAGACTATTGGTAGCAGTCGTGAACATATCCCAGTCAGTACAGTCTAAGCACGCCCGCAAATCTTCCACAGCCTCACTGGTCCACTGTTTAGATGTCCTCACAGCAGGTTTACAGAGCTTTAATTTCTGCCTGTATGCAGGAATCAGGTGGACCATGGCATGGTCAGAGTGTCCTAGTGCTGCTCGGGGGACGGCATGGTAGGCTCTACTGACTGTAGTGTAGCAGTGATCCAGAGTGTTCCCTTCTCTGGTTGGGCATTTAATGAATTGTATGTATTTGGGGAGTTCGTGGCTGAGATTACCTTTGTTAAAGTCGCCAAGTACGATAACCAACGAATCTGGATTTGCTCGCTCCACACTCAGAATCTGATCGGCGAGCATGCGTTGGGCCTCTTTAACCTGAGGACAAGGCGGCAAATAAACTCCGACCAAAATGAGCGACGTGAACTCGCGAGGCGAGTAAAACGGTTTACAGGTTATAAAAATTGATTCAAGGAGTGGAGAACAATGTTGCAGAATCACTGTGACATCTACACACCAGCCACTGTTAATGTAAAAACAAATACCATCGCCTTTCGTCTTGCCGGAGAGTGCTATGTCACGATCCGATCTTACAAGATGGAATCCTGCTAGTTGTAGCGAAGTGTCCGGAATCAAATCACACAGCCATGTTTCCGTGAAGCACAATGCAGAAGCTGAAAGAAAGTCTTTGTTTTTTACCATCAGTAGCTGAAGTTCATCCATTTGTTGTACAGTGAACGTACGTTGGAGAGGAAAAAGCTCGGAAGCACTGTTCGGATCCCGCGTCTGCGTAGCCGTACTAGAGCCCCCGACCGTTTACCCCTTGGGCGGCGTTTCGTTGCTTGAGCAAAGCCTAGCGCGGCATTGACTAGAATGCCTACTAATTCTGCCGATGGAAGCAGAAAAGTAGGAATTAAATCCACAGGAGTTGTTTCCCTGATATTTAAAAGTTCGTCTCTTGTTAGAGAACTCCGAAAATCTTGGCAAAACACTGAATTGACAGACAAAACAAGACAAAACAGGGCGCACCGACCGGCTGAGGCTACCATCATCAGCGCCATCTTCGCACCAGCACGGGTGTGCTGAACAGCAGGACTCTCTCACCAGCACTGGTGTGTTGAACAGTAGGCCCCTCTCACCAGCATGGGAGTGGTGAACAGCAGGCCCCTCTCACCAACACGGGTGTGATGAACAGTAGGCCTCTCTCACCAGCATGGGAGTGAACAGCAGGCCCCTCTCACCAACACGGGTGTGATGAACAGCACGCCCCTCTCACCAGCACGGGTGTGATGAATAGTAGGCCTCTCTCACCAGCACGGGTATGCTGAACAGCAGGCCCCTCTCACCAGCACGGGTGTGATGAACAGCAGGCCCCTCTCACCAGCACGGGTGTGTTGAACAGCAGGCCCCTCTCACCAGCACGGGTGTGTTGAACAGCAGGCCCCTCTCACCAGCACGGGTGTGTTGAACAGCAGGCCCCTTTCACCAGCACGGGTGTGCTGAACAGTAGGCCCCTCTCACCAGCAAGGGTGTGTTGAACAGCAGGCCCCTCTCACCAGCATAAGAATCGGAAGTCAAACTCCGTCACACTTTTATAGAGAATAATACTTCGTCAGGAGGAGGAAGTGCAAATACAATCTGAATGCAGTCGTTATATTAAAAACGCTTGATAATTTTGAATAAGAATTTTAAAAACGTAAGTACTATTATTCCTGTCATAGCAATCGACAGAATTTTAAATCACATACATTTGTTTACTTATTTTAAATATCAGTATTACATTTTTATACTATTATGTTACGTTAGCATTTATAATAATATAGAGAGAACAGTTTTTGGGTACAAAGATATCAAACAGCTATTTTTGAGCATGGAGAGATAATGAATCAATGGAGTACCTACTAAATGTACGCCATTCGGCAAGCGTACAATAGCCAACGCGTCCTCCATGATTCATTATTCCTCAAATTTGAGTTCTTTGTACCCAGACAATGGCGTCATGCTTCATTTCGCCATTGTCCGACTATAAACCATGAGTGACTGAATTTAACCATTCAGGATCTTTGATTTAGTATTTTATCATCTTCTTTGGTTCTTTCGGTAAAGTCACGTAGAATGAGAACAAAATAATAAAATAAAACATTAAAATTCTCACGACGTTTCGGCCACAACACAAGTGGCCTTCTTCAGGTGAAAGGAACAAACCTGTCGGGACGACAGAGCTA